ATGCACTACTTTTGTTTCTGATTAAATCTGTTTCACAGTGGGCTTGCAACTCTTCTGTTGGGGTTTATTTTTTTCATTAGTTATTAATATGGAGGAAAGGAGTGTGGATATCTGCAAACATGCATTGACTCGTATTCACAGGGATTCCATAAAATCTTCATTGTTCCATAAAGAGATATCAAAACTAAATAGGGTTAGAAAGTATATAGCTGAGGTTTCCAGAGGATGAACTACTTCTGTGATAACTCATGTAAACTGGACTAGTAAACCATCTGAAACTGAGATGTAAAAAGTAAATATTGGTCACAGACTACGTGAAAGCAAAATAATGTAATATTCTGAATGCTGTAGCAGTCTGAACCAAGTTGCTTAGTAAATGAGTAAATGTCTAATTTGGCGATACTTTAGCTGGGCACTAAATTATATTTGTGTACAAGGCTTAAAATTAAAAGTGCAATGCTAGTAGCCAGGCCTTAAAACATACTCGCCACTGCAACCCATGGCGTACTTACCAAGGGTGAATTTTCATTTGCCAAGGCTAGGGGTGAGTGTGTGTTTAGATTGAATTTGAAAATAAAAAACACACATCATCACATCATGATATCATAAAATATATATTTCTGTAACCTTCTGTTCATACAGGACAGTATGTAACCTTTGTAGGAAATTCTTTATTCCTTATGTATGGAAGATTCCCAAGAATCACTGTCTCAGAATGCTGATAGCCCTGAGTTATTGGGTGGCTTCTTGTTAGTCCAGGATGCTGATAGCCCAGAGTTATTGGGTGGCTTCTTGTTAGTCCAGGATGCTGATAGCCCAGAGTTATTGGGTGGGTTATTGTTAGTCCAGGATGCTGATAGCCCAGAGTTATTGGGTGGGTTATTGTTAGTCCAGGATGCTGATAGCCCAGAGTTATTGGGTGGGTTCTTGTTAGTCCAGGATGCTGATAGCCCTGAGTTATTGGGGGGCTTCTTGTTAGTCCAGGATGCTGATAGCCCAGAGTTATTGGGTGGGTTATTGTTAGTCCAGGATGCTGATAGCCCAGAGTTATTGGGTGGATTCTTGTTAGTCCAGGATGCTGATAGCCCAGAGTTATTGGGTGGGTTCTTGTTAGTCCAGGATGCTGATAGCCCTGAGTTATTGGGTGGCTTCTTGTTAGTCCAGGATGCTGATAGCCCTGAGTTATTGGGTGGCTTCTTGTTAGTCCAGGATGCTGATAGCCCAGAGTTATTGGGTGGCTTCTTGTTAGTCCAGGATGCTGATAGCCCTGAGTTATTGGGTGGCTTCTTGTTAGTCCAGGATGCTGATAGCCCTGAGTTATTGGGTGGCTCTTTGTTAGTCCAGGATGCTGATAGCCCTGAGTTATTGGGTGGGTTCTTGTTAGTCCAGGATGCTGATAGCCCTGAGTTATTGGGTGGGTTCTTGTTAGTCCAGGATGCTGATAGCCCTGGGTTATTGGGTGGGTTCTTGTTAGTCCAGGATGCTGATAGCCCTGAGTTATTGGGTGGGTTCTTGTTAGTCCAGGATGCTGATAGCCCTGAGTTATTGGGTGGGTTCTTGTTAGTCCAGGATGCTGATAGCCCAGAGTTATTGGGTGGCTTTTTGTTAGTCCAGGATGCTGATAGCCCAGAGTTATTGGGTGGGTTCTTGTTAGTCCAGGATGCTGATAGCCCTGAGTTATTGGGTGGGTTCTTGTTAGTCCAGGATGCTGATAGCCCTGAGTTATTGGGTGGCTTTTTGTTAGTCCAGGATGCTGATAGCCCGAGTTATTGGGTGGGTTCTTGTTAGTCCAGGATGCTGATAGCCAGAGTTGTGGGTGGCTCTTTGTTTGGTCAGGATGCTGATGGCCAGAGTTATTGGGTGGGTTATTGTTAGTCAGGATGCTGATAGCCCTGGAGTTGTTGTGTGTGGGTTCTTGTTGGTCAGGATGCTGATAGCCCTGGAGTTGTGGGGGGCTTCTTGTTAGTCAGGATGCTGATAGCCCTGAGTTGTGGGTGGGTTCTTGTTAGTCAGGATGCTGATAGCTCAGGTTATTGGGTGGGTTCTTGTTAGTCCAGGATGCTGATAGCCTGGAGTTATTGGGTGGCTTCTTGTTAGTCCAGGATGCTGATAGCCCCGAGTTATTGGATATGTTCTTGTTAGTCCAGGATGCTGATAGCCCCGAGTTATTGGGGGGCTTTTTGTTAGTCCAGGATGCTGATAGCCCAGAGTTATTGGGGGGCTTCTTGTTAGTCCAGGATGCTGATAGCCCAGAGTTATTGGGGGGCTTCTTGTTAGTCCAGGATGCTGATAGCCCTGAGTTATTGGGTGGCTTCTTGTTAGTCCAGGATGCTGATAGCCCAGAGTTATTGGGTGGGTTCTTGTTAGTCCAGGATGCTGATAGCCCTGAGTTATTGGGTGGGTTCTTGTTAGTCCAGGATGCTGATAGCCCAGAGTTATTGGGTGGGTTCTTGTTAGTCCAGGATGCTGATAGCCCAGAGTTATTGGGTGGCTTCTTGTTAGTCCAGGATGCTGATAGCCCTGGGTTATTGGGGGGCTTCTTGTTAGTCCAGGATGCTGATAGCCCTGAGTTATTGGGTGGGTTATTGTTAGTCCAGGATGCTGATAGCCCTGGGTTATTGGGTGGGTTCTTGTTAGTCCAGGATGCTGATAGCCCTGGGTTATTGGGTGGGTTCTTGTTAGTCCAGGATGCTGATAGCCCTGAGTTATTGGGTGGGTTGTTGTTAGTCCAGGATGCTGATAGCCCAGAGTTATTGGGTGGCTCTTTGTTAGTCCAGGATGCTGATAGCCCAGAGTTATTGGGTGGGTTATTGTTAGTCCAGGATGCTGATAGCCCAGAGTTATTGGGTGGGTTCTTGTTAGTCCAGGATGCTGATAGCCCAGAGTTATTGGGTGGCTCTTTGTTAGTCCAGGATGCTGATAGCCCAGAGTTATTGTGTGGGTTATTGTTAGTCCAGGATGCTGATAGCCCAGAGTTATTGGGTGGCTTCTTGTTAGTCCAGGATGCTGATAGCCCTGGGTTATTGGGTGGGTTCTTGTTAGTCCAGGATGCTGATAGCCCTGGGTTATTGGGTGGGTTCTTGTTAGTCCAGGATGCTGATAGCCCTGAGTTATTGGGTGGGTTGTTGTTAGTCCAGGATGCTGATAGCCCAGAGTTATTGGGTGGCTCTTTGTTAGTCCAGGATGCTGATAGCCCAGAGTTATTGGGTGGGTTATTGTTAGTCCAGGATGCTGATAGCCCAGAGTTATTGGGTGGGTTCTTGTTAGTCCAGGATGCTGATAGCCCAGAGTTATTGGGTGGCTCTTTGTTAGTCCAGGATGCTGATAGCCCAGAGTTATTGTGTGGGTTATTGTTAGTCCAGGATGCTGATAGCCCAGAGTTATTGGGTGGCTTCTTGTTAGTCCAGGATGCTGATAGCCCAGAGTTATTGGGTGGCTCTTTGTTAGTCCAGGATGCTGATAGCCCAGAGTTATTGTGTGGGTTCTTGTTAGTCCAGGATGCTGATAGCCCTGAGTTATTGGGTGGCTTCTTGTTAGTCCAGGATGCTGATAGCCCTGAGTTATTGGGTGGCTTCTTGTTAGTCCAGGATGCTGATAGCCCTGAGTTATTGGGTGGCTTCTTGTTAGTCCAGGATGCTGATAGCCCAGAGTTATTGGGTGGCTTCTTGTTAGTCCAGGATGCTGATAGCCCAGAGTTATTGGGTGGGTTATTGTTAGTCCAGGATGCTGATAGCCCTAAGTTATTGGGTGGCTTCTTGTTAGTCCAGGATGCTGATAGCCCAGAGTTATTGGGTGGCTTCTTGTTAGTCCAGGATGCTGATAGCCCTGGGTTATTGGGGGGCTTCTTGTTAGTCCAGGATGCTGATAGCCCAGAGTTATTGGGTGGGTTCTTGTTAGTCCAGGATGCTGATAGCCCTGAGTTATTGGGTGGCTTCTTGTTAGTCCAGGATGCTGATAGCCCAGAGTTATTGGGTGGCTTCTTGTTAGTCCAGGATGCTGATAGCCCTGGGTTATTGGGGGGGGGGCTTCTTGTTAGTCCAGGATGCTGATAGCCCAGAGTTATTGGGTGGGTTCTTGTTAGTCCAGGATGCTGATAGCCCTGAGTTATTGGGTGGCTTCTTGTTAGTCCAGGATGCTGATAGCCCTGAGTTATTGGGTGGCTTCTTGTTAGTCCAGGATGCTGATAGCCCTGGGTTATTGGGGGGCTTCTTGTTAGTCCAGGATGCTGATAGCCCAGAGTTATTGGGTGGCTTCTTGTTAGTCCAGGATGCTGATAGCCCAGAGTTATTGGGTGGGTTATTGTTAGTCCAGGATGCTGATAGCCCTGAGTTATTGGGTGGCTTCTTGTTAGTCCAGGATGCTGATAGCCCTGGGTTATTGGGTGGGTTCTTGTTAGTCCAGGATGCTGATAGCCCAGAGTTATTGGGTGGGTTCTTGTTAGTCCAGGATGCTGATAGCCCAGAGTTATTGGGGGGCTTTTTGTTAGTCCAGGATGCTGATAGCCCAGAGTTATTGGGGGGCTTCTTGTTAGTCCAGGATGCTGATAGCCCAGAGTTATTGGGTGGCTTCTTGTTAGTCCAGAATGCTGATAGCCCAGAGTTATTGTGTGGGTTCTTGTTAGTCCAGGATGCTGATAGCCCAGAGTTATTGGGGGGCTTTTTGTTAGTCCAGGATGCTGATAGCCCAGAGTTATTGGGGGGCTTCTTGTTAGTCCAGGATGCTGATAGCCCTGAGTTATTGGGTGGGTTCTTGTTAGTCCAGGATGCTGATAGCCCTGAGTTATTGGGTGGCTTTTTGTTAGTCCAGGATGCTGATAGCCCTGAGTTATTGGGTGGGTTCTTGTTAGTCCAGGATGCTGATAGCCCTGAGTTATTGGGTGGGTTCTTGTTAGTCCAGGATGCTGATAGCCCTGAGTTATTGGGTGGCTCTTTGTTAGTCCAGGATGCTGATAGCCCTGAGTTATTGGGTGGGTTCTTGTTAGTCCAGGATGCTGATAGCCCTGAGTTATTGGGTGGGTTCTTGTTAGTCCAGGATGCTGATAGCCCTGGGTTATTGGGTGGGTTCTTGTTAGTCTAGGATGCTGATAGCCCTGAGTTATTGGGTGGCTCTTTGTTAGTCCAGGATGCTGATAGCCCAGAGTTATTGGGTGGGTTCTTGTTAGTCCAGGATGCTGATAGCCCTGAGTTATTGGGGGGCTTCTTGTTAGTCCAGGATGCTGATAGCCTGGAGTTATTGGGTGGCTTCTTGTTAGTCCAGGATGCTGATAGCCCAGAGTTATTGGGTGGGTTCTTGTTAGTCCAGGATGCTGATAGCCCTGAGTTATTGGGTGGCTTCTTGTTAGTCCAGGATGCTGATAGCCTGGAGTTATTGGGTGGCTTCTTGTTAGTCCAGGATGCTGATAGCCCCGAGTTATTGGATATGTTCTTGTTAGTCCAGGACGCTGATAGCCCTGAGTTATTGGGTGGCTTCTTGTTAGTCCAGGATGCTGATAGCCTGGAGTTATTGGGTGGCTTCTTGTTAGTCCAGGATGCGGACAGCCCCGAGTTATTGGATATGTTCTTGTTAGTCCAGGACGCTGATAGTTCTGAGTTTTTGGGTGGCTTCTTGTTATGCAGATTCTCAATATAGTGAAAATGTGGGTATATGAGGATAATTGGTGTGCTTCAGTAATAGGAGGTAATTTATCTTCTTGCTGAAAAATGAGTTGAGAATTGGCCTTGTCATCACTGTAGGTCACCTATGATAGATAGGGAGTATAGACACATGTAGTTTTTCAAATTGTCCCAAATACTAATGTTTCATTTTCCCACTTAGTCCTGGGTTTAATATTGTTGGATAAGCTTTTAAAATTATTCCATATAAAAAAATGTAAAAAAAAATATGTGTTTATATACACTAAACCGCACCTAATGAAAATAAAGCAATACGTGCAGGATCCAAGCAAATCCAATCTACAATTTACAAGGGATCGCACAATGAACTATACACCAAATAGAAGAAAGACTACACAAAATGATAGAAAAAAAATTCCAATAATTAATATTTTTTTTATACATGCAAGGAACCTTATGAAAAGAAAACAGACACGTTGATTGATGTATCCAGTAGAAGAATCGAAATATAGTAATGGATACTTTAACAAACAGTTGGAATGTGGTATTGAAAATAATACCATCAACAGTCAAGATATAGGCAGCCAATTATCACAACACATAGACTTCAGAATATTAACGATGGTCACTATGAACAAATATTGTTGATCAATGCCTTTTGGGGGCGTAGCTTGTACAACTGCATAATACCTCCAACTATGTACATACATACAAGTAAAATTGTGAATGATAAAAAAAAACTATACAAAAATAAATTTCTCCTCTCTTTAACATTTTGAAAGCTTTTCCAAAAATATGAAATCAATTCCTGTCATTCCTTACACATTTTTACGGTCGTTTCACTGTTCCTTTTGGAAACATAAAAAGGGGTTATTTGCGGATTTGGTAAATTTGCCATTTTTGCAAAGACTTGGTTGGATGGAGTTCGAAGGATCCGGTTAAATTCTGTTTGGCGTGTGTCGATAAGCTCCATTTATTGAGTAACAGCTTTGCCTTTAGTATCAGCCAGTTCAGAAAGTTTCTTTGTGTTATTTCTCTATTGAGAAGCTGAGGCCGACACTGCCAGTGCCGGGCAGAGAGATGGAACTTATCTTCATAAGAATCATTTGTTGTTTTGTATCCAACAATAAAATTTCAAACCTCCTTTTTATTTTATATCCACATGCCTTTCTTCCTCTGCCCAAACACTGCGATATGTAAGACACGTGAAACATGCGTTGAGGTGGGGGTACGCCTTGGCTGGCTGGGGGCATCACGTTCTTTCACTGTAGACTATTTTTCTTTCTTTCCTCTGCGTGCTGCTGATGCTGCTGATGCTGGTGCTGGCATGTTCCACAGACAACTTTTGCATGCGTGGCCTGTCTAATTTTTACCCAGATTTAACGAAAAGGATCCGTACTTCCTATCAGAGTAAGTTGGGGGGTTGCAGCTTGGACGTATTGCTTAGTTTTACAGCTATGTGTTTTCTACAAACACATTCGAACATGTTTTGTTTTTTTGTGCTTTGAGATGCAGAAAGTGGGGTCAGTAAGGACTTGCCAAATGTTTGCTTTATGATTTACCTGGGAAACTCACCTGTTTATTGAGCTGTGACCTAAATGCATGTGAACTGCATGTGATAGGACGTCTAGAGCAAACCTGACCAGGGGCACACTTGCCTGCAGCGTATTTTTTGTTTTTTAAATTATATTGTTTATTGCAAGTTTTTTTTATCACAATACAACATATTAAAAGACAAATAGCACAAACATTACATATATGTATTAATATAAAGTGAATTAGAATTGAACAGTCAGACCGCAGGGTCATGATGTGTACCCAAAACTGCTTCATTAAGCAAAAGTTGTTGTGATGCTTAGAGTATCCCTTTAAAGAAATACTGTAGGCACTATAACCAGCTCACTTTGTTTAATTGGTTACAGTGCCTGGAGTCCTCTGACGCTGTCCTTCCATCTAGTGTTAAACCATTTTCGATTTGGGCCAGTGCATTGCGACCTTAAAGCAAGCTGAAGGATTATTTAATGTCGGAGTGAACAGATGTTAATGTAAGCCCTCCTATCCAGGTTTCCGGTAAAACTAATTTACCTTGCATTCCCGGCAATCCTGTGGGAATACCACTTACTATCTCAAAGTAAGGGTTACTGAACACCAAAAAAAATCTAATTAAAAACGAACTTTGTTAATAAATGTTTTCCTGCCCAGATGCTGTAACTGTAATGCTAGCAGGCTCGCAGAATTTTAATGGAGGGGAAAAAAGTTGATTATTCAGGCTGTGTGCTACATGCGGAAAAAGCTAATCAGCGAGGGTTACAGGAAACATCTGCTCTTTATCATAAGCATACTAAATCTAATAATTCCATAATAATCTAACTTTCATTTGTCTAAGCAATGCACAGACCTGCAGAGCTAATTACTAGGCCACAGCCTGACACAGAGTTAGGTCAGGAGCCCATCTAGGGGTCCAAGACATCAGCTCATGAATGTAGATGCAGGCCCTCCCCAGGAGAATATTAATATTAGTGTGGTTAATTAACGATACATATTTATAGTTTGCTATAATTTTATAATAACCCTCATCTTGAGAAAGGAACATTGTATCGCTTACGATCCTAAAAAGACACATTTTAATGTTTGTTTTGCCCAGAATTCTCTGTTTTGTAGCTGCAGCCCCCGGGTGTTGTATAACACTTTAATGGCTGGAAAGTAACGTGACCGGCTGTGGTTCAATGTTTTCTATTACGTAGAGAACATGAATTGCTGCGTGTAACAAACAGGTTTAATACTCTCTGCATCATAAACATTTACCGCCTTCTGCTAAATCGGTGTTACCCGAAAATCCATTTTGTTTTGTGGGCTGGAAGCAGCACTGCAAGATTTGCTGTTTCAATGCCAGAGATATATTTTGATTAGTTCTGCTCAATTTGATCTTCCCCTCTCCTATGCCTTACACCCTCTCTCATTCTTTACGCACATTTTACCAACATTTCAAAAGCAAAGAGTGATTTTCTTTTCACATCAGCACGATAAGTGTAGGAGGAAGTGAGTCATAAAACCACTTTAAACTGAGCAATTCTCTAGGGAATGCTCGAAACTTATAGAATGCACACGTATCGTCTCCCGTGTTATGTGTTTATGTAACTTTCTGCTTCTCTATAGGTCTAACAGAGCTCTCAGACACTCCTGTATCTCTGGAATTGGAACGCTGCAAGTCTCCCACCTCAGGTACAGGTCACAATCTAATGTTCTTTGTCCTAATTACTAAACATGTCAAGTGTCTCTGTGGCCCACCCCTTGACACAGTCCATTGCAGAAGAATACCTGGGGCGTCACACACGGTACTAAAATCCTTGTAACCTTAGGATACATATGATGAGCATGTTCTATATTCCATCTCTTGTTCTTGCAATTTGTGTGGGTCGTCAGTTGATGTCTGATATCCTATGTTGGCCTCATCCACATGCGTCCACTTTCTAATGAGGAAAGCCTGGGATGAACACACTCGTCTTTGAACAGAAATATTATCATTAAAGAAGCTAGCATTGTTATAATGCGGATGGGCAGATGGCTTGTGTTCCTGTATATGTATTTGTGTGTATGCATTTAGCTTATCATACCATCTCTAGAGTGCTGTTATTAGATTATGTCGGCTTGATGATTCGGTTCTGACTGATACGCCCTAAAGTTTTTGAATCTTTCAGTTAATTCATATTTCCAATATGTGTTCTTTTATCCAGCCGTAACAACTGCATCTCAGTATTTGGTATTTAAAGAAATACAGGACAATGGGTATGGTTATGTAAAGAGTTGGGCAGTTTATTGAAGCATTTGATCACTTATAAATTATAGAGCAGTGGTCCCCAACCCAGTCCTCATGGACCGCCAACAGTCCAGGATTTATGTCTTTCCCTCTTTTATTCAAATGGAGATATTGCCCAAACTTGGACTTTTGGTTGTCCATGAGGACTGGGTTGGGGACCACTGTTATAGATGATGTTTTTATACAGGATATGGTGCAATAATAAGTGCACAAACGTTGAACATAACACATGTCCCTAAAGTTTACAAGCTCTTTGACAACCATAAAGCATAATCCCAGGGTTTATAGCAATTTAAAACCATAAAAAATAATCCCAAAGTATCCTTGCATTGAGAAGACCCTAAAGCATATTACTAAGGTTTCCGGGTATGGAGAGGACTAGATAACATATTACTAATGTTTCCAGACATTGAGAAGACCATATAACATATTACTATGGCTTCCAGACATTTAGAGGACCATACCATATTACTATAGTTTCCAGACATCAAGAGGACCATGCATCATATTACTAAGGAGGCGGTGGGTGGGGACCCTAAATACTTCGGGGGGGGACCTATTGTTCTCTCCCTGAGCAGGGGGTGGGGGCCCTAAAGTAAAATAAAAGGGGGGGACCTAATGGCCTCCCCCCCCTGGCCCCCACTCCTAAGCTATGGGTGGGGACCCTAAATTACTTGAAAGGGGGGGACACCTATTGTCCTCTCCCCGGCCCCTACCCCTGAGCGGTGGGTGGGGGCCCTAAAATACTTCAAAGGGAGGGACCTATTGTCCTCCCCCTGGCCCCCACCCTTGAGCAGCGGGTGGGGGACCTAAAGTAAAATAAAAGGTGGGGGACCTATTGTCCTCCCCCGGCCCCCACCCCTGAGCGGTGGGTGGGGGCCCTAAAATACTTCAAAGGGAGGGACCTATTGTCCTCCCCCCTGGCCCCCACCCCTGAGCAGCGGGTGGGGGACCTAAAGTAAAATAAAAGGTGGGGGACCTATTATCCTCCCCCCCGGCCACCACCCCTGAGTGGTGGGTGTGGGCCCTAAATTACTTGAAAGGGGGGGGACCCAACCCCTAAGCTGTGGGTGGGGGCCCTAAATTACTTGAAAGGGGGGACCTATTGTCGTCGTCCCTGGCCTCCATCCCTGAGCGGTGGGTCAGGGCCCTAAAATACTTTAAGGGGGGGACCTATTGTCCTCCCTGGCCCTCACCCCTGAGTGGTGGGTGGGGGCCCTAAAGTAAAATAAAAGGGGGGAACCTATTGTCCTCCCCCCCGGCCCCAACCCCTAAGCTATGGGTGGGGGCCCTAAATTATTTCAAAGGAGGGGACACCTATTGTCCTCCCTACGGCCCCCACCCCTGAGCGGTGGGTGGGGGCCCTAAAATACTTCAAAGGGTTATTTTATTGTCCTCCCCCCTGGCCCCCACCACTGAGCAGCAGGTGGGGGACCTAAAGTAAAATAAAAGGGGGGGGACCTATTGCATAAAAATGCATAAACATGCCTCCCCCTCCCCCCTGGTGACTTTAAAATTATTCAAATCCCTACCTACCCCCCTCACCCTAAAAATAGTGAGGAGGGAACAATAATTAGGTACCTGTAAAAAAATAAAAAAAATAAAACTTACCATTTGATGTCTTCTTTTTTCTAAAATCTTCTTTTTTCAGCCCCAGAAAAGGCCAAATAAAAAACCATCATACCCGTCGAACTAAACGAATGAAAAAAACAGAGCGTAAAAAATAATAATCCATCTTCACCCTTGGAGGGCTCCGCACAAACTGAGCTCTGCAGGGTGGGGGATGGCTTATAAAGCCTTGCCCCGCCCTGCAATTACTCTCAGAGCGCTTTGGTTGGTTGGTTTAAGCCATCCAATCAGAGTGCTCTGACAGGTAAATAAAGAGACTGACAGGTCTCTACATTTACCTGTCACAGCACTCTGATTGGATAGCTTGAAATCCAGCCAATAAGAGTGCTCACTTTACACAGTTCTTTGGAAATTTCCCACGCTGTGTAATTTGACTCATAACAACACTCTGATTGGTTCATTGAAAGTAACCAATGAGTCAAATTTCACAGCGTGGGAATCTCCAAAGTCTCTGAATTGCCCGAAATTCAGCCAAATTGACATTTGTATCAAAGCGAATTGCACGTGTCTACCTATTACTATTGTTTCCAGACACCCAGAGGACATATAACATATTACTAAGGTTTTCGGGTATTGAGAGGACCATACATTATATTACTAAGGTTTCCAGACATTGAGCGGACCATATAACATATTACAATGGTTTCCATGTATTTAGAGAACCACACATCATATTACTAAGGTTTCCAGATATTGAGAGGACCATACATTATATTACTAAGATTCCCAGACATTGTGATGACCATATAACATATCACTGTGGTTTACAGTTATTTAGAGGACCATGTAACATATTACTAAGATTTCCAAGTATTGGGAAGACCATATATCCTATTATTGAGGTATCCAGACATTGAGAGGGCCATATAACATATTACTGAGATTTCCAAGTATTGGGAAGACCATATATCCTATTATTGAGGTATCCAGACATTGAGAGGGCCATATAACATATTACTGAGATTTCCAAGTATTGGGAAGACCATATATCATATTACTGACGTTTCCAGATATTGAGAGGGCCATATAACATATTACTGAGATTTCCAAGTATTGGGAAGACCATATATTATATTACTAAGGTTTCCAGACATTGAGAGGACCTTATGACATATTACTAAGGTTTCCAAGTATTGAGAGGATCATATATCATATTGCTGAGGTTTCCAGACATTAAGAGAGCCATATAGCATATTACTTAGGTTTACACGTATAGAGAAGGCCATAAAGCATATTACTAAGGTATTGAGAGGACCATATAAAAGGGAAAACACTATATAGCATATGACTAAGGATTCCATGTATTGAGAGGACCATAAAGCATATTACTAAGGTTTCCATTTATGTAGTAGACCATGTAGCATATGACCAAGGTTTCCATGTATTGAGAGGATCATTAAGCATATGACTAAGTGTGATGGACCGCCTGGCACCCAGATTGGGTGCCTCCACCAATCGCTGCTGGTATAGCTGTTCCCAACAATCATGAGACGAGGCTGCGTGTTTAGGGTGAAGTGAACTGATTTTAATAGGACCACACTTGGCCTTTTATGACAATCCCTATGCAAGGGGCACTCACCCCTGGATCTGAGAGTAAACCATAGCAGAAACAAACACATAATTGCATTGGCTCTCAGATCCAGGACACTCCCATACTTTAACAGAGAATCCCCCCTCTGTGCCTGGCTGATAATTGGATCAGGAACTGTACTAATCTAATTCCAATTTTCTAAAAGTACAGAAAGACAATTTTTTTCCCAAACACCCCAAAAACACATAAAACCCCACAGTTACATCCCCTGATAGTCCTGATGTGGGTGACCAACATATCCAAAAATTACCCAGATAAGTTCAGGGGTTCAGGAATTTCCTGGAAGTCATTTATTTGACAGATCCGCAGACATGGTCCCATGCCCAAAACAGTTCTAGTTAGGTAGTTTGAAAAGGAACAAACTACCGCTATTTAAACCTTTTTTGTCCATTTCTTTACTGTTTCTTGTGTATTTTGACCTTGGCTTTCCTTCTGACTATTCTGATCTCTGTACCCCTTGACCTTTGGCTTGGCTCCTGACTTTTCTGACTTCTATATTCCTCGACCTTTGGCTTGCTTAAAGTTTCTGTGATTTCTGTGTTCTTGTCCACAGCCTGTCTTGTGGTTTTTCCTTTCATACGTTAAATCTGGCCATTCTAAGGCCCGGTAGTACGTCATTGGGTTTTCTTTATTTTCTACTTAAGTCTTACCCTGGAGCTTGCTCCCCTCATCCAGACGAACGATTTCACTGAACAGTGCCCTTCTAAGTTGTATAGAACCGAACCAGGCGATGATGGAAGTCCAGCGGTGTTCGGGAGTTCCTGTGTCCGATTTTAGTTCCATAAGATTCATGCCAAACACCGCTACCTGCGTCCATGTGAACAAGATGGCCAACATCTCGTGGTTGTCCATAGGAATTGCGGCCACCCAGACAAACAATTAGAACACTGCGGTGTGTCACGCCGCCTGCCGGGTCCGCTCCTTCCAGAGACCGGTATGGGTCCTGGCGGGCGCGTATCGGTGCTGCGGCCCTCCTACATCGCAAGGGGAATGCCGCCGAATACTCACCCTTCTTCTAGGCACCCGCCGGGACCGCTCATGCCCAGGAGCGGACTGGGACCCGGAGGACACATCTTGTTGTGGCAGCATTCCCACGTGGTAATGGGAATGCTGCCTATCACTCACCTCCTCCCGCGACACCCTCCGGCCTCACTGACAGACACTCCTCCCCTTACACAGCGGCCAGGTCTATAAACATTAGAGACGCCGGCCGCTGCAAATTAGAACCTTTTACGGTTCATATTTAACCCTTCCATTACCTAACCATTTGAAACGTGCGTTTGACGTCACACACACGTTCACTGTCACATGCTTTCCTGAAGCCAATCAAAGGAGCACCTTAGGCTATTTAAACCTTTTTTGTCCATTTCTTTACTGTTTCTTGTGTATTTTGACCTTGGCTTTCCTTCTGACTATTCTGATCTCTGTACCCCTTGACCTTTGGCTTGGCTCCTGACTTTTCTGACTTCTATATTCCTCGACCTTTGGCTTGCTTAAAGTTTCTGTGATTTCTGTGTTCTTGTCCACAGCCTGTCTTGTGGTTTTTCCTTTCATACGTTAAATCCGGCCGTTCTAAGGCCCGGTAGTACGTCATTGGGTTTTCTTTATTTTCTACTTAAGTTCTGCGTGTTGGGCATTAGTTTATCCTGACACGATGGTATTGTTACAAAGTATCAATTTAGGCTTAACAAGCTCCAGGGTAGTCTCCGGTTCGTGTGGTTGTTCGGTAACTGAACCATATAGTCCCAATTGCATGAACAGAGTCTTTTTAAAGCATTTTAGCCAGGTCTATTGCAGGAGCCATAGTCCTGGGGCAGGAGGCTGGCAAGCAGGCTCCTCCAAAAGCCCATGGCAAGATTCTGTTCGCCACATACATAAATCATATTACTAAGGTTTCCATGTATTTAGTAGACCATATAGCATATGACCAAGGTTTCCGTGTATTGAGAGGACCATAAAGTGTATTACTAAGGTTTCCAGGTATTGAGAGGGCCATATAACATATTTATAAGGTTTCCATGTATTGAAAGGACCATATAACTTATTATGAAGTTTTCACGGTATTGAGAGGGTATTGAGATATTACTAAAGTTTCCAGGTAGGACCATGCAGCATATTATTGAATTAAAAAAAGCATGATGCTATGCTAACCATTACACTTTAATTATATGTCAGGTTGCACCATTACTTGTGAAGTGGCATTGTCCCTTTACAGAGTGGAGACAGCATGTGACATGTACCCCTCCGTCACTACAAATGTACTTTTATTAATATCAATCAATATTAAACAGCATTATGTCCTTGTCTACAAAGACCAACTTTGCATGTTTTATAAAATAATAGATTTGGGGATTTATCATGCATTTGTGATTTAAAGCATTCACTTGTCAATACACACAGTCTGCTCTCTCGTCTTTCAAACAAGTTATATATATATATATATATATATATATATAGCCTGAAGGAGCAGATAACCACGGGAAACAGCTGGAAGATGTTAAATATTCCCTATAATAAGACAGCTAAGGATAAAATGTGCTCAGATTGAAGCAGGGCCAGTAAGAGGGTCATTGAAGGGCACATCAATAAACTCGTTAGGACTGGCCTGATGAAAGGTTGAATGGGAAGGTTTGCTCAGCGAGAACTGCAATATACTGTAACTGCTGCAGAGTGCACAGGCGATATTCCCACAGGAAAACGTTCAAAGAAAACAAACTAAGGAAGAGAAAGTGTAAAGTGATTGAAGAACATTTTGAGTTTGTTCCATATAATAATAAATCAGCGTTCTGGCTGTTATTAACCAACTGATAATATGATAACCAAGTGAAATTACAATATTAGCCATCTGATAGTGTGAGAGTAACCAAGTCAAAGTATTTTACAACCAACTAACAGTGCGATAGTAACCGACAGTCTGATAGTAACCAGCTAACAGTGTGATAGTAACCAACTAACTAACAGTATAATAGTAACCAACAGTGTAATAGTAACCAACTAACCATGTGATAGTAACCAACTAACAGTGTGATAGTAACCAACTAACTAACAGTGCGATAGTAACCGACAGTGTGATAGTAACCGACAGTGTGATAGTAACCGACAGTTGATAGTAACCAACTAACAGTGTGATAGTAACTGAACAAATAACAGTATGATAGTAACCAACTAACAGTGTGATAGTAACCAACTAACTAACAGTGTGATAGTAACCAACTAACCATGTGATAGTAACCAACTAACAGTGTGATAGTAACCAACTAACCATGTGATAGTAACCAGCTAACTAACAGTATGATAGTAACCAACTAACAGTGTGATAGTAACCAATTAATAGTGACAGTAACCAACTAACAGTGTGACAGTAACCAACTAACTGTGTGACAGTAACCAACTAACTGTGTGATAGTAACCAACTAACAGTGTGATAGTAATCAACTAATAGCGTGACAGTAACCAAATAACAGTGTGATAGTAACCGACAGTTTGATAGTAACTAATAGCGTGACAGTAACCAACTAACCATGTGATAGTAACCAACTAACTAACAGTGTGTTAGTAACCAACTAATAGCGTGACAGTAACCAACTAACAGTGCGATAGTAACCAACTAATAGCGTGACAGTAACCAACTAACCATGTGATAGTAACCAACTAACTAACCATGTGATAGTAACCAACTAACAGTGTGATAGTAACCAATTAATAGTGACAGTAACCAACTAACAGTGTGACAGTAACCAACTCACCGTGTGATAGTAACCAACAAACTAACAGTGTGATAGTAACCAACTAATAGCGTGACAGTAACCAACTAACAGTGCGATAGTAACCAACAGTGTGATAGTAACCAACTAATAGCGTGACAGTAACCAAATAACAGTGCGATAGTAACCGACAGTTTGATAGTAACTAACTAATAGTGTGACAGTAACCAACCAACAGTGTGATAGTAACCAAGTGACAGTGTGATAGTAACCAACTAACAGTGCGATAGTAACCGACAGTTTGATAGTAACTAACTAATAGCGTGACAGTAACCAACCAACAGTGTGACAGTAACCAACTAACAGTGTGATAGTAACCAAGTGACAGTGTGATAGTAACCAACTAACAGTGTGATAGTAACTAACAGTATTTTACAGCCAACTGACTGTGAAATTAACCATAATCTGTGACATTAAATTGATTTTATGATATAAACCACATGATAGTATAATATTAACTATATTGCAATGTGATATTAACAAACTGTAAAAGTATTGATGTATGACTGTATTAGCAGTATGTGGCTTGTTATGATGTATTATACATTATCAGATCAAATTCTTACCATGCCATTATGGGTGGTCTTAGTCAAATAGGGATTGAATGGACTTTGTTATTTTAACAGTTTCAATATTTTATTCAGGATAATCGTATAATGTCAAAAAATCATTCTGTGGAGAATCAGTTATGAGCCAGTTAATTGGATACGGTAATGACAGTGTTAAAAATGTAAATTCCTGCGCTAATAGCCAGCCTTAAAAAGTTACTCTCCACTGCAAAACAGGAGGTTCTATGGCACACTCACCAGGGGTAAAACTTATACCCTGGGAAAGACATTTGTTAAATAACGGAAAAAAGAAGAAAAACTGTTATATTCTGAGTCTTTTCAAGCTACAGTCTGTGTGACCTCATAGCGGCCTATAGGAAAGATAGGTAAAAGATACATTGAAATACTTGTGCTACCGTGTACATCAAATTTGCACATTCATCTTGTACTCAAATTTCAGGAAGCTGATAGATCAGCTATACTCACATTTTATGGAGCATTTTAATACTTACATAGAGCTGATAGATCATATGTACTCACATTTCATTGAGAGCTCTTTAATACTCACAGGGAGCTGATAGATGACCAATGCTCACATTTCATGGAGCATTTCAATACTCACAGGGAGGTGATAGATCATCTGTACTCACATTTCATGGAGCATTTCAATACTCACATGGAGCTGATAGATCACCAGTGCTCACATTTCATGGAACATTTCAATACTCACAGGGAGCTGATAGATCAGCTGTACTCACATTTTATTGAGTACTTTAATGATAGATCAGCTGAGAATATGTTTTGTCCCTTTTCTCACCCTGGTTAGCTGCTGCGTACAATGCAACAATATAGACTGTTTTTCACCATTAACATATACAAATACAAACATGAAATGCAGAATATGCATTTCTTCTTTTGATTTAATTAAGACATATAACATTACTATATATGTTATTTAAGGTTCATCACATATTTTGCATGCTGTGTTCAGTATTTCTATAATCTTCTTTCTTCTTTTTCTCTTATCTTCTTTTTTTCTGTGCTTTGCATACCTAATGTCACAATCATGTTCATTGGAGTTTTTAAAGGATTTTGGTTTTATTTATAGCAATTCTATTTCAAAATCTAGCCTCTCCCTATATTCCTATTCAAATCAAATTCTGTTCCCCATAATTTGCATGCTCTGTGACGTGTTGGTTGATGCCTCAAGCTCCTGTCTTCCAAGTGATAGACTTATTGGATAGAGAAACTAATTGCCTTTCCAATAATCATAATCAGTTCAGTTAAGCAGAATATTTCTGTATATTATCATAATGAACAATATTGTTGAAACGAGGTAGATGGACAAAATACGCTGCATTTTATCTGCTGTTAACCAGAACTGCTAACTATATACTAAACAGGGGAATAAGGCTTCATGATGAGAAAGATGATGGGCATTCACATATGTTCAATATCTGGCAGTGAACATTCCTTAGAGATCTGATGTATCTTAAATCCATTCTCTGCAAAGTTACAACTTACACTGTGCAGTCACAATATTAAAACCACTGACAGGGGAATAACGCTGATTATATTGTTACACTGGCACCTGTTAATGGGTGGGATATATTTGGTAGAAAGTGAACAGTCAGCTCTTGAATTTCACATGTTGGAAGCAGGAAAAATGGGCAAGTGAAAGGATCTGAGTAACTTTTACAAGGGACACATAGTGATGGCTAGACGACTGGGTCAGAGCATCTCCAAAAAGTCTTGTGGGATGTTACTGTTATACAGTGGTTACTACCTACAAAAAGTGGTACGAGAAACATGGCAAAGTGTTCAAAGTGTTGCCTTCAAAGTGAACAATATTAAAAGAGTATAAAAATCTAAACCAAATCAATCTTTGTTCTGGCCACATTTTGCCTTCAAAACAGCATCAGTTCTTCTACATACTACTGCAAGAAGTCAGGTATTTTGTAGGTATCTAGCCAGGTGCACGGTTAAACTATTATTTCAAACGGGTGTTCATGATCGTCAAATTAACATATAGCTTGAAACACATTCATTAGGAAAAACAGTTGTGTAGGAGGAATAAAACTGAGTGAGGAACAGCCAAACTCTGCTAACAAGGTTAGGTTGCTGGAGACTGTTTGTCAAATCATACACAATGCCAAGATAGAGCACAGCAAGAAAACACGCGATAGTTATACTGCATCAACAAGGTTTCTTCCGGCAGATATAGCGAGGCAAACAGGGATTTCCAGATGTGCTGGCCAAGCTTTTCTTTAGAAGCAGAAAGAAACAGGCAATGCTGAGGACTGTAGATGCAGTGGTTGGCCAAGCACACTTCGTGCAACAGGTGACAGACACATCATGCTTACTTCCCTTCACAGTCAGAAGATGTCCAACAGTTCCATCAACTCAGATTTGTCAGGAACCAGTGAGACCATGGTACACACATCTACTGTCTGGAGAATTCTGGTCAAAAATTATCTTCATGGAAGACTTGCGGCCAAAAAAAAAACAGACCTCCAAAACAGACCTCAAAGGTCAAACAACTTAGCTATGCGCGAATAAGGAACTAGGTTGCAGAAAAATGGCAGTGAGTGCTCTGGACTGATGAGCCATAATTTTAAATATTTGGCTGTAGCAGAAAGCATTTTTTTACGGAAGAGCTGGAGATTGGTACACGAATGAATGTCTGCAAGCAACAGTGAAGCATGGTGGAGACTTCTTGCAAGTATGGGGCTGCATTTCTAGAAATTGATTTGTGAATTTTGGTCTGAATTACTGATCTTCTCAATGCTAAGATGCACAGGCAGATATTTATCCATCATGCAATACCATCAGGGAGGCTGCATCCTGGTCTCTGTTTGCATGTAAATGCTTTAAATAGGAGTTGCATTTGCCATGTGTGGGGCATATATATTCTCTTTACTCATTTTAAGATCCTGATAAGTCTGTCACATTCTGCCTCCCTCTACTAGAATGAACTAATACACTCTATACAGCACTTCTGCTTTAATTCATGGTCACATCTGCCTTTTACCCTTATGTGACGAGACCAATCTCGCCACATTGAATTGGAGGAGCCTGGTTGCCTGCCTGCTGCCTTTTGGCTATGGACTTTATGTGAATGTGATGTATACTTTTAAAATTATGAATGTGGAAAAACTGTATTTCTCTGGCCGTGATAATTACATTACCCATTGTGTAAGGTAATAGTATCACAGGCAGAGGAGAGGATTTTGTGTGGGAGTGTCTGAGTGTATTGTATGTGTTTATTGGTTGTTTTCCAAAGCCCTGTGGGTGGTACTAATGTGTATATAAGAACAATAAACCCACAGCTCTGTCTGTTCCTGCTTGACCCTCAACACGGAGCTTTGTCTCGGTCTTGGGGGGATTTATTGTATGCTGTTCCAGTTCGACTGCTAGGAGTGTAAACCTTTCGTATGGTTTTTCCTATTCGGCTGTTTACAGCATTCGTATGGTTCCTGTTCGGCTGTTTACAGCATTCATATGCTTCTCCGGTCCGGTGGATTGGTGTCTACAGTAGGTGCCTGTATATCTGGAAGGGAATATCTTCTAAACGGCTTTTAACCCCTTTTATGCCTGGGTGCCGTTACACCTTATACATGATCTTTGTCAAGTAGCTCATTGCAGTGAAGACTGTTTCTGGTGAAAAAAATCTGTCTGTGCTTTGTTTCTGTTTGTACAGATTGTATGTTATTGTTCATTCACCTGTCCCAAACACTTCTACATGATGTTATGTTCCATGTAAAGCAAACCAGTCAAAGAAACAGTTGCAAAGTTTGTGGCTATAATTGTAGACGTTAGTGAACCAATAATCTTAATAATGACAGGAGACGGCTATTTTGCGTATCTCTATTTACTGCACTCCAAACAGCGGCACATACCAAGCATAGAACAACCAATCAAAAAAGACAGAAGTCAAGGTTCTGCCAGCACTAACAACATCTCTTTATTTTATGCGTAAAATAATTGTAAGGAATGGTAACAGAAACAGTGAAATAACCGAGACGATCAAACATGTAACAGCGTTCTAAGGAATCATAGAACTGGTAGCAGAGCCGGAAATGAAGAATGATAATCAAAGTGTTCCCCGTGCAAATGAAGAAGTTCATACTGAAAGAAAAGAAAATGTGTGAAAGATAATTGTAATGATGCATTATAACCATAAGCAGCCACTTATTAGTAGGTAAATACAACTATTAAAATGCAATACAACTAATTTACAATAGATAAATATATTATATTCATATATATTAATTGTGGCGGAACCAACCTCGCCACTATGCACTGGAGAAGCCTGGTTGCCAGCCTCCTGCCATGTGACTATGGCCCCTGGGATGTATTGCCCTTTAAAGACATGATTTGGGCATAATGGATTTGTGTTGTGCTGCTGCTAGCCCTTTTAAGAACCATCTGGGGACATACTGTGGAGTTACTGGGTGGCCACCATTTCCTGTATCAGAAGCACATGGTGAGAACAATGGATGGCGGCCATTTTAACTCACAGACACTGTGTGGACTTTTCAACACGGTGCCATCTCGCCAGTATTTGTTGCACAGAGACATCGTGCGGTGGTTTTGGACTATACAGCAGGGGACACATTATACAGTGATTGTTTTTATTTAGCCTGTATATGTTCTGCAGAATCTGCATTAAACTGTATTTTCCAAAGTACTGAACGGATCTGGGTGAATTTTGGCTATGTGGTTCACCCAGATCCCCCAGTTCCAATGATATACCTTTTATGGGGTTATTGCATGTTTTGGGGTCCCTGTGATGTGTTTTATGAAACTGTATTTCTCTGGCTGTGATAATTAGATTACCCATTGGGGAGGATTTTGTGTGGGAGTGTCTGTGTGTATTGTATGGATTGATTGGCTGTTTTGTAACGCCCTGTGTGCTGTACTATGCTTGTGGATTGGGAATAAAAGAGACTGTATGTGACAGTACAGGGAGTTCCTGTTTTAACCCTCAAAGTGAAGTGTCGTCTCATTATTGGGGGAAGGATTCATTGTATGCTGTTCCAGTTTGAATGCTAGGAGAGTAAACCTATTCGTATGTTCCTATTCAACTGTCTACAGCATTCATATGCTTGGGAGAATTTATTTGTTTCTCCGGTTCGGTGATTGTGGTGGCTGCTGCAGTGCTTGGAGTCCTCAGGAAGCGCTAGGAGCATCCTTCAACGGAGGTACCCAGTCGGGGTGCCAGGTGATCCGTTACATTAATATCAAGGAAATAAAACAATATCATAAAACCAACATGTTATAAACCTTAAGAAAGACAATCAGTTCTCACCCAAGTAGGTTTGGGGGGAAATATGTCCTCCTATAAAATTATAGGTATAGTAACGTTAGCATAATCTACCATTTTACTGCCATTTTATGACAAGTAGCTTCATATGTTGATTTTTTAACACCAAGAAAGCAGAGAAAAAGAAGTAATGAAAATAGAAAACTGAAAATAGTTTCTTCTTGAGTCCAATCTGCCAAATGCATGATACATGCAAGGGATGCACCCGACGAAAAAGCATTCAATGCCGTTGTGACCTGAACCAAATGAGCCCCGAAAAAAAGAGGTCCACTCCCACTAGTGTAAGGAGCCAGCAGATCCATCTCACCAAAGAAGTAAAAGAAACTGATTGAACATCTGAAAGGAGGAGTTGACCCGTCCGTGACTGTCGCAAAAGAGTGGTAACCTCTAAGTAATGTAAGATCGCCTTAATGCTTAAAGTTGAGGATCGTCATGAAAATATGGATACAAATCTGTAGAAGAATCTGATATTAGTTGGCCGAGAATGCGAAAAAGTAATGACAAATCAAGGGATCCTGTCGACAGGAATCCCTTGAATGGGAATGTGAGCAGAGGAGATAGCCAATCTCATCAAGTTAATAGAATGATAAGAGCGACCTAAGTTAAATAAATGTGACAAGAAATTCTGAATGACGGGCACAGACGCTGTTAAGGGATCGAAGTTTGTGTCCAAACACCAACTATTCCCGGAATTCCATGAGATGGTATAATCTTGTTCCTGGAGCCTATGAGTCCAAGAGTAAGTTCTTAGTTGCTTGATAAGCCGTCAACATTCCCGGAGGCCTAGCAACTGTCCAAGTCACCAGAAGTAGATGATCTTATGGTATAAGGGTCACTGAGAGGACCAGTGAGCGGGAGAGGAAATGTAAGTAGAAGAAGAGGGTCCTTGAGAGATAATTTGAGAGGGTCCAGGAACAAGGCTTGGTACTGCCAGTCAGAAGCTGTCAGGAGAAGGGACACCTGTTGGGAATAGATCTGATGAAGCACTCTCACCAACATCAAGAATGGTGGGAAGGCATACCCCCTTGGTTTGGCCAATCTTGAAAGAACATCTCCACTGCAATCTGAATCTGGGAGTTAAAGTAAAATATTGGTAATTGACAATTCGTCCAGGAAGTGAAAAGATCCACCATGAGAGGGCCTTGCAGCTTGTATAGGAAGTGGAAGTCAGACAGGACCAGGCGTCAATCTCTGCTTCCAGCTTGGTCACCTTTGGAAGATGCTCCGGCTTGAGAGTGATGTTTTGTGTGAGGCAAAAAGTGTAAATGTCCTTTATGACCTCCAAGAAAGCTTGCGACCTGGCTCCCATCAGTCAATTTATATAATGGACCACCGATATAATGTCCATCACAGCCATATATGGAAAATAGATAGGATCATGAAGTACAAACTTGGGCGGGTGCGCCTGTTCCAAAATAAAATTTATTTTAATACTTTAGGATTAAACTAACAGAAATTTGTGGAAACAGGCTTTTGGAAGTTCCTCACTTGCCTAAAGCAGTTTTTGGAAATGGAAAAATGATTCAGGCTTGGTAAAGGGAGTAACTGCTGATATAAATAAATATGAATTTCTGTTAGTCCAGTAAAATAGATATTAAAATAAACTGCAATATGTCATTATTTTGCATTTGCTTAGGTATCATAACTAGAATGGTTAATGACAGATAGCAGCTTTAGTCAGTGAAAGCTTTTTTATTTATTCATTAATGTTTTGTTTTGTTTTTTTAATATGTTTATGAAATCATTACATTGCAATTTTCATACAATGCATGTATAGCATATTGGGACAGAGCACAGTTATTAACAAGTGATCAGATCAATTATTGTCATCCCGAATAAATAGACTGTTAGTGAACAAATAAAACACTAACCTCAAATAGGAAGGACCAGAGAGGGCTGATCCATCCCAAAAGAAGTTCCAAAGAAACAACTGGGAGTGCCAGATCTTTAGAAAGGAGGAGGAAGGAATTCTTTTTAAGAATGTTATCAGTACCTTCCAAAGTTACACTTTGTATAGTGGAGGACGGCTGTTTGAGATATCTTAAAAAACACATTTTGTTCTTGTTTGGTGACTGCTGTAGTAGGTTATTTATCAGCAATATAACACGCCATTGCAAAGTACCATTCCTCGAGAAGGTCAGACTCCTAGGATATATATGTCAGCATAGGGTGAATACATACAGATAGAAATATGACCAGGTATAATACAACTGGGGCCAGAGAGCAGTGAAATTATAAAATAAGAGGAATAATTTCTGATGATGCGGTTTCCTGCTCAGGTCTAGTCAATGGTAGGGGAGACGGTGTTCAATCTTTGTCTCAGCTGGCTCAGGAATAAAAGAGGAGGAAGGCAGGATGTGAAGACAGGAATGGAGGCGACAGAGTACCCAAGGACTTTCTGGTGTGCAATCTGGTGATTTAGAGACTAGCCCAATGCAAATCTGGGTTTATTACGTCATGCTGGGCCTGCAAACAAAAAATTATACATTTTAGACATGGTCATGACCAACACCAGAATGGCAGCCTTGAAGTATGACGCACGCTGGTGTACATAGAGCTCGCTTTAGTAAGCTGTGGGCTACCTGGTAAGTCACAATAAAAATGCCATGCACCCATGATAGTTACACAGCGTCATTTCTTCTCTGAGTAACAATATTTTGATGTTTAATTTTAAAAAGGATCTTCTGAACAACTTCCCTTTATGTTAAAGCACAAAATACATTGCTTAATATGCATGCTGAGATATGCACAGTGTTTGCAAGAAAATACATTCTGTAGAATTAAACTTTAAATCCTACTTTACTACTATATGTAACATTTCAGATTCCACTTACCATCCAGGTTTCCATAGTGTAGCCAGCATCGGAAATTCCAGTCACCTGTGATCCAGGTCTCCATATTTTATCCATCATCCAAGATTCTAGTTACACATGATGTAGGTCTCCATACTGTATCCAACATCCCAGATTCCAGTTACTTGTATTCCCAGTCTCCATACTCATCCATCATCCCAGATTCCAGCTACCAGTATTCCATGTCTCCATACTGTATCCATCATCGCAGATTCCAGCCACCTGTATTCCAGGTCTCCATACTTTATCTGCCATTCCAGATTCCAGTTACATGTGATCCAGGTCTCCATACAGTATCCATCATCCTGGATTCCAGGTACACATGATCTAGGTCTCCATACTGTATCCAACATCCAAGATTCTAGTTACCTGTATTTCAGGTCTCCATACTGTATCCAACTTCTCAGATTCCAGTCACCTGTGAGCCAGGTACTGCAGTACAGAGGAGCAACCAGTGAAATGCATCATTCTCTTGCAGTGTGATAACTGTTATAATATAGCTCAGCTCTGGTTGTTCCTCTGTGGGCATCACGGCTTTTCAGTTCACAGAATGTCATTTTTGGTCTTCTAAAGCAGTTTTTTTTTTTTTTTAAGCAATTAATAACTACCTTTCTCCTTTTTCTGTTGTTTCAGTTAAAGGATCAAGAAAGTTAAGTCTGCCAACAGATCTTAAGACTGATCTTGGTACGGTAGGCAAACGCCAAGAGCTATAAGCTTCCTCACCTTCATTGGCAAAACATTTTACCAACCAGCCCATGAGACTCCAAGGTCTTCTTTCTAAGGCACTCTAACTTATCCATGCAGCTCTGTTGGCAGTATTCAGCTTCTGCAACACTCATTCTCTTTGGCCACCTTCTATAAACCATTTCCTAGCTGTCACACATTAAAACAAACATAATGAAAGAAAACTAAGCATGTGTTCGAAATGCATACATCAGCAGCAGTGCACATCATCAATATACCTTCATTGTCTCAGAGCAAAAAAAACATTCAAAGGCTTTCAAAAGCCATTTTTTCATGCTCACTTTACAAACAAAATGCATCAGTTAACCCATGATTTGCTTTTATTTGCTTCATTTATAAATCAATATTTTTTTATCCTTAAAGTTTAATATAATGTGGATTTCTGCTTAGCAGGGAGAAACCTTGGATTTTAGGGGGTTTAGCAGGTTTAGTCTCTATTACAAATAGTTGATGTACTCACCTTCAATAATGGACTTCAATGTTTGTGTTCTTATTTTTGTTTTAAACAAACATGTGTAATGTGTCTCTACACTGCATGGTATAGTGACCCTCCCAGACTTTATTGGTTGCTTTAAGTAGTTGCTTTTGGCTTTTACAGGTAGTGTTGAATGTAAAGTAGGGACAGCTCATTGATCAGGGTTGGTAAAGACCCAAAAACATGCATGAGAACAAATATTTAAGGAATGGATACTGAAGGTGCGGTAAGTCTGTGTGAGGTGTTTTTATACCCCTTCTCATAATTAAGAAAAGGAAAAGACAGTAAGGAGAGGGATTATGCTGGGGCTAAGTGATGACTGGTGTTAAGAGCTTATCTGGTACCATCATGGGGACAAATATGGCTGGAGGAGGACTGATCTACATGCGGGCAATAAATTTCATTACAAACATGCCATACCAAAGGTCGAGTATGGAAATATGTTTGGGCACGGGAGTATAATAACAGGAGGATGCCGTATGCATTCTTCAAACTTTTGCAGAGAGAATATAAGTATTTTAGACATAACACTCAAGGGGGGAGTTTCAAATGACTGCTCTGAGTTGGTATCAAAATGGGTGCTAGTAAGGGTGCCAGAGGGAGTGCTAGAGAAGATTGTGAGGTGGTTGTAGAATTATGTGAGGGTGTCAAAAAGAGTCTCATTGAGTGATAGTGTGGGAGGTAGGATAGAAACATAGAATGTGACAACAGATAAGGACCATTCGGCCCATCTAGTCTGCCCAATTTTCCAAATACTTTCATTAGTCCTGGCCTTATCTTATATCTAGGATTTTAATGGGATTGTTAGTGTCAGTGGTCAGCTATCAGCTAGGGTGTCAAAATGCACGTCAGTGTGGTTGATGGGATGTGAGAAAGTGTCATTTTAGGTGGCAAATGGCAGAATGCCAAAGAGAGTGAAATAATGTCTGTCATTGTGGGTGGCAGGGTGGAATGGAGGATGTCATGATGGTAATCAATATCAATGTCGGTGGCAGGATGGAATGGAGGATGTCAGGATGGTTATATTTGTGGGTGGCGGGATGGAATGGAGGATGTCAGGATGGATATCAATGTCGGTGGCAGGGTGGAATGGAGGATGTCAGGATGGTTATCATTGTGGGTGGCAGGATGGAATGGAGGATGTCAGGATGGTTATTGTTGTGGGTGGCAGGATGGTTATTATTGTGGTTGGAAGGATGGAATGGAGGATGTCAGGATGGTTATATTTGTGGGTGGCGGGATGGAATGGAGGATGTCAGGATGGTTATCAATGTCGGTGGCAAGATGGAATGGAGATGTCAGGATGGTTATCATTGTGGGTGGCAGGAAGGAATGGAGGATGTCAGGATGGTAATCAATATCAATGTGGGGCAGGATGGAATGGAGGATGTCAGGATGGTTATCATTGTGGGTGGCAGGATGGAATGGAGGATGTCAGTATGGTTATTATTGTGGGTTGCTGGATGGAATGGAGGATGTCAGGATGGTTATATTTGTGGGTGGCAGGATGGAATGGAGGATGTCAGGATGGTTATTATTGTGGGTGGCAGGGTGGAATGGAGGATGTCAAGATGGTTATCATTGTGGGTGGCAGGATGGAATGGAGGATGTCAGGATGGTTATATTTGTGGGTGGCAGGATGGAATGGAGGATGTCAGGATGGTTATCATTGTGGGTGGCAGGATGGAATGGAGGATGTCAGGATGGTTATCAATGTTGGTGGCAGGGTGGAATGGAGGATGTCAGGATGGTTTTAATTGTGGGTGGCAGGGTGGAATGGATGATGTCAGGATGGTTATATTTGTGGGTGGCAGGGTGGAATGGAGGATATCAGGATGGTTATCATTGTGGGTGGCAGGGTGGAATGGACGATGTCAGGATGGTTATCAAGGTGGGTGGCAGGATGGAATGGAGGATGTCAGGATGGTTATTATTGTGGGTTGCTGGATGGAATGGAGGATGTCAGGATGGTTATTCTTGTGGGTGGCAGGATGGAATGGAGGATGTCAGTATGGTTATTATTGTGGGTTGCTGGATGGAATGGAGGATGTCAGGATGGTTATATTTGTGGGTGGCAGGATGGAATGGAGGATGTCAGGATGGTTATTATTGTGGGTTGCTGGATGGAATGGAGGATATCAGGATGGTTATCATTGTGGGTGGCAGGAAGGAATGGAGGATGTCAGGATGGTTATTGTGGGTGGCAGGGTGGAATGGAGGATGTCAGCATGGTTATATTTGTGGGTGGCAGGATGGAATGGAGGATGTCAGGATGGTTATTAATGTCGGTGGCAGGGTGGAATGGAGGATGTCAGGATGGTTATTGTGGGTGGCAGGATGGAATGAAGGATGTCAGGATGGTTATTGTGGGTGGCAGGATGGAATGGAGAATGTCAGGATGGTTATTATTGTGGGTTGCTGGATGGAATGGAGGATGTCAGGATGGTTATATTTGTGGGTGGCAGGATGGAATGGAGGATGTCAGGATGGTTATCAATGTCGGTGGCAGGGTGGAATAGAGGATGTCAGGGTGGTTATATTTGTGGGTGGCAGGAAGGAATGGAGGATGTGAGGATGGTTATCATTGTGGGTGGCAGGGTGAAATGGAGGATGTCAGGGTGGTTATTATTGTGGGTGGCAGGAAGGAATGGAGGATGTCAGGATGGTTATTGTGGGTGGCAGGATGGAATGGAGGATGTCAGGATGGTTATTATTGTGGGTTGCTGGATGGAATGGAGGATGTCAGGATGGTTATATTTGTGGGTGGCAGGATGGAATGGAGGATGTCAGGATGGTTATCAATGTCGGTGGCAGGGTGGAATAGAGGATGTCAGGGTGGTTATATTTGTGGGTGGCAGGAAGGAATGGAGGATGTGAGGATGGTTATCATTGTGGGTGGCAGGGTGGAATGGAGGATGTCAGGGTGGTTATTATTGTGGGTGGCAGGAATATGGTCTCATGGTTGGGACGTAAGTAACAAATGCTCCTACTCCCCAACCTGCAAATGCAATCCCTCGCCAGATGCCTGTGGATGGTTATTGTGGGTGGCAGGGTGGAATGGAGGATGTCAGAATGGTTATTATTGTGGGTTGCTGGATGGAATGGAGAATGTCAGCATGGTTATTGTGGGTGGCAGGGTGGAATGGAGGATGTCAGAATGGTAATTAATGTTGGTGGCAGGATGGAATGGTTGATGTCAGGATGGTTATCATGGTGGGTGGCAGGATGGAATGGAAGACAAATAGGATGGTTATCAATGTCAGTGGCAGGATGGAAATGGATGATGTCAGGGATGGTTATTCTTTTGTGGGGTGGCAGGGGAAGGAAATGGAGGGGGATGCCGATGGTTATTGTGGGTGGCAGGTGGAATGGAGGATGTCAGGATGGTTGGTCAGGTGGTAAGTGGAATGGAGGATGTCAGGATGGTTATTGTGGGTGGCAGGGTGGAATGGAGGATGTCAGGATGGTTATTGTGGGTGGCAGGGTGGAATGGAGGATGTCAGGATGGTTATTCTTGTGGGTGGCAGGAAGGAATGGAGGATGTCAGGATGGTTATTCTTGTGGGTGGCAGGAAGGAATGGAGGATGTCAGGATGGTTATTCTTGTGGGTGGCAGGAAGGAATGGAGGATGTCAGGATGGTTATTGTGGGTGGCAGGATGGAATGGAGGATGTCAGGATGGTTATTGTGGGTGGCAGGGTGGAATGGAGGATGTCAGGATGGTTATTATTGTGGGTTGCTGGATGGAATGGAGGATGGTTGGGTGGTGGGATGGTGGGATGGCATACATATTGTAAGAATGGTGTCATAAGGGGGGCAGAATGTCAAGAAATAGGTCAGAGTAGGAGTTAAACTGTCTGTTAGGTTGTTAATGTTTTTGACAGAATGCAAGTTACAATGTCTAGATGTCTCAGAGGGTATCATAATAGGTGTGAAAATATCAAAGTGTTCACTATATGTAAGCATGGGTTTCAGAATGTCAAAGAGGGCATCCACGTGGATCTAGTCACTAACTTAAAAGAGTTTGAGTTTGATGGAGAAAAGATTGTATTACTTATTTAAGGGTAAGGGTGAAAAAATACACCCAAAATCTGTTCAAAGTTAACTAACTCAAACTGAGTACGGAAATATGCAATACCCTTAAGTCCTGGAGGGGAAAATACAGTTCATGGTTGGGATGTAAAACAAATGCTCCTACTCCCCAACCTGCAATAACTCGTCAGATCCTTACCTATCCAACCTCCGGTCTCACCTCTATGCAAAGCCAGATGGAAAAATACATTACCCAAGGCCGCAGGGCAAGAATACCATTATACAGTAAAACACAAGTTACAGTGGGAGGTTTTTAAAAGCCCAAACTAAATGTATTACCAAACAGCAGCATTAAGTCTAGTGATCACATTACAAAAAGGGGAGGAGAACTTACAATGGGCTGTGATAGAAACTTTTTGGACCATGATTTTTTGATTTTTTGACTCATGAACTCTGCTTGACCCGAAACACCATATATATGACTGACCACTGCTCTCTCACTTAGGGTATGGGATTAATATCCATAAAACCTATGCATATACCAACCCCTGGCAACCTATCCCTGCTGCTTTAATTACTTGATTCCCACATTCAAAAACAGAAAATGTGCTGTGGCTTGATCGTTTTGTTTCAAATTTGGAAAAGGAGTTAAATTAATACCTTTCGATTAACTAACACAGGAATAAAATCTACCAAGAGGGGCCTCTTTCTCTTACTTACAACTGCAATCTTACCCAACATCCCATCCACTAAAACACTGGATCAGGGGTCAAGTCCTGGGGAAAAAAGTGTGGGAACTCACCCAAGATTCCCGCCGCCCCCCCCCCCCTTTAAAAAAAAAAAAAAATTACACTCCTATGCATATAGTGCAGTGCAGGGTGTGTATAATGAATGTAGTGTGTTTGTAGTGAATGCAGAGTGTGTATAATGAATGCAGTGTGTTTTTAGTGAGTGCAGAGTGTGTACACTGAATGCAGTGTGTTTGTAGTGAATGCAGAGTGTGTATAGTGAATGTAGTGTGTAGTGAGTGCAGAATGTGCATAGTGAATGTAGTGTGTAGTGAGTGCAGAATGTGCATAATAAATGCAGAGTGTGTATAGTGAATGCAGAGGGTGTATAGTGAATGTAGTGTGTTTGTAGTGAGTGAAGAGTGTGTATAATGAATGCAGTGTGTGCGTGTGCGCGCTGGATGATGTGTGTGTGAGTGCTGGATGATGTGTGTGCGAGTGCTGGATGATGTGTGTGTGAGTGCTGGATGATGTGTGTGTGTGTGCTGGATGATGTGTGTGTGTGCTGGATGATGTGTGTTCGAGTGCTGGATGATGTGTGTTCGAGTGCTGGATGATGTGTGTTCGAGTGCTGGATGATGTGTGTGTGGGTGCTGGATGATGGGTGTGTGAGTGAGTGCTGGATGATGGGTGTGTGAGTGCTGGATGATGGGTGTGTGAGTGAGTGCTGGATGATGTGTGTGTGGGTGCTGGATGATGGGTGTGTGAGTGCTGGATGATGGGTGTGTGAGTGAGTGCTGGATGATGGGTGTGTGAGTGTTGGATGATGGGTGTGTGAGTGAGTGCTGGATGATGGGTGTGTGAGTGAGTGCTGGATGATGTGTGTGTGTGGGTGCTGGATGATGGGTGAGTGAGTGCTGGTGTGTGAGTGCTGGATGATGGGTGTGTGTGTGCGTGTGCTGGATGATGTGTGTGTGCGTGTGCTGGATGATGGGTGTGTGTGCTGGATGATGGGTGTGTGTGTGCTGGATGATGGGTGTCTGAGTGCTGGATGATGGGTGTGTGAGTGCTGGATGATGGGTGTGTGTGTGCTGGATGATGGGTGTGTGTGTGCTGGATGATGGGTGTGTGTGTGCTGGATGATGGGTGTGTGTGTGCTGGATGATGGGTGTGTGTGTGCTGGATGATGGGTGTGTGTGTGCTGGATGATGGGTGTGTGTGTGCTGGATGATGGGTGTGTGAGTGCTGGATGATGGGTGTGTGTGTGCTGGATGATGGGTGTGTGAGTGCTGGATGATGGGTGTGTGTGTGCTGGATGATGGGTGTGTGAGTGCTGGATGATGGGTGTGTGTGTGCTGGATGATGGGTGTGTGAGTGCTGGATGATGGGTGTGTGTGTGCTGGATGATGGTTGTGTGAGTGCTGGATGATGGGTGTGTGTGTGCTGGATGATGGGTGTGTGGTGCTGGATGATGGGTGTGTGAGTGCTGGATGATGGGGGGGGGGAGCATTTTTTTTAACTTTATGTGTCTATATTTTTTTATTTTATTCCCCCCTCCCTGCTTCTTACCTTGTCAGGGAGGGGGGAGATCGCCTGGTGGTCCGGTGGTATGCTGGAGGGAGGCAGCCGCTGCACAGAGGGGCCATCACACGCAGTGTTCCCTCTCCAGCTCTAACTCTCGCGAGACTCGCCTGTGCGGAGCGTTGCCATGGTAACAGCCGCGGGTCTCGCGAGAGTTATAGCTGGAGAGGGAACACAGCGTGTGCTGGCCCCTCTGTGCAGGTAGCAGGGCCGGTCCTGCAGGACAGGTAACGGGAACGGCGTTCCTGCTGTGGAAAAAGTGCAGGAACGCCGTTCCCATGCGTTCCTGCAGGACTCGAGCCCTGCACTGGATACATCTGTTACCCAACTATCTAATTTTGAAAAACTGTGTTCAAATAACTATCCCAAAAGAAGTGAATTACTGTGTGCTATAATTAAATCACCAAACCTGATACACAGTTTCTCATAAAATTTGCTAAGGCATGAAAGAACGACTTGGGACATGGCTTATCCCTGGAACAGGGAGGTTGGAATTTGGAATACTCAAAGCACTAATTGCTACTCTCATTTAAAAATATTCTCAGAAAAATAGCCTATAGATGATACTTAGTACCCACATGATTAGCACTTATGAGAGCATCATACTCTAATCTTTGTTGAAGATACATAGCAAGTCCCAGAACGAGGTTCCACAATGATGGTCTGCTCATTAATCATTTTGGCATACAATTAGACACAGTAACCAAAATTATAAGACAACCAATCCTACTGAAAGCGGAGTAGTTTCTGCTGTTTATGTTTACCCCAATTGTATCAAGAGACACAGATCCTGAGTTTGATCCTTATAGCATCAAACCTTCTAATTGCTAGAAAGTGGGCCTCCACTCAAATCCCCAAAGCTACAGCACAGTTAACAAGCGAGAGAATGGCATTTGCCAACTCCGATAGACATTACAAAACTGTTAGAGCATGGGATGAATGGGAGGAAAATAAAGCCACATTATAAAACATAATCTTGGCATGGGATGTTTTAACATACAGAGCTCAATAACATAGAGTGGTCAAGGGGTACATGCAAGTAATACTATCCCCCCTGAGAAGGTTTACAAGAGGGATGGAGAATGAGAGAAAAGGAAGAACTTACAGCAAGGGGCATTACTACAGGTTCATATTAGGAACACTAACTAACTATTGTGATAGCTACATATGTTCTGTGGGGACGGGCAACCTCCCTTTCTACTAGACGACACATAATTCTAGACATTTCTCCATTTTCTTTTCTTTTTCTACTGCTTTTTTCCCCTCTCCCCATCGGCAGATTGGGCACCAGGGAAAGGAGGTAGTTCGCCTCTTTCCCCAGCAGCAGAGTGTGTTTCAGGGAGAGGGTGGAGGAGACACCTCGACCAAGTGGCAGGAGGAACTTCAGAGAGATATGGTAGTCGTCCTCCATATTATATGTTCTAACTATTTACTATAACCCTAGCGCCCAAGCATAACTTAATGCTTCCTGCAGGCAGGGGAAGCCAGGATGTGACCTTTTTATCCCAGCTGCCTCCTGCCTGTGAACACCGGAAGCCCTCTGCTCACAGTGCACGTGTCCCCTGCTCCCCCATTACAAACCAGGAAATTTCCTGCAGGCTAGAGGCTGGTCCCCTTCTCATCCAGTCACAGCACTTAAATCTTGCCCATCTGGAGGATTTGTGCATGGTTGTAAATTTGTGTGTGTAAATAAAGTGTGACTATATGTAAATTGGTGTTAGGACATTGTGTGTGTATGCCAGTAAGAGTGTGTAAGTTAGTGTGTTAGTGACATTGTGTGTGTATGTCTGTGAAAGTGTGTGTGTGTGTGCCAGTAAATATATGTGTGTCATCATGGAAATGTATCCTTATTTATTAAATTAAATTTATGATATATATTATATTGTCAAACAAGTTCACTGTAACATAAATTAAATACCACCATTTTTATAAATTAAATTCACCAAATAAATTGAATACATCATTTATCACATTGATAAATCATGTATCCAATGTAAAATGTATTAGGCAGTATGTGTTTATGGATATATGTATTATGCAGTATGTGTGTATGGATGTGTGCAATAGACAGTGTGTGTGTATGGTTCATTGTATTGTTAGGCAGCGTGCATGTATGAATGATGTATTGGGCACTGTGTGTGTGTGTGTATGTATTGGGCAGTGTGTGTGTGGATGTGTGCATTAGGCAGTATTTATGGACGTATGTATTAGGCAGTATGTGTGTATGGATGTGTGTAATAGACAGTGGATGTGTATGGTTTGTGTATGGTTTGTTGTATTGTTAGGCAGCGTGCATGTATGAATGATGAATTGGGCACTGTGTGTGTATGTATGCATTGAGCAGTGTGTGTGTGTGTGTATGTGTGTGTGGATGTATGCATTAGGTAGTATTTATGGACGTATGTATTAGGCAGTATGTGTGTATGGATGTGTGTAATAGACAGTGTGTGTGTATGGTTCATTGTATTGTTAGGCAGCATGCGTGTATGAATGATGTATTGGGCAGTGTGTGTGGATGTGTGCATTAGGCAGTATTTATGGACGTATGTATTAGGCAGTATGTGTGTATGGATGTGTGTATTGGGCAGTTTGTATGTATTGGGCAGTGAGTGTGTGTGGATGTATGTATTAGGCAGTGTGTGGCGAAACCAGCCTCGCCACTGTCCACTGGAGGAGCCTGGTTGCTTGCCTGCTGCCTTTAGACTATGGCCCCATGTTGAAACGCTTGATTTTCCCCTGCAGAGACACGAAAGCCAGGTCACTTGGGTCTTGCCCTGTTTGAGCAGTGTTACCCCAGATAGCTATGCCATGGAGCCCATTCGTATAATGAAAGACTATGGGAAAGACTCTGGCTCCATGGCAATTGAGTGTGATCTGAGTGCCATTCAGTAATAATCTGCGCTCAGATCTAAGCTATCTGGGGATATGTTGAATGTACCTGTTTTATGCAATAGCTGAACAGTTATATATTTTTATGTATTTTATTGTCTTTTGCTGCCATGTGTTCAATGGAGTTTTGTCTCTGTCCTTGGAGATAATTGGATTACTTCCCAATTATCTTCAGGATAGAAGACTCTGTGGAACTGGTTTTGGGCAGAAAAGCCATGCTTCATTTGGTCACAAAGGACTTTGATCTATCTTTTGAACCAATGGACCAATTTGGATGATTTTGACATATGTTTGTATTTGGAGTATGCTGATGTGATGTATATTATGAATAATGTGGAAAAACTGTATTTCTCTGCCTGTGATAATTACATTACAAATTGTGTAAGGTAATTGTATCACAGGCAGAGGGGAGGATTTTGTGTGGGAGTGTCTGAGTGTATTGTACATGTTTATTGGTTGTTTTCCAAAACCCTGTGGGTGGTACTAATGTGTAAGAATGTGTATATAAGAACAATAAACCCACAGCTCTGTCTGATTCTGCTTGACCCTCAAAATGAAGTGTTGTCTCGTTATTGGGGGAATTGGATTGTATGCTGATTGCCAGGAGTGTAAGTTGATTATATGCTTTTCCTGTTCGGCTGGTTCCAGTGTTCGTGTGTTTCCTGTTCGGGAGTTGGAAGATTCGTGTAATTTGCAGTTCGGGAGATTGGTGCTTGTGACAGACCCATCCGTATGGACTAAGATTGCTGGATTCGTCTGTTTGCTTGTTTCACGAATTCCCCCATTCGTATGCCTGGATTTAAGTGAATTGACTTTTTTTACCGAACAAAACTGTCGAACGGACGGCCACCCAGAAGAGAAGTGTGCTGCTGGTTAACCTATTGATCCCAATTAGAACGTTGCGGTTAACCACAGACACTTCTCAATTAAAACCGAATACAGGGTGGTCGTCGTTCAACCGCTGATGCCGTCGACCTCCCTTCTCCAATCGACAGAAGTGTGCGAACACCGGCCGTTTGGGAGATTTAAAGGCACGAATGGACTTACCCCAGATAGCCTTCCCATGGAGTCAATCGCATACCGAAGAACTGTAATAGACTTTGACTCCATGGCGATTGAACTATGCGTATGGGATCTGAGCGCTATTCGCCAATAATATGCACTCAGATCCAGGCTATCTGGGGATGTGTTACACGAATGAGAAATGTTCGGCAGTTATAAAGTTATATATTTTTATGTGTTTTATGATTTGTATTTAAAATGGCGATTTGCCTCTGCTCTGGGAGATAATTGAATTACTTCTCAATTATCTCCCGGGCAGAGGGGAGGAAACTGTGATGTATGCTGGGAATATTGTGTGACTGTATGTCCTGAAATGCCATATGTCCATCTGCTATTCCAGTCTCCCATTTGGTCCCCTAGGGGAGTGTCCACCAAGTGGGAGACCTGCATAAATACGGGCGGGCAGCCCACAGTAAACTCAGTTCGTGTTTTACCCTCAATGCGGAGCCTGGTCTCGTTATTGGGGGGGATTTTATTACCGGCGACTAGAGACTGCTATTTGGAATTATCAGCCGCTTGGGAGATACCGGCGTTCGGCTGATATTGACGGTTCGTGAGCTTGGAGCTCGTGGAGGGAAGTTACCGTACGGATACCGTTCGGGAGTTTGGAGTGTTCCCTTGCTGGCGGTTCGCATGGTTGTATTGGATACGCTTACAGCCTACATTATTGCGAACGGGGAGCATTCACTATACGGCGGTTTGTACATTTCATGCTGAAGGTACCGTAACAGTGCTTGCAGTAGCTGTCTGTGCATCTGAAAAGGGGAATATCGCCTAAACGGGTTTAACCTCTTGTGTGCAAAATGGTCCGTTACACAGTGTGTATGTGTATGTATTGGGCAGTGAGTGTGTGTGGATGTATGTATTAGGAAGTATGTGTATGGATGTATGTACTGGATGTGTGTGTGTTTATATTGGGCATTGTATCTCTTTCTTTCCCTAAATCTCTGCTCACTGTGTCTCTCTCTCCTAAAATGTCAACCAGTCTGTCTCTGTTTCGTGAATACCTCAACATTCTCTCCTTTCCCGAATTGTCTCCCAGTTCTTTTTCCTTTCCCTAAATTTCTCACCGGTGTGTCTGCTTTCCCTAAATGTCTCTTCAGCCTGTTTTCTTCCCTAAATGTCTTCCCAGTCTCACCGGTCCATCTCTGTTTCCTAAATGTCTTCTCATTTTCCACTAAATGTCTTGGCCCTTCTCTCTATTCACTATTCACTAGGTTCACATCTGTTTTGGCCTAAATGTTGCAAGTCATAGTTTAACTCACTGTTTAATGAATAGACAATGACGAGAAAACAATAGAAAATGACAAGACACCCGAAGATTCATAGATATATTGGAAATAATGAAAAGGCAAAAAACCAATCCCCTCGTAAATTCAAACAAAGTATCCTCTCCTTATATACAAACCCAACAGCTAGAGTTATAAATTCAGGGTTCCTGTCACGAAAGTTCTGCCTCGCTAAGATGCTACGAGACAGGGCTGCCCCCTCTCTCCATTAATTTTTATCATGGTCCTTGAACTTTTACCACAAGCATGTCAAGTCTAGCAAATAAACAAGGTTTAAGTTTATGCGAGCCTCAAAAAAACTTAAGTTTTCATAGAAACTTAGGTTTATTTTGAAAGGTACAGTATAAAAAAAAAAAACAGAAACTCCCTCTACTAAAACACAGCACCCCCCTCTACTAAATCCCAGTCCCCTGTCTACTAAATCCCAGCACCCCCCTCTAGTCAACAAGCAGACTCCACTCACATTGCTGCTGACAGTATCCGACCCCAGAGCCCGGCCTCTGGTGTGCCCCAAATGGCACCGTCCGCACTCTGTGCCAAAGCTACTTCTTGAAACCCTGTGAAGGTGGAGCACATCGACGTCACGTCGGAATGTGACGTGGCATTGCGTGCCTCTGAGCACCTCCAATGGGACATGGCATTGCGAGCCTCCGAGCACCTCCAGGTCCTCCACTGTCTAGCCGCGGCCATCACAACACTGACCAACACACACACTCACTGACAGACACACACACACTGAGAGACACATACTCACTGATATACACACACACACACACACACTGACAGACACACACACACACACTGGCAGACACACACACACACACTCACTGACAGACACTGGCAGACACACACACACACACACTCACTGACAGCCACACAGGCAGCCACACACACACATTCACTGACAGACACACAGACAGACACACACACTCACAGACAGACACACACACTCACTGACAGACACACACATTCACTCGCTGACAGACACACACATTCACTCGCTGACAGACACACACACACACTCATTAACAGTCAGACACACACACTCACTGACAGACACACACACTCACTCACTGACAGACACACAGAGACAGACACACACACACACACACTCTCACTGACAGGCACACTCACTAAAAGAAACAAACTGACTGACACACACACACACATTTACACATTCATGCACACACTCACATCATTTTATTTATTGCTCCCTACCTTTGTGAGCTGTGTGGGGCTTCTCCCTGTGGTCAAGTGGGGATCTTCTATCTGGGGATCTCCTTCCTGCCCCATCGTGTGCAGTTTAGCGATGCCTGGTGCCGCAATATGATGTCATATTTTGGCACCCGGCATCACCACAGATGGCACGCGTGAGGGAGCAGTGAGGAGCAGGAAGACTGAGCTCCTCCAGCGACCTCTCTGAGTCCAGGCCGAGTAACTTTTAGCAGAGTAGGCACCTGCAATGTGGAGAAAGCAGGTGCCTACTCTGCTTTAACACTAAGCATGTACTCGCTGCTCACCAGGCCACAAAGATGTTCATTGTGGGCCACTAGTTTGACATGCTTGCCTTAGCATATAAGATAATCAAGCATGACCAAGTAATGGGATTAAGCACACATATGGGACCCCAAAAACTGGCTTTATTTGATAATACTCACAACTCCACATAATGCAATAACACTGCTAATGGATCTATTGAAGGACTATGGCACAGTGTCATATTATAAAAACATTACCAAAACCCAAGCTTTACCCATAAATATGCAACAATCAACTGTTCAAAAACTGAAAACTGAATACCCATTTGAGTGGAGAAAGGATTCCATAAAATATTTGGGAATCCAGTTGTCAGTTTTGAAACAGGTTATGATTGAGAATAACCATTGTAAACTACTGCGAGAGGTACAAGAAACATTAGAGCGCTGGGATAGGGGTACTACCTCATGGGTGGGACGGATTAATTCCGTTAAAATGTGCATTTTACCGCAGATCTTATTTTCTTTTCAGAACTATACCAATAATGATTCCTAAGTCAATTATAACATACTTCCAGAATACCATTAATGCACATATCTGGAAACGTAAACCCCTGAGGGTATCATTGAACACAATGAGCTGCAAAATGACAGTGTAACGGAGCTTCCTGTACCCCGGTTGGGTGCCTCCTCCGACGGATGCTCCTAGTGCTCACCGAGGCCTCCAAGCACTCCACCAGACACCATCAGCACTGCAGTCCCCACATCTAGTGTTACAGCTTGGCTGGGACTTGCTGTCCTCTACCCACCCTGGACCTACGACAAGGCTCCAGGTTCCAGTGCGTGAACCTCTCCTCCATGAGAGAGTAGCAGGAACAGCTCTTAAAAGAGCTTAGTGATTGTAACGGAGCTCCAGTACTCCGACCGAGTACCTCCGCCAAGTCGGCTTCCTTGTAGCTATCAGGGACCCTGAAACACTTCAGACCCAGACGCCGAGGCTTGACTGGGATCACTTGGGGCCTTTTCCACCCTGGACCAAACACCAGACGACACATGGTGAAGGTTAAACAGCAACTCTTTAATGAATACAGCACACATAGTTTTAAGCCCCCAACAGCCTCATTTACATACAATAGGTTACATAGATTACTATAGTACAAGGAAGGGTGGGGTCAGACAACAGCAAGGGCTGATGGGAGATTGAGGAGTGACAGAACAGCTAGTTTAAACTGGTCTGGCAGTGTCTCTGGGACAATGCCCTGCTGAGGAAACAATAGGACAGGAAAAAGGGAGGAGGGGGAGGGGGAGATGCACAGACCAGCAATACATTCAACATACCCTGCACAAATAATAGGCACAATGTGACAAAACACAAAAGGAATTTGGGAGCCCACCCATAGTGTCTTTCTTCCATCCCCAGTGATGGTGACTACCGTCACATATCTTCCCCCTCAAAGGTAGACTAACCAGGTACCAGACCTCCAATCGGTCTGTGCCTTAGTTAGTCGGGTAATAAGTCCCAAAAAGTCCATCCATCCTGGCAGCCTTCTCGACAAAGTTCCACATAGTTTGTAAGTTTGTCCCGATCAGGAGCATGGAGCCCTCATAGCCGATCAGTCTGTTTAAGTCTGGTTTAAGCAGGCCAGACTGGGCTTCTCGGTCACCCTGTGCCTCTAATAAGCACAGGGTGACTTAGACATAAGAGGGGACTTGGAAGTAGAGAAAGGGAGTTCCCAGTGAATCTGCCATGGCCCCCTTCCCAAACTCAAACCTATCCCCATATGACTCCACTCTTAGGAGGCCACTGTGACCCCAATAGCAATTCTGGAACCCTGTATCTCCAGCTCAGAATATTTTCCAGCATATTTCTCCCCCTTCAGAAGGAGACCAATACAGGAGACCCCAGACGAGTTGACTCTGAAGTTAGTGACTATTTCCAGATCATCAAGGCCATCACTGAAAAGTTACCCCAAACAAATTGCCCATGGAAGAGCAGCACTTACCCAGCCAACCTCTGCATCTACTAAAGCATATACCTGGTGATGCGTGCCCACTGTCCTGTCTCCCTGGATCTCTCTCAGCCGCTGGAGGGAAGGCAGGGTGGCTGGGCCCCCTCTGACATGGGGTTGGGGATCAGAGCCTTCCTGAGGACTACAGGTAGAGACCAGAATTCCATCCATTTGTATTGGATAGAGATCCCCCACTGCTTGTGGCAAAGGGCTGAGGTTAGCCGTGCTTTGCTCTGGGATCCGCTCTTCAGTGGGACCAGCAATGTCTGATGCCTGAGGCTCGTGGGTTACCAGTGGGTTTGGGCAGAGGCAGCCCCGATGCCAGCTCTTCAGCTGGGGGAGTTGCGCACTCCTTGAACTCCACCTTCACTAGAAGGTTGATCTCCCTGCTCTTCAACTCCAGCATCATTGCAAGTTGGGCACAGAGGCCAACAGCGCTCTGACTCAATGCCAGCGCTTCAGCTGGGGTGGTGGTGTACTCCTCAAGTTCCACCATCACCGAAAGGCTGTCCTCCCTGCTCTCAACTTCCGGCGTTGCTGCAAGTTTGTGCCAGGGGCCAATGGTCCTCTGTCCTGATGCCAGCTCTTCTCCTGGGGTTACACTTTGCCGCTGGGGAAAAAGACCAACTGCCTCCTCTCCCTGTAACGCAAACTTCAGCTTCAGATGATCTCCCCTGCCGCCCTTGGTCCATGGCCATCAAGGCCCACCGGCCGTGTTCTGCAGAACCAACCACCTAGTGGGCGGCAGGGACCAGGTTGACTACCCATGAATTAGGGTATATATAAGCTGTATAAGTATGCCAGCTCTTCAGCTGGGGGAGTTGCGCACTCCTTGAACTCCACCTTCACTAGAAGGTTGATCTTCCTGCTCTTCAACTCCAGCATCATTGCAAGTTGGGCACAGAGGCCAACAGCGCTCTGACCCAATGCCAGCGCTTCAGCTGGGGTGGTGGTGTACTCCTCAAGTTCCACCATCACCGAAAGGCTGTCCTCCCTGCTCTCAACTTCCGGCGTTGCTGCAAGTTGGGGCCAGGGGCCAATGGTCCTCTGTCCTGATGCCAGCTCTTCTCCTGGGGTTACACTTTGCCGCTGGGGAAAAAGACCAACTGCCTCCTCTCCCTGTAACGCAAACTTCAGCTTCAGATGATCTCCCCTGCCGCCAATGGTCCATGGCCATCAAGGCCCACCGGCCGTGTTCTGCAGAACCAACCACCTAGTGGGCGGCAGGGACCAGGTTGACTACCCATGAATTAGGGTATATATAAGCTGTATAAGTATGTATAAGGGATTGAATGTTCATTTACAGTTATTGGTGACCGCTGATCTGACTACATAAAATGCTTTTGAATGTATTAATATGGTTGAACAGACTGCAGACTGTAAAATGTAAATTGTGGCATTATATTATTTTATAAAAAAAAATGTAATAAAAATTTAAACATGAAAAAAAAAGAAAATGAAAAAAGGCAATGATGTGGTCTTTACTAAAGTGAGAATTGTTGGGGATTCAAAATTAAATCAAAGTTAATTTCAAATGTAAGGGCAAAGTGGCCAAATCTGGAGCATGTTTGCATTTTTTTGCTCTTAAATTAGATATTCACTTTGAATTCCCAACAATTCTCACTATAGTGAATAACCCTATAAGAATAAAGAGAGACAGACTTGGGAGAATCATTGACAGAGTAAGCAGGGAAAGCATGAATATAGAAACTGCAAGCTTTGGGAAACAGAAATAGGATAAAGATGGGGATAGACGCTTATTAGAGAGAGAGTGCACAGATTGTGAAGTGAGAGGAGTGAGCACTGTGGAGGAAAGGGACATCTGGTCAGACCCAGCTGGAAACCAAATGGCAAAGCATAGGCCAAAATAGCTGATTTAGAAGAATTTTCCAACTCCAACAAAAAACACAGTTCGGCTGTTTTTTGTAATTCGGTTTTCAGTTCACTGAAATTTAGAGTTTAGTGAAAAAAGCTCTGAGAGAATGTGATTGCATTCATAAGGGTGTGGCTAATTGGATCTTTGCCTATGGTGGCAGGAATCCTTGCACCGGTTCTGCTGACACCGATTGTGGATTCCCAGATGTTTCTTATGTCTAAGTCCCCCTGTGCCCACTATAGGTGCAGGATGTATATCATCAATTTTTTTGTCACATGTCTTGTGTGCTCTCCTGTGCTACTGATGCTCTCTATTTACATATTCAGGTAGATTTGCATATTATGGTTTATGCAGGCAGAGGACATGTTCCTTATCAGAGTTTGTCTTCCCTCACCCTTTTGTTAATATTGTATTATGTAATAAGAGTGCCTCTATGACTCCCCATATGATTACATTTTGTGTATGGGATTGAATGTGTCGCAATAAGTTTAACATAATGCAAATAGGGTCTAGTCCTGAGTGTAAATACAGTTTTGATTGCTTGTTCCATTGGGAACTGTGTGTCCTGCCTGGTTTGTTCCATTAGTAGTGTTTGTTCCAGTAGTAGAGGGGTCGATACCTGCCTGGGACAAGGAGGGACAGGCAGAGGGCTCAATACCTGCTTGGGACAAGAAGAGAAGGGCAGTGGGGTCAATGTGACGGACCGTCTGGCACCCCGACTGGGTACCTCCGACAGTTGCTGCCTCTTAGTATTTGCTAGCACCATAAGCACTGTACTGGAACACCATAACCACCGTAAACCCCATGAACTGCCGCAGCTTGGTTGGGGTCTCTCTGTCCTTCACCCACCCTAGACCCAGCTTTTAGTGGGTAGACCTCTCCTAGTCCAGAGAGCTTAGCAGGAACAGCTCTTATAAGGAGGGACAGGCAGGGGGGCCGACACCTGCTGAGAGAAGCTGATACCTGCCTGGGACAAGGAGGGACAGGCAGAGGGGTCGATACCTGCCTAGGAGGGGACAATACCTGCCTGGGACAAGGAGACACAGGTAGGGGGCTCAATACCTCCCGAGAGGGGATGATACCTGCCTGGGACAAGGAGGGAGAAGCAGAGAGGTCGATACCTGTCTAGGAGGGGACAATACCTGCCTGCGACAAGGTGGGACAGGCTGAGGGGTCGATACCTGCCTGGGAGGAGACGAGACCTGCCTGGGACAAGGAGGGAGAGGCAGAGTGGTCGATACCCTCCGAGAGGGGATGATGCCTACCTGGGACAAGGTGGGACAGGCAGAGTGTTCAATACCTGCCAAGAGGGGATGATACCGTCCTGGGACAAGGAGTGACAGACAGAGAGGTTGATACATTATCTTGTGGGAAATCAAGGGACTTAAATGGAGTGCTGCTGGGGGCCAATAAGTACAGTAAAAATGAAAATCCAGCGCACTCTCTTATCTACTAAACAGCTACTTTGGTGCTGACAGATGTTGTAAGTTTTTTTAAAAAACACTTAATCTAGGCAAAAAATAATGAGGGATTAGTTACATTATATGATCATACTTTGCATAAGCCTGCCATAACGTCAATGTACCCCATCTTTGGCAGGTCCTACTCTGACAGCCAACTGTCCTTGGTTTGCAGCCCTCCCTGTCACAGGTGCCTCATCTCAGGACCCTATTTAGCCTTGTACTGCAGAGAACTTGAGATGCAAGGATTTCCCCAAGTGAGTAGCTCATTTAGTAGACAGTTGGCTGTTAGTGTAGGACCTGCCAAAGATGGGGTACATTGACGTTGTGGCAGGCTTATGCAATGTATGATCATATAATGTAACTAAACCCCCATTATTTTTTGCCTAGATTAGGTGTTTTTAATAAAACTAGCAAAATCTGTCAGTGCCAAAGTAGCTGTTTAGTACATAAGGGAGTGCGCTGGATTTTCATTATACTGATACATTATCTTGTGTTATGCTCCATTTTCATTTAAATTTATACTAAACGGTGTTGTCACCTTCTAGTCCCATCCTAGCACAGCCAATGCACATTGCATTGGAGAAGAAACAGAGGAATTGTCTGGATTCTCAAACATTTTAGTCATGTACCTACACTATGGCAACCGTGTGTCCAGGAGAGAATATAAATCCACTTAGAGCAGCAGGGATATTACTCTTTATAATCATGTTAAATACATGGATCAAACCAGACATCTGGTCACCCCCAATCCACGTCCGACATACTGAAAACCAGACAGAGGCTGATTTTACCATCAGATTGTATTCCCTGCTGACAGCTTTAGTAGGTAAATTCCATGCTGTGTAATATGATGTGTATATAACACTGTGTCTGTTTATCACACAGAGCGGAATATTAGCCATCTTGTGAACGGCTGCCAGGGTTTGTCATCTATATGGAGAGAATACAATATGGAGTGTTTATCGAGTTTGCTTTATTACTATAATTAGAGGACTCACACTGTGGGTTATTCAGTTAATCCATCACGTAAATGCACCTAATCGCGCTGGTGTCGCTGATAATATAAGTTCATACAAATGAAGCTGTCAATTAGCGTCACTTACAGCTGTCCCTGGGGTCTCCTGGACCACACGTCTGTCTTTAATTCTCACAATAAGCAGAGCATTAGCAAATCAGGAGCATAGTAATGGGTCGGGGGTCTGAAGAGATAATTGGAACATGTTTTATAGCTGTGCCGCAAAGGGAAATGCCTTTATGTATGATCATATTGTAAAATGCACCCTGAGTGTTAATACCAATAATCCCAGCAGGCCCTACCCTAATCTGCTTAGTGTTAAAGGATCACTATAATGTCAGGAAAACAAACCTGACACTATATAGTCCTTAGGAACCCCCCACCCTCAGGGCCCATCTCCTGCTGGGCTGAAGGGGATAAAACCCCTTCAGCTACTTACCTTAATCCAACGCCGGGCTCCCTCGGGGTTGGTGACCTCTCCTCCCCCTCCGACGTCAGCTCCCGACTGGAGCAGAATGCGCATTAAAAACGTCCATTGGAAAGAATTTCTCAATGCTTTCCTATGGACGTTCTGCACGCTGAAAGTGATTTTCGCATCCAGCGTCGCATAAGCGCCTCTAACGGCTGTCAGGAAGACAGCCACCAAAGGCTAGATTAACCCTGCAATGTTTCTCTGAAAGTATTGGGAGCCTATTGTGCATGTGCAGAAAAATGCCACGACGCGCCAATCAGCATCACCTCTTAGAGATGCATTCAATCAATGCATCTCTATGGAAAACATTCAGCGTCTTCATGTAGAGGATGGACTGGGGGTGTTACTAGGCAGTAATGTAAACACTGCCTTTTCCATAAAAAGGCAGTGTTTACATTAAAAACGTACAAGGACAGGCTATAGACACCAGATCCACTACATTAAGCTGTAGTTGTCCTGTGACCATAGTGTACCTTTAATATTAATAAAGCTATATAATGTATATACAGTGAGTGAAGAAATTATTTGATCCCCTTCTGATTTTGACCGTTTGCCCACTGACAAAGAAATGATTAGTCTATAATTTTATTGGTAGGTGTATTTTAACAGTGAGAGACAGAATAATCAAAACAAAAATCAAGAAAAACGCATGTCAAAAAAAGTTATAAATTGATTTGCATGTCAATGAGTGAAATATAGTATTTGACCCCTTCGACTTAGTACCTGGTAATAAAACCTTTGTTGGCAATCACAGAGGTCAAACGTTTCTTGTAGCTGGCCAAGGTTTGGCCACATCTCAGGAGGGATTTTGTCCCACTCCTCTTTGCAGATGGAAGGAGATTCTCACCCAAGATTTGACCGTACATGGCCCCATCCATCGTCCCTTTGATGATGTGCAGTTGTCCTGTCCCCTTAGCAGAAAAACACCCCTAAAGCATAATGTTTCCACCTCCATGTTTGACGGTGGGGATGGTGTTCTTGGGGTCATAGGCAGCATTCCTCCTCCTCCAAACATGGCGAGTTGAGTTGATGCCAAAGAGCTTGATTTTGGTCTAATCTGACAACAACACTTTCACCAAGTTCTCCTCTGAATCATTCAGATGTTCATTGGCAAACTTCAGACGGGCCTGTACATGTGCTTTCTTGAGCAGGGGGACCTTGCGGGTGCTGCAGGATTTCAGTCCTTCACGGCATACTTTGTTACCAATTGTTTTCCTGGTGAATATGGTCCCAGCTACCTTGAGATAATTAACAAGATATTCCTGTGTGGATCTGGGCTGATTCCTCACCGTTTGCATGATCATTGAAACTCCACAAGGTGAGATCTTACATGGAGCACTAGACCGAGGGAGACTGACCGATATTTTGTCTTTTTTCCATTTGCGAATAATCACACCAACTGTTGTCACCTTCTCACCAAGCTGCTTGGCAATGGTCTTTGTAACGGACCATTTTGCACACAAGAGGTTAAAAACCGTTTAGGCGATATTCCCCTTTTAAATACACGAACAGCTGCTGCAAGCACCAATCTCCCGAATTGCAAACTCATGAATACTCAAACTCCCGAACAGCAAACACACGAATTCACCAACTCCTGAACCGGAAACACACAAATTCACCAACTCCTGAACACACGAATGCTGTTAAACAGCCGAACAGGAAAAACCATACGAACAGCTTACACTGTAACAGCATACAATCCAATTCCCCCTAAGGGTCCAGATGGGAAACTGGGACACAAAGGGTAAAAGGACCAATCACAAGCTTACACATTTAAACAGATCCCACAATGCATTTCAATCCCTCCTCTCTGTCTTGGAGATAATTGGGAAGTAATCCAATTATCTCCAAGGACAGAGGCAAAACTCCATTAGCCACATGTTAGTAAAAAGACATAAAATTACAATGTTACAATTACTACATAAAACATATACATTCAACATATCCCCAGATAGCTTAGGTCTGAGCGCACATTATTACTGAATGGCGCTCAGATCACATACATACAGTTCAATTGCCATGGAGCCAAAGTCTTTCCCATAGTCTTTAATTACACGAATAGGCTCCATGGCTTAGCTATCTGGGGTAACACTACTACCATAGGGAAAATAAAAGGTTTTTAATGCAGGGCCATAGTCCAGCAGCAAGAGGTGGGCAACCAGGCTCCTCCAGTGGCCAGTGGTGAGGTTGGTTCCGCCACAGTCTTGTAACCCATTTCAGCCTTGTGTAGATCTACAATTTTGTCCCTGACATCCTTGGACAGCTCTTTGATCATGGTGTAGAGTTTGGAATCTGATTGATTGATTGATTGATTCTGTGGACACGTGTCTTTTATACAGGCAACGAGCTGAGATTAGGAGCACTCCCTTTAAGAGTGGGTGCCAGAAATCTTGCTGATTGATAGGGGAATCAAATACTTATTTCACTCATTGACATGCAAATCAATTTATAACTTTTTTGACATGCGTTTTTCTGGATTTTGTTATTTTGGTTATTCTGTCTCTCACTGTTAATATACACCTACCATTAAAATTATAGACTAATCATTTCTTTGTCAGTGGGCAAACATTCAAAATCAACAGGGGATCAAATACTTTCTTCCCTCACTGTATATACATTATATAGCTTTATTAATATTAAAGGGACTCTATCATCACAGGACAACTACAGCTTAATGTAGTGGATCTGGTGTCTATAACGTTTTTTAATGTAAACACTGCTTTTTACATTACTGCCTAGTATCACCTCGAGTCCATCCTCTACATGAAGACGCTGATATTACAAGAAATATGGTGAAATAGTGAAATAGCTATATTTGCTGCTTCAGTGAATGTTGATTCTGTAAAACATGTATGCTACACTTGTTATATTTGTTTCTACTCTAGTATACAGGAAGTCAGAGTTAAGAGATTTTACTAGACGTGTGCAAACATTTTTTTTATCCAAGTCAAATGTTTTCTATCCATTCACAGACAAATCCATGCATCCAGGTTTTACCTGTGGAGTCTTAGTCAATGAATACAACTCCATAGGAAAATCTCAGACAAAGCGATTTGTCTAGATTTTCCTCCTTTATTAAAGCTTTCAGATTATTGTAAATAAGATTGGACATCATAACATTGTGTATAATAACATTGTGTATAATAATATTGGATATAAGATCGGATATAATAACATTGTGTATAATAACATTGTGTATAAGATTGGATATAATAACATTGTGTATAATAACATTGTGTATAAGATTGGATATAGTAACATTGTGTATAAGATTGGATATAATAACATTGATATAAGATTGGATATTATAACATTGTGTATAAGATTGGATATAGTAACATTGTGTATAAGATTGGATATTATAACATTGTGTATAAGATTGGATATAGTAACATTGTGTATAAGATTAGGTATAATAACATTGTATATAAGATTGGATATTATAACATTGTGTATATGATTGGATATAATAGCATTGTTTATATGATTGCATATAAAAACATTGCTCATTAATGTTACTCATGGGACAGGTTGGTGTAATAACGACCAAGCTATCTTACCAGCAGGATGAGGGGCAATGCAATATACATGGGATATGGAGGAGAGAACTGAATAACCATGATATACGAAGGAGGATGAAGATTATATATGGGGTGTGATAGGAAATGCTTGGACATATGGTATATTTAATGTGTGTGTTATGTTAGGATACAGAATGTAGGTGGAATATTTGTGGGTTTTTATAACAGAATTTGATTATCGATGGGATACACAAGGAATCTTGGAAGTAAGTGGAATTATTGAACAGATGTGCAGTTGTACACAGATATGGAATATATTGTGAATAAAAAACAGTATAAACACTAATGAGTGAAAAATTAGTGAAAAAAATGAATAAATAATACGTGAAAAAGTGATATCCCGGGTACCTCACTATGACATCCAACAAATTTATAAAGTAAAAATACTGGTAGAAAATCACAAAACACGTAAAAAGAAACTATAACCTGGGTAAATGTAGACTAATCCACAGATGTATAATGGTATCTAGAAATAATACGTAGCATAGTACAATGATATAAAACACCCCAGTGAGTATAAAGTAAAAAACTCAACTCAAACTAGAAAATCAGGCTCATCACCTTTCCATGGGTACTGGACTGTAGATCTTCCATGTGGAATATACCTTGGTCAAGATCGAAAAGGAGAAAAGGCCACAATAGTGAAGTAAAGTAAATCAATTAAACCTTTATTGTATTGCACTTACAGAAGTATAACATTTCCGAGCATATCTCCACCAATAGTGGAACCCCAACAGATGGTGAGCCTTGAGGAGCCAGCAGTATCAGTCAATATAGTGGGAAGATAGCAGCCTGTACACAAAATATAAAATATCCAACGCGTTTCACTTCTTCAGGGATCTATACCAATGTCACTTTAATAATATTTTTTACTTGATATAGATAGGTATATGCATTTATATACATTAAAGAATCACTTTACTTGTTTAGTTTTGAAACTTGTGGCAGCCAAGGATGTCCTTTCCCCTTCCCAGAATCTCAGAAAGTGCAGTTTTCAGTGATTATAGCAGGATAAAGGGATATAGCTTCCCCCCTCCGCCCAGACATTAGTCGAGAATTAATGCTGGGAGTAATCTGGTTAATTCAAGCAAAGGACACTCAATTTATACATAGATCCCTCACATATGGTCTCCATACTAATCCCTCCAAGGCATCCCTGTGTCTGAGAGATAATTGAGTCAAAAACCAGTAACTCAATTATCTCTCAGTTACAGGGAACCACATAGAAAATACCCCAAAAACACACTCAATTTCCACAGGAATCGCACAAGTCTTAGCTCCCCGAATATCCCTGAATCGGAGCTCACAAAGCTCTACAAATTGCGCTACGTTTCGTTCGGTGGAATGGAGTTGCCATCGGGGTAAAGTTTTGACCGGCCATGAGGTTATAGCTTAAAACAGTTCCATGGTGAAAAGGCTGCAGCTGGTCAACTTTCGGGAGCTCCTATGCGCATAAAGCCGCTCTAGGGAGCGAATTTTCCTCTTGTTTGCATGAATCGTTTTCCCAAAAAGCGCTCTCCTTGTTTTTTTGGGAGGGAAGCAGACAAAATGGCCACCATTCCACAAAACACGTTCGCTTATACGAATGGCGGCCACCCAGAAGAGCACTTAAGTTAATGGGTTCTTTGAAGTTAATGAGCCAAGGGGGGTCTTGGTTCAGGAGGTATAAGAGGGGAAAAGGGTCTTTGTTCGGTAAACAAACAACCAGGGGTACAAACAAAATGAAAAGTCCAATAAGTGACGGGGTGTTCTGTTACAAAACTGCATTTTTTAAATTGTATTTACTATCACATTTTCTTTGCATTCTTATTTCTTTGCATTGAATATATATTACCAATGCTCTTACAACATCTTATTTAAATACTATTTTGCTTATTTTGCACTAGCACTATTTAATTGTCTCCCATGTTGGAATTAGTATAGGATCCAACGATATTGGGGTACTGTGAAGTAGTGGTGGGACTAACACAATTTGACCAAATGGTGGAACTGAATCCCCATATTTGTTTGCTGACATAGGTGATTTCAAGTAACCTTATAAAATTTTAAAATGTATTTTTGTGTGTCTATTCTGTGCAGTTCAATGTCACAGAGAGTGAGGTACTTGGTAAAATGTTGTCAGTCTACCAGGCAGGAATAAAGGTCTGTTCAGTGGGTTACTTGGTGTGTTTAGTAATCACTTAGAAATATCTATTTCTTCTTCCGTAGATCACATTAATGGCCATTGTACGAGTCCCACATCACAGACTTGCAGTTCAGGGAAACGCATCTCCAGTGCTGATGGGACTAAAGCCAACAGACGTGGCCCTGGGAGACCACCATTCCGTAAAGCGCAGTCCGCAGCGTGCATGGAGATTTCACTCCCAGTCACATCTGAAGGTGAGAATGTCTGTATTCACAGGTTATAGCTGATCCCACCGTTAGCTACAGATAATAGGAGCTATGATAGCCTGAGCCCTCCCGTATATACAGATAATAGGAGCACTGATAGCCTGAGCCCTCCCGTATATACAGATAATAGGAGCAATGATAGCCTGAGCCCTCCCGTATATACAGATAATAGGAGCACTGATAGTCTGAGCCCTCCCGTATATACAGATAATAGGAGCACTGATAGTCTGAGCCCTCCCGTATATAGAGATAACAGGAGCACTGATAGCCTGAGCCCTCCCGTATATACAGATAATAGGAGCACTGATAGCCTGAGCCCTTCTGTATATACAGATAATAGGAGCAATGATAGCCTGAGCCCTCCCGTATATACAGATAATAGGAGCAATAATAGCCTGAGCCCTCCCGTATATACAGATAATAGGAGCACTGATAGCCTGAGCCCTTCTGTATATACAGATAATAGGAGCACTGATGTATATATTAATAATGGAAGCAGAGAACACTGATAGCCTGAGGACTCCTGTACGATCTGATAATGGGAACTGAGTACAATGATAGACTGAACCTTCTGTATATACAGATATTAGGAGCAGAGTACACTGATAGCCTGATCTGTATGCCCTGATAATTGGAGAAGTGTACACTGATAGCCTGGTCCATCCTGTATGTAGAAATTAAACCCTGAACCCACCTGTGTGCACAGTTAATGGGAGCTCTCTTATAGGCAGGTGTTACAATATGTAAGATTTTCTGAGCAGGTGATATCTGTAAACACATGTCATGTTTGTCCATGTACTGTTTAAAAACCAACTACTAATAAGCATGATCCCTGTGTCTAACTATTCCTGGACCATACTCCACCCTCACCTATCCCATTATTACAAGAGTTGCAGTACCCCTGACCCATACTCCATCCTCACCCCTGTGGATATAGATACATATTGTGGCAAAACTAGCCACTTAAGACTGTATTTCCATTCATGTGATATTGTAGCTTTAAGGCTATCTGAACTGTGCATGTTCCCTATTCTGTATTTGATGCGAACGAGAACATTTGCATGCTGGCGGCACGAAAGCCACCAGCATTCATACAGTAGTTTCACGAACAGTGAATTTCAACACTGTTCGTGAAACGAACAAACTACCGAATGGGAGACCACACACAGGAGGTTGTGTGGCTCCCATTACGGATCGCAACAATGTAGCTTTCAGCAGTTAATAGATGTTCAGGGTGGCCGCCGTTCGGATACCGACCACGCGGCGGTCAGCCATCTTAGATCCTTTGTTAGCCCAGCAGTGTTCGGTTGTCGAGTGCCTGGAACTAAAATCGGCTACTCGACGGCACGAATACCGCTGGACTTCCAGGCCATTCGGGAGCACCGGTCTTTCGGTATTCTATCTCCGCATGTAGATTTGTGACTTTGGTGAAGAATGTGTGTTCAAGTGTAATTCGTGCGGCATTCAGCTAATTGTGCTGGGATCTGAGCAGAACTTTAATGGCTGCCGAACGGTCATTCGGTACAATAGCACGAATAATGGTAAAGTTATATATTTTTATGTAAAAAGCCAGTTCTACTGCACGGAGGGATAATCCACTTAACTGGCTATTCTAGTGGGAGTATCCCTCTCGTACAGCAGTGCATGGTGGGAGAAATGTTCTGGTTGTTAAGTTCCCCATGTAGTCCCCTACTGTACAACCCCTGTAAAGTCAGTAAGGAAACCCCTTGGAACCACATAAATACTGTGACCTGTGATTAAAGCCTCAGTTGACTCCCAGCCTATGTGTCGTCTAGTTCTTGGGAAGGAAGGATTTATATAACGCTAGCGGGATTATTGCATGCTTGTTTTACATGGATTATTATATGCTGTTCCTGTTTACCAGCAGAGATATTGTGGATTATACTACCTCTCCGCTACACATAGCATGACTGTGTGTTACATTCCCAAACATATCCTGATGGCATGTTTCCAATTCTGCAGGTTATTCGTCCAATTTAGTGTTTGATGGACAGTGTAATAACCAAAACAGAGCAATCTGCTAACAGTAACAGTAATCCTAGTAACAGAGACAGTATATATATATATATATATATATATATATATATATATATATATATATATATATATATATATATATATATATATATATATATATATATCCTATATGATCCTATCTAGATCATACTCCATCTTCACCTATCCCATTACTGCAAGGGTAACAGTATTCCTAGACCATACTCCATCCTCACCTATCCTGTTACTGGGCCATCCTCACCTATACCATTACTACAAGGGTAACAGTATTCCTAGACCATACTCCATCCTCACCTATCCTGTTACTGGGCCATCCTCACCTATACCATTACTACAAGGGTAATTATTCCTGGACCATACTCCATCCTCGTCTATCCCATTACTACAAGGGTAACTATTCGCTTTACTGTAAGGGTAACAGTACTCCTAGCCCATACTCCATCCTCACGTACACCTTTAGCAGATGAGAACCTACTAATTTAGCTGTTATTTGCTACTACATGTCTGTGGCAAACCTAGCCACTTACAGAATGTCCTTGTATATATCTTGCTATTACTGCATTGCTATTCCTATCTGTGGCCAAACCAGCCACTTAAAGTGTAACCCCCCCCTGAATGTAATATGATGTAAAGTGTATCCCTGTGTACTGCTTGGTATCTCCTAAGGCGGGAGATGGCTATCTGTAACCCAACCCCCTCCTGCCTGGGACTAAGGGAAGTGTATTGTGTGGAATGCAGACCCCCCTGCGGAGGTCTGTGCTAAAAGGAAGATGTAATCATAAAAGAGTTTTGACTCAGCCTGGTGAGATGCCAGTGTTTTAACCTCCAAGCTATGTGTCGTCTAGTTCTTAGGAGAAAAGGATTGTAACTACGCTACCTGCATTTTACCTGCTTCATCCTGCCTACCAGCGGAGATACCGTGGATAATACCACTACTCCGCTACAATTGGTGGCAAGCGACGGGATTCAAACCACACAGCAAAGCAGCGTTCGGCAGGGATTGATGTGAGCAGAGGAAAAGAAACAGCAATTCGTGAAACAACCATTCGGATGAAACCGGAGTTCGGGAATAAGTGGAATCACACGAACAGCAGGTGAATGGAAACGAATTATGCACTTTTGAAACGGAGTACACTGAAGGAATTACTAGAGGCAAGGGGAACAATAGCCAGCAACAAGACAAAGGCTACCCTTATTGCTGAGCTCATGGAAGGAGACAGAGCAGCGGCTGCTGCAGCACCTCCAATGGAGGAAGAGCAAACAGAATTTCAGAAAGAGTTCAGGAGCAGGATGGCACTGTACCCAACCACACCACCCCAAGAGACTTTCGATAGGATCATGGCAGATGTGCAAGAATACATCATGGCCAAACGATTCCAACCAAACCAGCAATCCAGAGAGGGGTCACCGGCTCCACCCAGCATTGTACAGGGAAAACCCAAAATTCCCTACCAAGCCTTTAAAAACTTTACGGACACAGAGGGCGATATTGATGGATATTTGCAGGACTTTGAAAGACTGTGCCAGCTGCATGATATTGGGCCCCAAGACCAGGTACCACTGCTGGCCGGTAGATTATCTGGCCGCGCAGCAGAAGCCTACCGGGCAGTGCCTGATGAGGATAGCAGAGACTACCAGAAGGTAAAGCAGGCCATCCTAGTCCGGTATGCCATTACCCCCGAGGCATACCGACTCCAATTCCGGGACCTGCAAAAACAAGAAAAGGACTCCCACGCAGAGTTTGCGCACCGCTTACAACGAGCAGCCACGGGGTGGATTGATGCGGCGCAAGCCACTACCCGGGAAGATCTCATTCAATTACTTTTGTTGGAACAGTTCTACCGGAGACTAACTACTGATATGCAGAACTGGGTAAGAGATCGTAAACCACGCACCTTACAAGACGCGGCCAAATTAGCGGACGAACATCAAGACACCAGACGAGAGCAGCGCCCACCAACCAGGGTATTCCCCCAGTCGACACACCACAGGCCTGCCTTGGCCGAAACAGCTCACCCACGATCTGGGGGAGCTAACAACCAATACCAACCTAGGTACCCCAACCGGGCACACATCAGATGCCACACCTGCAACCAACTGGGGCATGTACAACGAGAATGCCCCCGACACAGGGCACGACCATCATGGCCCAACCAAGGCCAACCTCCAGGCACTCGGGCTGCGGTACACTGCTATCAGAATGAATCATTCATCCAGCCCTCCACAGCCACCCAGGTAGAGGAACCTCTAGGCACTCTCCATGAAGTTAACCCCGTCCAAGCGGTGTCCGATAACCGCCAAAGCCATCGCCAAGTCGTCCACATAGAAGGGAAGCCTATGGAGGGACTGAGAGATTCCGGGGCCACCATCACCTTGGTCCGAAACCACCATGTTCCAAAGAACCAGCTTACGGGGGATTGTGTAGCAGTACGGGTGGCAGGGGGAGCGATCTACAAGGTTCCCACTGCCAAGATACATTTGAATTGGGGAGCGGGGTCAGGGAACGTGGAGGTGGGGATGATGCAAGACTTGCCCGCAGATGTTATTTTGGGAAATGACTTGGGGGAGCTCACTTCCACTTTTGTTCCGCGAACCACCGTACAGGAAGCTTACCCAGTCATCACCAGGCTGCAGGCCCGCACCACGGTCCCATCCAGTGACTCTGAGGCTCAGGTAAGCAATGAACCCCATAACCACACTGCCCTCCCCTGGGATGCCCCCCTAGAATTTGGTAGCGAGGTCGCTCTAGACCCGTCCCTGCAGGTTTACAAAGACCGAATTGACAAGAACCAGGCAGGCTTAGAAGGAGAGAGATATGCTTGGGATCAAGGGTTATTATACCGGTATGCAGAGAAGGTAGTAGCCGGGTCTATTCCCATACCCATAAAGCAGTTAATTGTGCCTCGAAAGTATAGACAGGAGTTACTGCGCATAGCGCATGACATACCCTTATCCGGTCATTTAGGGATCAGCCGAACTAAACATCGGCTGACGCAGAACTTCTTCTGGCCAGGTATCTCCAAGGATATTAGGCAATACTGTAACACCTGTGATACCTGCCAGAGGGTAGGGAAGAGGGGAGACCGCTACAAAGCCAAACTCCATTCCCTGCCCATAATAGAAGAGCCCTTTAGTAGAGTAGCAGTGGACATAATCGGACCCCTGAAAAAACCCAGTCCCTCTGGCAAGAAGTACATCTTGACCGTAGTGGACTACGCCACTAGATACCCCGAGGCGGTGGCTCTAACGAATGTACATGCAGAGACCGTAGCAGATGCCCTTATGCGAATTTTCTCCCGCATGGGATTCCCACGGGAGATTATTTCGGATAGGGGTACCCAATTCACTGCAGAGGTCACCCACCAGCTCTGGAAGGTCTGTGGGGTAAAGTCTATCCTTAACTCACCCTACCACCCTCAATCCAACGGTCTCTGTGAACGGTTTAACGGAACACTTAAGCAGATGATCCGGATGTTCATAGACACGCAGAAGGACTGGGAGAGGTTTTTACCCCACTTGCTGTTCGCCTATAGGGAAGTTCCCCAAGAATCCACTGGGTTCTCTCCCTTTGAATTATTGTTCGGAAGGAGGGTGAGGGGCCCCCTAGATTTAATCAGAGAGCACTGGGAGGGGGGAGTGACCACTAATGGTACCCCTATTGTACCCTATGTGCTCGAGTTCCGGGAACGCTTGGAGGCTTTGACCCAGACCGTACGTACCAACCTCCAAGCGGCCCAGCAACGACAGCGCAGATGGTATGATAGGGGGGCCAGGGACCGCAGCTTTCAGGTCGGGCAGAAGGTGCTAATCCTACGACCCGTCCCTAATGACAAGCTGCAGGCCTCCTGGCAGGGCCCATTCAAGGTGGTAGAGCAAATCTGTGATACCACCTATGTAATTGGCCCATGCGCTGGAGCAGGGGGCAGACGCATGCTCCATGTGAACATGCTGAAGCCTTACCACGAGCGCACAGAGGAGGTGACCGCGATTTGTGCTTCCGCTGCAGAGGATTTTGATAATTTGCCCCTCCCAGACCTCCTAGAGAAAGAAGACAAAAATGAGGATCTGGAAGCAGTACAGCTAGGGGAGCGCTTGAGTCCCCAGGAGCGGGCCCAGGCCCAAAGATTAATTAGGGAAAAAGGGGCCACCTTTTCTAACCTCCCTGGGTATACCCCGTTAGCCACCCACCGTGTAGAAACCCCAGGGCAGACACCCCTCCGCCAACCTCCTTACCGCATCCCCGAGTCTGTAAAAGAGAATATGCGTAAGGAGCTCAAAGAAATGTTACAATTGGGGGTTATAGAACCTTCTGATAGCCCATGGGCCTCCCCAGTAGTTCTGGTGCCGAAGCGGGATGGAACTACCCGCTTCTGCATAGACTATCGAAGGCTCAATGATAAGACAGTATCTGATGCCTACCCTATGCCCCGGATAGACGAGCTCCTAGACAAAATGGCCAGGGGCCAGTACCTCACCACGATAGACCTTTGTAAGGGCTATTGGCAAATTCCTTTAGCCGAGGACGCCATCCCTAAGTCGGCGTTTGTAACCCCGTTCGGCCTGTACCAGTTTAAGGTCATGCCATTCGGGATGAGAAACGCTCCGGCTACCTTTCAGAGGATGGTGGATCGGCTGTTGGATGGGTTCCAGGAGTACGCTTGCGCCTATTTAGACGACATAGCAATCTTCAGCCATTCCTGGACCGAACACCTGACCCATATAGGAGCCGTACTAGACCGCATTAGGGAGGCAGGGTTAACCCTTAAACCCAGTAAGTGCCATATAGGGATGGCTGAAGTTCAGTATTTAGGGCACCGGGTAGGAAGCGGCCAGCAAAAGCCAGAACCCGCCAAGGTAGAGGCCGTAGCCAAATGGCCAACACCGCGTACCAAAACCCAGGTCCTGGCGTTCTTAGGTACCGCAGGGTACTATCGGAAGTTTGTGCCCGATTACAGCACCCTGGCCAAACCCCTCACCGATTTAACCCGCAAAAACCTCCCTAAGTTAGTAGAATGGGCCCCAGAGTGTGAACGGGCATTCCAGCAACTAAAAACTGCTCTTGTTAACGCACCTGTACTTGCTGCTCCTGATCCAACAAAACGTTTTCTCGTCCATACAGACGCTTCTATGTTTGGATTGGGGGCAGTACTGAGCCAAGTCGGAGCAGATGGTGGTGAGCATCCAGTGGCTTACTTAAGCAGAAAACTTTTACCCCGGGAAGTAAGCTACGCCGCCATCGAAAAGGAATGCCTGGCCGTGGTGTGGGCCCTCAAGAAGCTGCAGCCCTATTTGTACGGACAACCATTCTCGCTAGTCACAGATCACAACCCGTTGGTGTGGCTGAACCGGGTGTCAGGGGACAATGCCAGGCTGCTGCGCTGGAGTTTGGCGCTGCAGCCTTTTGACTTTACCATCCACTACCGCCCTGGGAAGCAAAATGGCAATGCCGATGGGTTATTCAGACAAACTGAACTTGAAAAGTGATCTGTGAGTACTCCTCCGGACATCCCCAAGCCGATCCGTTGGGATCAGACTGTGTATGCCGGCTTGGTTCTGGGGAGCATTGTGGCAAACCTAGCCACTTACAGAATGTCCTTGTATATATCTTGCTATTACTGCATTGCTATTCCTATCTGTGGCCAAACCAGCCACTTAAAGTGTAACCCCCCCCTGAATGTAATATGATGTAAAGTGTATCCCTGTGTACTGCTTGGTATCTCCTAAGGCGGGAGATGGCTATCTGTAACCCAACCCCCTCCTGCCTGGGACTAAGGGAAGTGTATTGTGTGGAATGCAGACCCCCCTGCGGAGGTCTGTGCTAAAAGGAAGATGTAATCAAAAGAGTTTTGACTCAGCCTGGTGAGATGCCAGTGTTTTAACCTCCAAGCTATGTGTCGTCTAGTTCTTAGGAGAAAAGGATTGTAACTACGCTACCTGCATTTTACCTGCTTCATCCTGCCTACCAGCGGAGATACCGTGGATAATACCACTACTCCGCTACAATGTCCTCCTTACCACCAAAGTAACAATGTAAACATACAAAGTATTTGAGGTGTGATATTAAGCGCTATACTACCTTGACTATCCTGCTAGAAAGGTAACTGTACTCTTATATCATATAGGCCATACACCATCCTCGCCTGTGCCAATACTAAGAGGATTACTTAAATGCTTTTGGAACAATTTCACTTTCTGTATGACAGGAACAAGAAAAACTTGTCAGAAAATAATATCAATATGCGCTGATTCAGAGCTTTTATTAACTATTTCTGTATAAGGTACCTAGTTAGGCTAACTAATGCATTTACACAACAGTGTCAAATAATATGACTGGGTTATAGCACATGTTCACCTCTTTATGGAGGCAGCTTATAGCCTCCATGCGTTCACCTTCAACAATTGCTTTGCTAGCGGCAACCCCACTACACCTAGTTTAGATGAACAGTCACCTGGTCCTTTACGCACAGTGATCCCTCTACACCTAGTTTAGATGAACAGTCACCTGCTCCTTTACGCACAGTGATCCCTCTACACCTACATCAGATGAGCAGTCACCACGTCCTTTAAAAGCAGTGATCCTTCTACACCTAGATCAGATGAGCAGTTACCTCGTCCTTTACTAGCAGTGATCCTTCTACACCTAGATCAGATGAGCAGTCACCTCGTCCTTTACTAGCAGTGATCCCTCTACACCTAGATCAGATGAGCAGTCACCTCGTCCTTTACTAGGAGTGTGTAAGGAAACCTGGTATATCCAATACCCATTCGGTAGTTTCCTCCCGAACAACCAGAGTGTCAGTGATTATAACTCTCCATTCGGGAAATAAAATAAGCAATCTCCATACGAATAACAGCTTCCCAAGTAAATTCCCTTAGTGAAGCAGACAGATACCCAAACATCAGCCAAAGTCTAGAAGAAGGGTACAACAGAACTAACTTTTAATGATGCCACACTGGCTTTTATGCAAGTCCCTGTGCAAGGGGACCAAGACAGAAATCATATAACCAATCAGGAACAGAGAAATAGTTAAACACTCCCATTACAAACATGTAATTCCCTCCCCTAGACCTGGAGATAATTAAGTCTGATAAAGTAGTAACTTCATTAAAATTTTACCCAATGTTCAGAACACCCCTTAAAACATAAGGTATCCCCACAAAAGTCAAATCCCCTGATAGCTCTGATCTGGGTGACCAACATATCCAAAAATCACCCAGATCAGTTCAGGGGTTTTCAAATTCTATGGAAGTCTTAGGTGACCGGCTAACTGCGAGGCTCCTGCCCAAAACAGTTCCACAAGTTTGGGTGGTTTTGCCAGTCTATTTCGTAAAGTTGTAAAAACCGAATAAATCCACGAACGGTTCCCCCTGGCTCCTAGCAGCGATTGTTTCCCTCATACGAATGAACAAAAGTACCGAACAGCGCTCTCCTAGCTGTTTGGGAAATGAAGATCCAGCGTTCATGTGTTTGGGACCAGTGTTCGGGAAGTCGAGTGTCCGATTTTAGTTCCAGACACTCGACGACCAAGTCCCGCTGCCTTTGTTCGCACAAACAAGATGGCCGCCGTTTTCTCAGCTACATGGTATTCGACATTCCGCACAGGGAAAGGGCTTAATTGAAGGTATGTGTGACGGTAGTAACCTCGTCCTTTACTAGCAGTGATCACTGTACACCTAGATCAGATGAGCAATCACCTCATCCTTTACTAGCAGTGATTACTCTACTCTACACCTACATCAGATGAGCATTCAACTCGTCCTTTACTAGCAGTGATCACTGTACACCTAGATCAGATGAGCAGTCACCTTGTCCTTTACTAGCAGTGATTACTCTACACCTAGATCAGATGAGCAGTCACCTTATCCTTTACTAGTAGTGATCCCTCTAGACCTAGATCAGATGAGCAGTCAGCTTGTCCTTTACTAGCAATGATCACTCTAAACCTATATTAGATGAGCAGTCACCTCATCCTTTAATAGTAGTGATCACTCTATACCTAGATCAGATGAGCAGGCACTTCGTCCTTTACTAGCAGTGATCACTCTACACCTAGATCAGATGAGCAATCACCTTGTCCTTTACTAGCAGTGATCCCTCTATACCTAGATCAGATGAGCAGTCACGTCATGCTTTACTAGCAGTGATCCATCTACACCTAGATCAGATGAGCAGTCACTTTGTCCTTTACTAGCAGTGATCACTCTGCACCTAGATCAGATGAGCAGTTACCTCATCCTTTACTAGCAGTGATCCCTCTACACCTAGATCAGATGAGCAGTCACTTTGTCCTTTACTAGCAGTGATCACTCTACACCTAGATCAGATGAGCAATCACCTCGTCCTTTACTAGCAGTGATCACTCTACACCTAGATCAGATGAGCAATCACCTTGTCCTTTACTAGCAGTGATCCCTCTATACCTAGATCAGATGAGCAGTCACGTCATGCTTTACTAGCAGTGATCCATCTACACCTAGATCAGATGAGCAGTCACTTTGTCCTTTACTAGCAGTGATCCCTCTATACCTAGATCAGATGAGCAGTCACCTCGTCCTTTACTAGCAGTGATCACTCTATATCTAGATCAGATGAGCAGTTACCTCGTCCTTTATTGGCAGTGATCCCTCTACACCTAGATCAGATGAGCAGTTACCTCGTCCTTTATTAGCAGTGATCCCTCTACACCTAGATCAGATGAGCAGTTACCTCATCCTTTACTAGCAGTGATCCTTCTACACCTAGATCAGATGAGCAGTTACCTCATCCTTTACTAGCAGTGATCCTTCTACACCTAGATCAGATGAGCAGTTACCTCGTCCTTTACTAGCAGTGATCCCTCTACACCTAGATCAGATGAGCAGTCATCTCGTCTTTTATTAACTACTCCTGGTTATCAATGGTTACCAGGTTGACCACTCCTTGAGATTAGTGCTCCTGAACCGGAGGCTGGCAAACCAAACTAATTAAATCTGGGATCAGCAGGTGAAGGCTTAACTGCGAATAACTACTTTTTTGACAAGCCACCACCATGTTCTGGCAGAGGTTATAAAATGGCACCTTCACTTTACCTAGAATACTGTTGTTCTGTGTAATTAGTTGATAAAATGTCCTGTCCCCATCATCGATTTATTTTTCCATTACAAATTTCCCAACAGTAAAAGGGCATCAATTGACATTATATTTAAGTTGGTTATTGTAGCTGCTCACTATAAAATCCCATTTGAGATAAATTGGAGAATCGACGTTTGAAGGTGTCAGAGGAAGCTTTCAATCAGCATGGTATTTTGAGGCATCTCTGGTGCATTGCGGGCTGTGAATGTGGGAATTATGGTAACTGTAAATAGACAGTCTCTTGCTTGGGATTGTATTTCTAAACACTGCATTGTCACATGGATGAAAGAGGTAGATGAAGACCGGGGGCGTCCAAAGGTTAGAACGTAACACTTCTCTTCTACAACAGATTAAGTCACCTTTTCTTCAGTGTGGCCACACCAATTATAGGGTTTTAAACTGAATGTAGCAGATAAAGCTTTTTCCTGGATATCTTTGATTATATACAAAGCATGTCTGTTACCCCGTGTCATTTGCATGTCCCTGACTGACATGGATCCTTGTACCCTCTAACTGTGTGCCGTAACACTGTCTCCTTTTAGTAACTTGGTGAATAGTAATGTGTTAATTGTTGACTGTGTTTGCCAAAGCATTGCCCTGTGTAGTCTCGTGACGGCTGTCTAGCATTGTGTCTAGCACTGTATAAGAAATCTCGTGTCACTTGGTCGTTTTGTGTTTGTCTTCTAACGCATTCGTCAGTCTGGTCTAAAGAGACATGTTTCATAAACAATATAAGAACAATCCTGGACTGATTAGCCACTGCTTTAAACAACATTCTGGGGAAATTTTTTTATTTTTGTTTTTAGCATTACAGTCTATGATATCACTGAGTTACATTACTGACATGTAGCGTGTTGCAGTCCATGATATCACTGAGTTACATTACCGGTATGCAGCGTGTTACAGTCCGTGATATCACTGAGTTACATTACCGGTATGTAGCTGGTTACAGTCCGTGATATCACTGAGTTACATTACCGGTATGTAGCTGGTTACAGTCCGTGATATCACTGAGTTACATTACCGGTATGTAGCTGGTTACAGTCTGTGATATCACTGAGTTACATTACCGGTATGTAGCTGGTTACAGTCCGTGATATCACTGAGTTACATTACCGGTATGTAGCTGGTTACAGTCCATGATACCACTGAGTTATATTACCGGTATGTAGCTGGTTACAGTCCATGATACCACTGAGTTACATTACCGGTATGTAGCTGATTACAGTCCATGATATCACTAAGTTACAATACAGTCATGCATCGTGTTAGAGTCCATGTTATATTACCGGCATGTAGCGTGTTACAGGCCATGATATCAGTGAGTGACAACTATCCAACTCTGTTACGGTATCAATAATGCCAGGGAGGTGTATATTATTATTATTATTATTATTATTGGCCTTTTATATAGCGATAACAGATTCCATAGCGCTTTACAATATTATAAGAGGGGGGAATTAACTATAAATATGACAATTACAAAAACTTACAGGAACGATAGGTTGAAGAGGACCCTGCTCACACTATCTTACAGGCTATAGGAGGTGGGGTGTAAAACACAATAGGACAGGAAATAGCAATCAAATAAGGTGGGAGTGAAGCAGAGCTGGAGGAGAGAGTACAGTGCTGCCCTTTAGGAGAGAGCAAGAGACAGGTATGTGAGGTAGAGGTTACTCTGGGAGGCCGTATGCTTTCCTAAATAGAGGGGTTTTAAGGCCCTTCCTAAACGATTGAAGACTAAGTCAATGGCGGTCAGATGGCAGTAGGCTGTAGGCAGTGTATAGTACATAGCAAACATACAGGGAGTATATCTGGCACTATACGTTTGGTATGTACTATACACGCTAAGGATATCAATGTTGTGAGTCGTGTCTATACATCCATTCATCCATTTATCCATTTGACTTTGTCTGATACTGTAGATTATATAACGTATGTTCTATTGCATTCTGCTGATATAGTGTTCAGCTCACCCATTATAACATAGATAACCAGTTGTTACATGTATATTGTGAGTGAACAGTCCTGCTGTAGCAACTACCAGACCGCCTAGCAATCTAGGGAGATGTATCATTCTACATTATTATTCAATATATTATTAGTATCATAAATCATAGAAGCATGGTCTGTGGCAAGAAGGATTTAACGTTTTACCTAAACCTTCTTCAGGCAGGATCATGAAACACAATATCGCAAAAACGATAAAAACACGTCAATGCAAACCATTTTTTATGCTTAAAATGCTTATAATTTTAAACAGAGCAATATGCCTTTTTGTTGTGATTGGCTTTTAAATGCTTTATTTTTCGTTATTTATACAGGTTGACATTTGTCTATGTGATTATGTAATTTATGTATGAATTATGGGAAATAACAGATTCATGTTCTCACATGCATTATAAATTAGCTTTATTCTCTGTTAAGGTAAACTCTATTTAACTGTTAGAACACTTGGTAGGACTCTGTATTATATGCAAAGTTCACAAATGACAGAACTATTTGAACTGGTCAGTTTGATTGAACATTCCTTCGGAAAGATCCGTTCACAGCAAGGAAGATCAGGCCCAGATTCACGCACACATCACGGGGCACTCCTAAAATTAGCAATGTAGCCATGTAGAGGCTTTTGGGCATTATCTTAATGATTTGTTTTTATTTTCTATGTATTGCTTTTTACTGTTTTATATTTCAGTTTATATATGATAAAGCCAATTATTTTTTTATCTGAGTATCAAAACAAAAATAAATATAAGGGTGAGAGCACACACAATAAACATGTAAGGAACACATGCAGTTTTACCACAGGCAAAAAATAAATGATAATAATAATTTGCGATTTTTATAGCGCTTTTCTCCCTGTGAGACTTGAAGCACTTGACAAGTATACAAACGTAAAGACATAAAATGTAGGAGTTTCTGAAGGTCAACCTGATGGAATAGGTGGATCTTTAGTTCTTAAAAAAAAAAAAGGTATGTAAGGACGGTGCCTCTCTGATTGCACACTGTAAGAGTTCCAGAAGGTAGGGTCTGTCTTTATTCTGGGCACTGACTGGATGGATTTGCTGGCTGACCGAAGTGAACAGGATGGAATGTAGGGTGTCAGGAGCTCTTTCAGGTACTGTGGTCCTTGATTGTTTAAAACTTTGAAGGTTGTCAGGCCAATTTTAAAATATGTTCGCCATTTAATTGGAAGCCAATGCAGGGAGTGGAGAACAGGTGTTATGTAGCAGGAGCAAGTTTAATTGGCCAGTAGTCTGGCTGCTGTATTTTGTACTGTCTGAAGGAGATGGAGCTCTTTTTCTGGGAGGCCCAAGTAAAGTACATTGCAGTAATCTAGCCCAGAGGATACAAATGCATGGATTAATGTTGGCATATCATCCGGTGGAATTAAATGTTGTATCCTGGCTATGTTTTTCAGATGAAAGTAGGCAAATTTTACTACGGAGGAAATCTGCTGTTTAAATGATAGTCCAGAGTCAATCAGCACTCCAAGGTTTCGTAACCTTTGATGAACTGATGAGTTCAGAGCCTCCTACTTCCAGGCCAGTTGGGCGATCATGGGATATTTTTGTTGCCGGGGTCCCCTCACCAAGAGGTTCACTTTAAGCCAACTAGCATCCATCCATTCTATGAGGTCTGCTATGCAACATGTTGGGTCTGTGGTATCTAGAGCAAAGGAGAAGTAGAGATGTGTGTCATCAGCGTAACAATGATATCTTAGGCCATGTCGCCTAATGATGTCCCCCAATGGTAGCAAGTAAATTGCAAATAGCATGGGAGACAAAATGGATTCTTGTGGAACTCCGCAGGTCAGTACTGTTGGTGCTGATGAGCTTGATCCTGATGTTACTCTCTGTGATCTACCAGTGAGGAAAGACTTAAACCAGTTAAGGACTGTTCCTCCTAGACCACAGCGCCTTTTAATTAAAGTAGGTGGATGAGATGAGAGACTGAATACTGGTCCTCTTCCACTTACATTAGTGAGTAAAAGTGAGTAAGAGAGAGAGAAGTAACAAAAAGTAATTCATACAAAAAACAAGCTATAGAAGATCTCAATATAAAACAACAAACCACCTAAAACACACCAACGTATTTTGACATGTAATGTCTTTCTCAAAGTGCTTATTTAATGGTCTGCCATTTTTTTATGTTTACGTTTACATTTATTGCCAAGCCTGTGGTAAAACTGCATTTGTTCATTATACAGTGCCTTGCAAAAGTATTCCTTTTTTGAAAGGCCCCAGAGGCTGCAACACCTAAGCAAGAGGCACCACTAACTAAACACTGCCATGAAGACCAAGGAACTCTCCAAACAAGTAAGGGACAATGTTGTTGAGAAGTACAAGTCAGGGTTAGGTTACAAAAAAATATCCAAATCTTTGATGATCCCCAGGAGCACCATCAAATCTATCATAACCAAATGGAAAGAACATGGCACAACAGCAACAACGCCAAGAGACGGCTGCCCACCAAAACTCACAGACCGGACAAGGAGGGCATTAATCAGAGAGGCAGCACAGAGACCTAAGGTAAACCTGGAGGAGCTGCAGAGTTCCACAGCAGAGACTGGAGTATCTGTACATAGGACGACAATAAGCCGTACGCTCCATAGAGTTGGGCTTTATGGCAGAGTGGCCAGAAGAAAGCCATTACTTTCAGCAAAAAACAAAATGGCACGTTTTGAGTTTGCGAAAAAGGCATGTGGGAGACTCCCAAAATGTATGGAGGAAGGTGCTCTGGTCTGATGAGACTAAAATTTAACTTTTCGGCCATCAAAGAAAACTCTGTCTGGCATAAACCCAACACATCACATCACCCAAAGAACACCATGTTTTTCAGCAGCTGGGACTGGGAAACTGGTCAGAGTTGAGGGAAAGATGGATGGTGCTAAATACAGGGATATTCTTGAGCAAAACATGTACCACTCTGTGCGTGATTTGAGGCTAGGACGGAGGTTCACCTTCCAGCAGGACAATGACCCCAAACACACTGCTAAAGCAACATTTGAATGGTTTAAGGGGAAACATGTAAATGTGTTGGAATGGCCTAGTCAAAGCCTAGACCTCAATCCAATAGAAAATCTGTGGTCAGAATTAAAGATTGCTGTTCACAAGCGCAAACCATCCAACTTGAAGGAGCTGGATCAGTTTTGCAAGGAGGAATGGGCAAAATCCCAGTGGAGCTGTGATTGCCGCAAAAGGTGGCTCTACAAAGTATTGTCTTTAGGGGGGTGAATAGTTATGCACATTGACTTTTCCTGTTATTTTGTCCTATTTGTTGTTTGAATACTTTTGCAAGGCACTGTATGTGTTTATTTACTGTGTGTGCTCTCACCCTTATATTTGTTTTGATACACTGAATTTTGGTGTGGTTGGGTGAACTACCCAGGATGATAGTAGCACCATATCACAATCTTTTACCTTATATATTTTATTTTATTGTTTCTGTCACTCTTTATTTGACAGTACGTTGCACCCCTGTCCTCATCACTACAAGAGAGTGTAACCCCTGGTAACACAAATCAGATACATCACAAAGCCGAATCGATAGGGATAGAGCCGGATCGATAGGTTTACCCCACAATCCCATAAAGGGGAGTTAATATTATAGAACCGTGTGGTGGAACCTTTATAAGTCACCGGCTGATACAGAATTCAGAGCCAAATCCAACTGGCTCTGAAGATTGTAAGTGTACACCTTTTTCCATATTTACATTTTTCACCAATTTATGGTTAGCACTAAGTGTTGTATTCTTTTGTCTTTTTGAGATACTTGTGCTTCATGATTCATTCCCCATGAGAGATTACTTGAAAAGTAATATCATTCTCACCATAGATCACGCTTCTATGTTTTGTAGTGGCTCAAGATTTGCTGTTGGTAATTCTTGTGTTGTGCATAGAAGGTGAATATATACACACATGGTTTTGAGTTTGTTTTACAGTTTGTTGCACGTAATATAGTCTCACTATTAATAGTAGTATAACATTGAAATCTCCAAGTCATTGGTTGACTATCAAAGATTGTCGGGGGAGGGGGTGATCTCTGTCATACTGTCCTGCCTGCAGTTGGTTATTAATTATAATGTTTTAAATCTATGTCCAAATAATTGTTGCTTCCATTGTTACTGTCCTTTGCAATACATGGTTCCGGTAGCATTAGGTCACATTTCCAGACGGGCAATGCTTCAGCAATTACATGGAATCAGTACTTTCTCAAATGACGAGTACCACTATTCACCTAATACGTGGTCCGACAAAGGTAAGACTGGTGATATTAGAGGCGTCTGTCACTTAGTATATGTAGTATCCATAGTATAAGTAGTATCTGTAGTATATATAGTATATGTGGTGTCCATAGTATATGTAGTGTATAGAGTGTATATGGTGTCCGTACTATAAGTAGTATCTGTAGTATATATGGAATCTGTAGTATTTATGGTATCAGTAGTATCAGTAGAATATCTAGTATCAGTATTATATGTAGTATACATATTATCCATAGTACATGTAGTATCGATAGTATATGAAATATCTACACTATGTATAGTATCAGTACTATCCTGTGTATATGTAATATCATTGAGTGTAAGTGTATTAAAATTCAGCAATTATAGTAAGTGTAGTAAGCGTATTAAGTATAGTAAGTGCAGTAAGTGTAGTAAGTGTATTAAGTGTAGTAAGTATAGTTAGTGTATTAAGTGTAGTAAGTGTAGTAAGTGTAGTAAGTGTATTAAGTGTAGTAAGTGTATTAAGTGTATTAAATGTAGTAAGTGTTGTAAGTGTATTAAGTGTAGTAAGTGTATTAAGTATAGTAAGTGTATTAAGTGTAAGTATAGTAAGTGTATTAAGTGTAGTAAGTATAGTAAGTGTAGTAAGTGTATTAAGTATAGTAAGTGCAGTAAGTGTAGTAAGTATAGTAAGTGTATTAAGTGTAGTAAGTATACTAAGTGTATTAAGTATAGTAAGTGTAGTAAGTATAGTAAGTGTATTATATGTAGTAAGTGTATTAAGTGTAGTAAGTATAGTAAGTGTATTAAATGTAGTAAGTGTAGTAAGTGTATTAAGTGTAAGTATAGTAAGTGTATTAAGTTTAGTAAGTATAGTAAGTGTATTAAATGTAGTAAGTATAGTAAGTTTATTAAGTATAGTAAGTGTATTAAGTGTAAGTATAGTAAGCGTATTAAGTATAGTAAGCGTATTAAGTATAGTAAGTGCAGTAAGTGTAGTAAGTGTATTAAGTGTAGTAAGTATAGTTAGTGTAGTAAGTGTAGTAAGTGTATTAAGTGTATTAAATGTAGTAAGTGTTGTAAGTGTATTAAGTGTAGTAAGTGTATTAAGTATAGTAAGTGTATTAAGTGTAAGTATAGTAAGTGTATTAAGTGTAGTAAGTATAGTAAGTGTAGTAAGTGTATTAAGTATAGTAAGTGCAGTAAGTGCAGTAAGTATAGTAAGTGTATTAAGTGTAGTAAGTATACTAAGTGTATTAAGTATAGTAAGTGTAGTAAGTATAGTAAGTGTATTAAATGTAGTAAGTGTATTAAGTGTAGTAAGTATAGTAAGTGTATTAAATGTAGTAAGTGTATTAAGTGTAAGTATAGTAAGTGTATTAAGTTTAGTAAGTATAGTAAGTGTATTAAATGTAGTAAGTATAGTAAGTTTATTAAGTATAGTTAGTGTATTAAGTGTAAGTATAGTAAGTGTATTAAGTATAGTAAGTGTATTAAATGTAGTAAGCGTATTAAGTATATCAAGTGTAGTAAGTGTAGTAACAGTATTAAGTATAGTTAGCATAATAAATGTAGTTAGTGTGTTAAGTGTAAATGTAGTAATTGTAATAACTGTATTAAGTGTAGTAACAGTATTAAGTTACCTAGTTACAATACTGAAAAGAGACGTGCATCCATCAAGTTCAGCCTTCCTCACATGTTTTTGCTGTTGATCCAAAGTAGGATAAGCATAATAAATGTAGTCCGTGGTTTAAGTGTAAGTGTAGTAATTGTAATAACTGTAGTAAGTATAGTAAGCACATTAAGTGTAATAGATAAAGTATAGAAAAATAATAAATTAAATCAGGGATGCTATTAAAATAAATGCTTTAAACCTCTGGTATGTAGCTGTCACATTCTATTTCCAAACATGTAGGCATTAATTCTGCTATAATGTGTGAAAACAAATGTAGTCATATTCCTTACTTACTTACCTCTTATTTGGTCTTGGGAGCTAGAGATAGCCCTACAGTGGGTCCAGGTAGGTCCATTGGACCCTTTCAGCAACTCGGGTCGGCAACATTTAATTTGTTTTTTTTTTTTTCACCTCCTCCGTCACCGTAGAGAAAGGAGAGCCTGAGGGCAATGAGATGATGTATAGTTATATTAGATTATATGCGTGTGCATTGTGTATACGTTTATACATGTGTCTGACTTGTTATGCATTTAAGTAGTTATATGACTGGTGTAAATAGCTTTATATGTGGATTTAAGTAGCTAGTTATGTGTAAGTGGATTACTTTGTGTGTGTGAATAATTATGGATGTGTATATTGTATATATATATATGTATTTCAGTGACTAGTTTTTCATATATTTGTGTGAGTGGGGTGATTAGCTGGTTAGTGAGTAGTTAGTTAAGTTGTTTGTATAGCCAGATGTGCGTCAGTGACTAATCTGTAAAGGAGGAGACTATATTTAAAAGAAGAAAAACTACCACAACAAGAGGACATAGTCTTAAATTAGAGGGGCAAAGGTTTAAATATATTATCAGGAAGTATTACTTTACTGAGAGGGTAGTGGATGCATGGAATAGCCTTCTAGCTGAAGTGTTAGAGGTTAACACAGTAAATGCTTTTATTGCATTGAAATAATGTCTTCCTAAAAACCTGCACAGGCTCTGTAATAAGAAATGTAGGGCTATTCAGGTGCCCAGTGTTTTTTAACAGATGAGGAGTGCGTATTTTGCAAAAATTCATTGTAAGTGGTTCTTCTGAATAAAATGAGTGATAATCGTCAAGTGAATTGATTCCGAAATTCAGTTTGTTTATAAATTAACCGAATCGTTCCATATATCATTCATATTTTTCAACTTAAGTAAACGAGTTCAGTTGAGTCAGGTAACTATGAAGCCTGGAGAGAAACCTCAAAGGATTCTTAATGTGGAGATTTAGAAATGTCCCTAAAATAAGGGGGACAAAGTTCTAAAGGTTGAGCAGTTACCGTGGAAACTAGTGGAATGTGCGTGTCTATTGCCCCGCTTACACTTTCCTTATTATAAGATTTCATACTTGGACATAGAGATAGACCACACAGTTTATTGGTGTGTCACGAGTCCGTAACGTTGGGCATATGACTCTTACCCTATTATAAACCAACTTATTATTTTATTGAACATAAGATATAAGTATCCTATATGTGGATTAGACAGTTTTTATGTTGATTTAATGGAGTTTATTAAAATGGTAGAGTTTCTTTCTCACACCGTTCTCTTAATCACAGAGTATAATCAAGGATAATAATCACAGAGTATAATAAAGTATAATAATCACAGAGTATAATAAAGCACAACTGTGTCTGGAATATCTGAATCAAAAAAATTGTTCAAAGAAAAAGGTGTCAAGATTACAGTCAGGATCACGGATTCACAATTGGACAATTTGATAGATAAGGTCAGACACTTAGTACAGACTAATATTAATGGGATTTTTTTAATGTATCTTTTATAAAAAGCAGAATGCAGGTTTGTTTTTGATAGAAACAATAATGATTTATTAAAATGCTTGCCTTAAGTGATCCACCCCGGCCTCTCCCCAAGCACCAACACTTAACATGCCTATTGATACACACAGCTACTTACAGATACACACAGACTGGCAGCCACAGACACATATGCACAGGCAAACACAGGCACATGCAGACACACATATAGGCACAGAGGCACCGTTTGGAACACACAGACAGAGTCAGGCACAGACAGGTACATACTGTAACGGATCACCTGGCACCCCAACTGGGTACCTCTGTTGAAGGATGCTCCTAGCGCTTCCTGAGGGCTCCAAGCACTCCAGCCGACACCATAACCACCGTAGACTCCTTCAGAGAGCAAGACAGGAACAAGCTCTTACAAGAGCTTAACAGTGAATATCGCAAGAGGGTATGCAGAGCATAGCAATCCCTTGTAGAAGATTCCCCCAATAAGAGACGGCACTCCAAATTGAGATTGAAGTAGAACTGTCTTAAACTTTATTTTACTTGGCACTAGCCCATATGGTCATTACATTAACATTGCTGTGAAAACTCAATAAAATTACAAACAGTCAAATAATAGCAGGCAACATACAGTGACTATAACATAATTACATATTTATAAATGGGTGGGGAAGACCATAATTAACACAAAATGTCTCTCCTGCATGCAGAATTAGCGATATGCAAATCTACCCGAATATGCAGATTACCAGTCTTGCTATTCAGGTAGTGCATATTACTGTTGCTACCAACAGAGGGCACTACACAAGCTCCATAGTCAAATCCACCTAGTTGGTAGCAATCCTCAGCAGTACAGGAGAGCAGGCAATACATCCCAGGGGCCATAGTCACATGGCAGGAGGCTGGCAATCAGTCTTCTCCAATGCCCAGTGGCGAGGCTGGTTCTGCCACACATACTGACACAGACAGGCACACCAGGCACACACAAACACACATACATACATACATACATACACGGACACAAAGACACAGACAAGTACAACACAGGCACATTCAGATAAATTCAGGCATACTTACATTACGTAAAAATTATACTGGCTCTCTTGAAAGCCATGCAGGTTATGTGGGGGGTGGGCAGGAGGCAAGTCAGTATTTGTTTTAGAGCCGGCAGCCACAAAACTCCTGTAAGGAGTGCTGACAGCATTCTGCAAGCCCAGGTCTTCATTTTCCTGGTCCCCAGGCCCATCTGAATGGCTGATGTGCTGTCCAGTGCCCTGAGTTAGTAAGCAGCACAGTAATAGATACACATTGATTGTGATAGAATGCGTCTAGCCTACACCTCCCATTAGTAATGCCCTGCAGTCAGTTCATTTTATGGAGCATATCAGCAGAATAACGGAACTCTGTTGTTTTCATACCCTGAATTGTTGTTGTCACTGTGTGTATAGCTTGACCCAGATCTTCTTCCTGGAGTACGATAAGATTATTTCACAGACTGGGTAGAAGGCAGGGGGTGCAATGAAACGTGTGTTTTTTAAACGTTTGACATCATTACAGGCAGCATTATATATGTTTTGTATCAATTCACTATTGAGAGTACACATATTGGAAAGTGAACATGGTAGTAATTTTCTCCATTTTACCATTAAAATCAATGTCACTGTCCCTTTAATAATTACTATACGTGTTATGATAATTCCACTTATTACGTTGTTTGTACAGAGAGCCGGGACAACGCCTTCAGCCAATCCCGCAGCTCCAGCGTGTCCAGCATTGATAAGGAAACAAAGGAAGCTATCACGGCACTGTATTTCATGGAGACATTCGCAAGAAAGAACGACCAGACGCCATCCCCGTGTCTATGGGTCGGAACAAGTCTTGGGATGGTCCTGATCGTAACACTTAACATGCCTTCTACGGAGGAGCAGAGGCTGACAGAGCCCGTCATGGTGTCTCCCAGCGGTAAGCAGCACATTCTCACCTTCAAGATCTTCAGGTCAAGTTGAATTCCTCAGTAACAGCCTGATTTGTATATTCTGGACATATGTTTTCTGTAGCCATAGTGTGGTCCTTAATTTATAAATATCAGCTTATAAACATTTCACTTTTAAAACATTAGAAATATGTGGTTCTCTAGCAGGCCGTATTTGGAATGCTGTGTGAAATGTTTTTAAATCAGACTGTTATATAGTAAGATAGCTTTTATGACAGCAAAGCCCTGCCTGTTACTGGCGTAGATGGTGTGTAATCCTTCTAAACATGCTGACTCTGAGTCTGATTAAATAATAACCAATTTAACACTCACAATATAAAGGTTAAATGCCCTGTGTTCAAGTCAATATTACACCATTGTGAGATGATATCAAAGGCTTTTACACCTTGAGAATTTACTCCATTACTCCAAGTAATTAACTGTTCTATGATATTTGCAGATTCACCTCAAGAATCAGCAGATTCTGTCAGATAATTTTCCCAATAACCTTGGGAATCTGCCGATTCAATCAACCCATTTACTATGAGAATCTGCTAATTCATTCTGAGAATATTCCATTAAACAAGACTCGAAGGATCTGAACATTTATCCTGACAATCTACTCATTCAGCCTTAGGATTCTGGGGGATCCTGACAAACATCATCTTACATTACAGTTTTATGAACTATAACGAAAACATATCAGAATTCAAATTGCACATACAAGATATAGGGCACTTAGTGCAGTTTTGTTTAAGAAAAATGATACACAGTACACAAGTGGTTCTCATAGAGGAGTCTAAGAATGTCTCCCTGCTTCTCCCCAGGCACAGTCTTAATGCTGAAGGGAGCCATTCTCACCTTTTCATGCCTGGATTGCATGGGGTCTCACATACGCCCACCATATGAAATCTGGAGAGACCCAAACAGCCTGGATGATAACGAGAAAACACGGAAGAGGAAACTGGTCATGTTCTCGCCTTCATCTTCACAAGACATGGGCGATCACCAGTTTGCAGTTGTTTGCTCAGAAAAACAAGCCAAAGTGTTCTCATTGCCCTCCCAGACCTGTCTGTATGTTCACAACATCACAGAGACCTCCTTCCTACTACGAGCAGACATAGTTACCATGTATAACAACGTGTTGCTGGCGTGCTTCTGTGCCAATGGGCATATCATGACTATAAGGTATTTACTATCAACAGAAATGTGGAACATGAGTCTGTTACAGAAGTGAGAGAAAGCCCGGTATTCTTCCAGAATGTCATAGCCTGGTTCTCCAGAGAATGCATCCTCATCCATGTGGCCTCCTGATTCGGGGCCCAGTCTGTCCAATTTGTCAGGCATCTTTCCTTTGTCGGTGGGGGTGCAGTGGCCCTTCTAAGGCCTCTTGCGTACTGAGCCCATATCCGCAGAGCGTAGGGAGCCACCTGAGTCAGAGTCCCGTGCGCCAGAGGGTCCGGGCGTAGGTCCCGGTGGGGCGGGTGGAACGTCCCCATAGAGGGCAGCGAGGGCCTTAGGTAAGGAGTCCGCCAAGGTGGCACACAGCCAAGCCTGGAGGCCCTCAGGGGCATGGAAGCCAGGTTCGTCAGACATGACAGATGTCACTGAAAAAGAGGTGTGGTACCCAGATAAGGCCAGCTGGGGGTCACCTAGCTTGCAAGAGGGGGTCATCCAACAAGCACTAGCATATTATGCAAATTCAGGCCAGCAGGGGGTGGGGGTCACCCTCAGTGTATGAGTCACAGTACCCGGGAGGCCCACCAGGCTAGACAGAGGGAAGGGGTCACCCAACCCACAATAGTGCCACTTGCATGGCAGTATGGCCCAGTAGAGGACAGTATAAGCAGGGACAATGTCCCAGTAATACGGGGGAGGGGGGTGGGTCACCTCCGGTAATAATAGAGCTTTGTGGGGTGCCTGTTAGCCTACCTGAGGAGTAGAAGTGTGTGACAGGTCCATCCTGGGTCCATGTAGTGAAATTACAGTTTAATGCATGATTTCCTGTGCAACAAAGGGGCAGCAACACCAATACAGAGGAGACACAGGGAGAGGGAAGGTTGGCCACATGACCAGCAGACGGCAGGGCAGCGGCGTGAGTGAAACCGGGCTGCCAGGAACTAACGGAGCCCATGCATACCGAAAAAATGGCCGCCGCGGCCGCAAGTGAAAACGGGATCATAAGCCGCAGGCAAGCGGCCAAGGGCCGCGGGAAGTGGCTGGGGAGTGAGGGGGAGATTGTGGGGGCGGTAGAGCCCAGGAGGGAACCACAGGAATGCAAAGTGTGATGGCCGGCCATGGGGGGAGCCCGAGGAGGGAGTAAAAGGGCAGAGCAAAAACCCAAAACCCCTTGACTGGTAGCAGAGCACCTACCCCACAGACAGCCAAGCAAAAACCACAGATACAGTAGACAAGCAAACACAGCAAGTAAATACCATGAAAAAAACCCAGCCCAGAACAGAAACACTCTCTGAGTTGGTGAGTGCTCACCTGGAGGCAGCAGCAAAGAAAGAGGAAGTGGGAGGCTCTGCCTAAGTGGTTTTATACTGTTGTTTTGTTCTGATTGGTTGTTTTGAAAAGTTTTGTTAACTATTTCTTTGCTGCTGGAGGTTTCAGTAAAGAAGTTGAAGCAAATATGAAGCCTCCTGTCCTGCCATAAAATTATAATTTTCTCTTGTGCGTGGATATAGAGAAAATAACAGAACATTGTGTGTACATGTAACTTTAATAAAAACATACACGTACACGATATCAGAGATAAAACAGTATGTTAAAATGAAAAGCCACTCCACGTGTGTCCCAATCTCGTCCAATATTCAGGCATAGAATCCGGTATATAATAGAATAATAAATAGGACCCTACTCATTTCATCCAATGTGCACAGACTTCCTTAGAATAAGAAAAATGGTAATAAAATGCCTATAACAAATAAAATAGTTTTTGGGCTGATAAGATAATGTAGGACTTTTGCAGAATTGATACCAGACACAGGTTGGTCGACCTGTACAAAGAACCATAATACAAATTGGGCATTTAATATGGGGGATTGACAATGGTAAAGATACTTCAGTTTATGATTAATACATGCCTTCCGTACAGATGTAACATGTTTTTGCTGTTGCAGCCTCCCCAGCTTGCGCCCTCTGCTGGATGTGAATTACCTGCCTCTAACAGACATGAGGATAGCACGGACCTTCTGCTTCACGAATGGTGGCCAAGCTTTGTACTTGACATCTCCCACCGAGATCCAGCGAGTGACTTACAGTCAGGAGATGTACGACAGTCTGCAGGTGAGGACGACAGTGCGTAAAACGTTTGGATATTATCGGCTACAATCCATGGTCAGTACGTAGTCATACAGACGTCATTAACATGTGCCACCAAAAAAGCAAACGTACGTAACGTGGAACCAGCAAGAATGTCCTTTTAAAAATACCAACAAATCTACTTTAAATATAGAGATTAAAAAGTGTTTGAAAACACCAGATATTTGCTTTAACAATATGTGTTCATAATTAACTAGTTATCACAAACTTTAACTTTCTATAAATAATGGCCTGGGGTTAAGATGTGCTTAGATACGCCCCTTGCGCATGCCTGTGTGTACTTGGATTGTCAGTTTGCGATCTGTTCCTCTGAACACAGAGATTTCTTGCTGGAGACGACCTTTTCCTGCATCAGATCATGATTTAGAATCTGTCGGAGATACAGATGCTGTAAATGTCAGCGGTAGCAGTATGCGATTATTACAGGCACGATTCTTGTTTCTGCAGTTAATTACCGTGAAACAATGCACAGACTCCTGGACTTAAAATATTTTAAAAAAATAGATACAGAGGTTTCCAGTGTGAGACGTTTCTCTCATTATTTTCAGAGCACCCCGAGTTCCATAACGTTCTCCTCCGTGTGTTTTATATGTTACACAACATTCAGGAAGTTATTCACTAAATGCCAATCTAGTTTCTGGATTGCTAAACTTTGTGGAATACCCAACATTTTAATCTAAAATGCAATTCGGTTATTCACTAAATGTAATGTGTGGATATTGCACAAAACAGCATAGTGGAGACAGGTTGTGCCATAGTCTGTGCTGTGCTGTTCTGCGATGGGTTCTGCCATCGTGTATGCTGTACTGAGACAGCATCTGCTATAGTCTATGTTGTGCTGAGTACACACTGAGTCTATCTGGTACACTCTGAGTCTGCCTGGTACACTCTGAGTCTATCTGGTACACTCTGAGTCTGTCTGGTACACTCTGAGTCTGCCTGGTACACTCTGAGTCTGCCTGGTACACTCTGAGTCTGCCTGGTACATTCTGAGTCTGCCTGGTAGTCTGTCTGGTACACTCTGAGTCTGCCTGGTACATTCTGAGTCTGCCTGGTACACTCTGAGTCTGCCTGGTACATTCTGAGTCTGCCTGGTACACTTTGAGTCTGCCTGGTACACTCTGAGTCTGCCTGGTACATTCTGAGTCTGCCTGGTACACTTTGAGTCTGCCTGGTACACTGTGAGTCTGCCTGGTACATTCTGAGTCTGCCTGGTACACTCTGAGTCTACATTCTGAGTCTGCCTGGTACACTCTGAGTCTGCCTGGTACACTCTGAGTCTGCCTGGTACATTCTGAGTCTGCCTGGTACACTCTGAGTCTGCCTGGTACACTCTGAGTCTGCCTGGTACATTCTGAGTCTGCCTGGTACACTCTGAGTCTGCCTGGTACACTCTGAGTCTGCCTGGTACACTCTGAGTCTGCCTGGTACATTCTGAGTCTGCCTGGTACACTCTGAGTCTGGTACACTCTGGTCTGCCTGGTACACTCTGAGTCTGCCTGGTACACTCTGAGTCTATCTGGTACACTCTGAGTCTGCCTGGTACACTCTGAGTCTGCCTGGTACACTCTGAGTCTGTCTGGTACACTCTGAGTCTGCCTGGTACATTCTGAGTCTGCCTGGTACACTCTGAGTCTGCCTGGTACACTCTGAGTCTGTCTGGTACACTCTGAGTCTGTCTGGTACACTCTGAGTCTGCCTGGTAAAGTAGGAGGTTGACATTGATTGGTGGATTTGTTTAATTTCCCCCCAGGAAATGCTTGGAGATCTATTCTCTCTGGTGGAAACTCCTGAAGCACAAAACAAGGGTTTCTTGAAAGGACTATTTGGAGGAAGTGGACAAACATTTGACCGAGAAGAACTGTGTAAGTTGATCAAAAGATTGGCATGTCCTTGGTCTTAATACAGTATATTATGCAGCTCTTTAAAGTGGAGAGATCCATGCGACAAACAGCTAGAGTTATTAAATGAATACTGTAAATGTATGGCTGTCCTGGTTTGGTGTCAATCGGTGTGTAAATGGGAGCAGTGCAGTGTGTTTCTCACTGTGTTCATTTTCCAGTTGGGGAAGCGGCAGCAGGTAAAGCCTCCCGGAGCCTGGCACAGCATATCCCAGGACAGGGGGGGCTAGAGGGAGTGAAAGGAGCAGCAACAGGAGTAGCTGCAGATCTGTATCGAGCCCGCATCGGTCTGGATGAGAGAGGGCAGAGGCTGGGCGAATTGGAGGAGCGGACAGCAGGGATGATGTCCAGTGCGGAGGCTTTCTCGAAACATGCACACGAGGTATAATCTAATTTCTCGGTTACAGCTCTGTGAGGAGTGCAGCGACCATAGACTAAAAACAAGGGGCAAATGTAAAACATAGAAAGTAGCAACGGGTAACACAATTATATTTACATTTTACCATTTTAGAGTGTAGCTGTCTGTAGATAATTATTGTAAACAGCTGGATGCTGTGAGATACAGCAAAGAACACGGATCATTATGCTGAACATTCGCAGTGTCAGAGGAGGACAACAAGACGGTATATAAGTAGAGTAACACAAAGCGAGATAGATGTTTCTTTTATTCATTGTCACAATCTCTCTTTTTCTGCAGCTGATGTTGAAATACAAGGATAAGAAGTGGTACCAGTTTTAAAGTGTGGTGCCTGGAGGGTTTTATGCGAATCAGACATAGCGCATTGAGCGCATGGCTAGACTCCAGCTTTCTCCATCGATGTGTCCACACTTCACCATGATGGACCACGAAAGACCATTTCTACCACAAAGTGGATCAAACCAGGTATCTATCGTGATATCAAAGGACCCTCGATCACTGAGGAGTTTGCAAAGCTTTCTTCCCACGACTCCCAGATGCTCCAGCAGCCAGTGGGCAAAACGCTCTACCAGAACTTCCATAACTGGAAATCTCAAGAGGGCATGTCAGCTTTTTATAAATGTTTTCTGGATACAGACTGTCAATGTTCTCTAAAACTAGCTTGTTAATCACACACAATGACATTTAAAAAAAAAATGTAGAAAAAATATTTGCATGAAAGAAATTACATTCAACAGAGAACAGACGCATGTTGTGAAGAGGATTTATAGCAAAGCAGGAAGAGAAGCAAAGTGATGGGTAATGGACTTTCTAGTCTCGCGGCGGTCACATTAGACAGGTGGTATTTTCATGTGTGCGCCTACTCATTGCTGTTTAATATAGAGCTTTGTTCTGTCCGCTGACAGGCCCTAAGCGCAGTCTTCATAGTGGAAATTGCAGACTGCTATTGCGGGACGTGCACGGGTTAGCGATTTTCTTATCAGAGTTATCAGTCTATTGTGTGCAAAACTGTACAGATGTATAGAGAGTAATTGGGATCATTTGGTGCAGAGAACGCTGGGTGATGGCGTGCACAGTCGCGGTTATTAACGCAGTCGCGGACAGTGGATTCTGTCCCAGATAAATATGATGGCATTGAATAAGGCCAGTGGCGCCTACGTTTTAGGTAAGTGAATGTGGCATGGTGCCAATTAATTACATGATGTAGGTACAACAAGCCCCATCCTTTCAATAGGTTAGCTCTAAGACTTAATACAAATTGTATGTGTTTGGAATTAAAGTGTAATTTGACATCCTGATAAACCAGATGGGTACTGTCTTTTTTTTTTTGTTCAGTGTAGCAGCCTGTGTCTGACTTTATAAAGTATGAAAAAAAAAAAAAGGAATTGAAAGGGTCAGAAGGCTGATTAAATTTTCAATGATATCATTATTCAACCAGTGATGCTATAATAAACGGTATGAATTGTGATCACCTGGCAAGACTTGCTCATTACTAGTGGTGACCAAGGATCGGCTGGCATTAAATGCAGCCAATCACAGTGCAGAGGAGAGCAGCCCAGGGATGGCTTACGGAATGGGAAGCTCTCCATTCTTGGATCTTTGTGAATAAATCCCAATATTTTGAGCAATGAACTTCTGTCTGCTGAATGCAACCCCGAGATTTGCCCAGTGTCTGTGTCCTGGTTTGTAAGTCCCAAATTATTGAATTTAGTCCTGAATGCAAGGAGGTCAGTGCTATTCAGAATATAGAAATAATTACAGAATTAAATCCTGCCACTCAGCGTCACAGTAAATTATATCTGTCACTTGGTACCGAGGTAAAGGTAATTGGCTGGATTAGACCAGATCTGAGTATAGGACCTTAATTACACAATCTTACATTTTCTAAACAGATTATGGCTGAGAGCCCTCCAGCACAGACGCCATACACCCCACATTAAATAAAAAAATGACAGCAATTTCAAATGTTAATTAATTCTAAATGTTAAAGCCAATTACTATCCACTGATGGATCAGGTGTGCTGAAGGCATGTCTAACTCATGATGGGAGGCAGCCGGCTTTGTAACTGCAAATATACAGAGCTCTGTGTGTGCAGTGAGAGGAGCCCCATTCACTGGATATAGAATATACATTACATGCACACACGTAGTAGTCCAACCGTTAAACCCCATAGTGTGTACAAAGTGATGTAATATGGGAATTATTTACTGGTTTGACTTGCTTTCTACAGTGTACTACTGTCATGTCTCGGTCTACTTGAGATTAGTGGGAGTTAGCCTGCCATTTACTATAAATTCCACCCTGTCCGCTGTTGTGGATTCTGTCTGCAGGCATATTAAATCAGGAGAGGGGTAACACCAGTCTCACTTACAGCATTCTAACATAACGTAATATAAAAGATACGCCTAACGCCAAAGCCTGTATTAAGAACAAGTAATACAATCTCTGAGTTCTGGAGACTCGGTCTCATGGTTAGTTATGATGGCTCAATCCATTGGCATTCATTTACCATAACACTTGTTTCAGTTATGAGAGTATTTCTCTCCTCTCATGATGGGTATTAAATGTCGAGTGTGTTTCGATGCCCATTTTGCTCCCCTTATAATATCATAAGATGCACAGGTGAAGCATGTGGATTGTTTCGATACGTGCCTCTATTTAGCTCATAAAATGACAGAACAAAGTGATAAAAAGGACATTACGTACACAACTATGCAAATGTTTTAGGCAGGTGGAACACTTTGAAAAAGAATGTTAAGTTTATTAATAAATTAACAAAATGCAAAGTGATTGGACAGAAGAAAAATCTAATTCTTTGCCTTTCCAAGCTCAGTGCCCGTGCCAAGCACCCAGAGGTATATGCAGGAGGACGAGATTCTCTTTATCTCCCAAATTCCACCATCACGATCATTGCGTCTAATGCAGATGAGCAGCTGTTACACAAAGTGCGATGGGGCAGATGTGCTCTGAAATGAGAAGTTCGAGTCCCCGAGGTTGTCACTGCACTTTGTGACAACCATCTGATTTGATCAAACACATGGTATTTACAATGGAAATCAGTTTGACTTGCAGAAGCTAATTAAGCAGTGGGACAAGCGCTCAGGTCTACTAACTGTCAGCTTTTACACTGTGGCTCCCTCGGGGTCCCTCGCACCCTTCTGGAAATGACACATCATGTTCTCACGGCTGCTATTGCCAGTCATTCAATAACATCTTCATCCTGCAAGACGTCCCAGGTTAGCAGTCAGTGCAGTCATAGCATTGGTGATCAGAGACGCTTGGTGTCCTCATTGCAGACATCTCCATGAGTTTATCTTCCTTAGAATGGGTTTAACTAGCCTCTCATTATTTAATCCCTTCCTCTTCATCTGATTTGTCTCAGTTTTTATTTTATTTTTCTTTAATAGAAATAAATTTTAAGGAGAATTTAATTTGCTCAAATTGCCCTCTTCTAAAATTTAATTTCATCACCGTAACCCACATCGATAAAAATACATCTAACAAATATTTATCATGTATTGTATATCCAGCACGTTTTATTTTACCCACTGTGGTCTGAAACAGGTATTGTTTTTAAAAATACAAAAAAACAAGTCCTGCGCTCAAACTCCCACTACTCTTGGACAGCAGCAATGTACACATCACCCCAATATATACAGTAAAAACCAAAGGGAAAAAGTTACATGCGCTCTTCCCAAATCCCTATGTATATTTAAACAAATGGAGGTTTTCTAGTTACTCCAATGGCCTTGAGAGAGCTTAGCCCACCTGCCACGTCAAGGCTGACCTCTCAGGGGGGTCCTACACTAACCTTTCACTTTGCTTTCTTGAACTTCTGACATCTCTAATGAGACAGAGAGGGGTATTTTTTATATACATCCCTACATGCTTATTAACCCTTGATAGGGAAAACATGGGATGGGCGGCAGCATTGCAACCTAGCTGTGTGATACAAAAGTGAATACAAATACTAAAAAGTCCTGTGCTCAAACTCCCATCACTCTTGGGTGGCGGCAACGACCATAGTACACATCAGCCCCAATACATACAGTAAAAACCAAAGGGAAAAAAGTTACCTGCGCTCTTTCCCAAATTCCTATGTATATTTAAGAAAATTGTTTTAAAAATGACTGATATTGTAAATAATGGTGTTCACCCATCTAGTCAATAGGTACTTTATATATAGGCTGAAAGAACGCAGAACTTATGGGTAAAAGCGAGAATGGGAGATTATAGCACTTAATCCACTTTATAAAACCCTCCACATGTTCCAAATACCAACAAAAACATTTAACGGATATTAAAATATATTTTCCTACTTTCTTATTTTATATTATTTTTAAAAGGTTACAAAAAAAATAGAATCAAATATGGAGTAACAGAGTTATTGTGGTTTTGTAATGTTCACCTTTCTCAAAAAACTGGGCTTCGTAGATTTGGGGAGTCTGTACAAAATTCACCTTAAACAGCAAATTGTTATGGTTACTACATCAACAATGTCAGGAATCCTCTCTCTCTAACCAAAAAGCCACCCATAAGCTTTTAACCCTTTAATATATTCCAGATATGTCCTTATCACCCCTCCTGCCCACGCCCAACACAAACATCAGCCTGTTTTATGTGAAAAAGAGACCGTTAATAATCCCATCTAATGTAAAAAATAAATAAATAAAATAAAAAAAGAATTAAAAAAAAGAGTTGCAGTATAGGATGTAATTTATATTACTTTAATAAGAAAACGATTAATACATTTAAATTCATTGAATATTTACATTTGTTAAAGGTCATATATAAAGGATTTACCGGTAAAAATTCATTAGGACAGAATAGAAAAGCAGATTTCATACAATTATTTTCCTGAGTCCATAAAATGACATAAAACATCGGGATGTGCCATCATGTTGGGTTTCAGTCGGTTCCCGATGTGGGATTATCAAGCAGCAGGTTTGTGTAACAAACAGAAATTCATTTCCATGAAGGGTGGATCCTTCGTTCTACAGGTCGAAATCCTGCAAGTCCCCCCAGCTGGGGCCAATTTTCACTTTTGCTTTCAGTTTAACGGATAATTTGATGGCATTTTCCATCTCATTCTTTATAATCTGCGCTACCTGCGGTGGAAGAAATAACAGTGTTAGCTTGGATCAAGCGCTGCACGTTTAACCGCTTCTTAGATCTTTATTCATGTCTCTTTCGGTCCTATTTACCTTGAAAATAAGAATAAGAAAGAAAAAAAAAAAGCAATATTTTAATTACAATGGACGATGTAAGCTGCAGCCAAAATGAGTCTCTGCACGTGAGCTACATAAGGACTGCTAAAGGAGCACCGACCGGATTTCTAACCGCTCAATACAGAAATTCTAGCCGTCTTTCATATTTACCAAACATTTGGGTCTTAATTCCCAGAGTGAAACAACAAGGAACAGGTAATGAATATGGATTGTCATTTAATCCATGCATAGCATACATCCGCTAATAGTTATTACTCAGTAAATAGAATACAGACAGCCCTATCCAAACCTCCCTGTTTCTTACTCTGCTTGCCTTCCTCTCCCTGCTCACAATCCTCCTTTATTGCACAGTGTGTTTAATTTAGAATTTCTTATCCTCTGCTCTGTTACTCGCCTGCACTCCATGCACTTACCTGTATTGCATCATCTTCTGCAGCTTCATAAATAAGCTCATCATGAAGTTGCAGGATAAAGAAGGCACCGTGGGTTGGCTGGAAAAGATTTTTCTGCCTTCCTGCAATATGTAAAAAGGTGGATATATGTGAGAGAAATAGTTTGTTGCTTTTTCCAGTCTAAAACAACACATACAGTTTGTATCAGAGTTGTGAAACAGGCTAAAATGACAATAGAATAGCTAGTAGGCAATAGAGTATATTCAGTATCAGCGCAGACAGTGACTGGCGGGGATAATATCTTATATCAGATGTAAGTTGAGAAAACACAGTAACCATTCTGCATAAGTTTCCTTCCTTTACTACTGCAATTCCCGCACATTGAGGCCCACAGGTTTTTTTTACTCATTGATGCTCATTTTGTCATATCAAATTATTCTCAATATGAAATCAAGAAATAATCGAGAAATAATAATGTAGCTTGCAGTTAGAGATGGCCTTAAAGCAGAATATTTTTGTGTGTGTACATAAAGCCAATTTGCTTCGCAGGTAGCGAGTGGCTTTTTCAGACACACCATGTATGTGAGACATCCCGCATTTAGAGGGTTAATTGGGTTCTCCTGCCAGCAGACTCTGTTCCTGCTGAGAACTGGTAAAGGTCCAATTTTGATAAATACAATAAGTCAAACTTGTGAATAACCCGCAGAGATCCACTTTCCAATACTGTGAAAGACTCTTAAAGGGACTACAAGCACCAATATAACTTTAGCTTAATGAAGCAGTATTGGTGTATAGATCACCCCTGCTATTTAGGAGCTAAATCACTTTATTTATACAGCCCTAGTCACACCTCTAGGTGTGTGACTTACACAGCCTTCCTAAACAATTCCAGTAAATAGACATCTAATGTTTATACTTCCTGTATTGTACATTATGTTTAACATTTCTTATCTCCTTAATAGCTCGCTATGACCCTACAGGAGCCTCCTGTGTGAGAATTTAATATTTTTTTTCCTACTCTGTAATTGAGCTTTAAAGTAAACACACTATGCTGTAACATCTGATTAAAAATTAAGCCATCCAATTTAACTACTAAATAGAGAACGGAGCAGTGAAACTGCAGGGGAATGATCTACACACCAAAACGGTTTGTTTAGGCTAAATTTGTTTTGGTGCATTAGGAATAGTAGTCTCAGGATTTATTGTTGAAAAGGCATTAGCACTCATCCCAAAATCTTCATATCAATGGGATTTAAAAAAAAAAAATCAATTTGTTACACTAATCTAAAAGGAAAGGTTGTTTGAAAAATTCCTGTAAAGCAACTACAACCTTGCTAATCCCTTACATTCCCCCCACTTTCCTGTGTACAGAGGGGCGAGATGCTTATAATTTCACATAATGCCCCTGGTTTTTCCAACCATCGTCTACGGGGTGTGAGACTGACAAAATTCTTTTTACCACTCCCTTTTTAATTATTACGATCCAATTAGCATTCTAAATAATAAATATTAATAGGTTACATGGCCAATGGATGGGCATGGTCTGGCATGTCTTATACAGTAGCGGGAACCTACATGGAATGCTGATATTCTCCCCCTCCGCTAAACTGTTAAACTTGTAAAAATACCGATATACTGAAAATCATATACACACACACAGACACGGAATGCAAGGTATAATCAGGTTTCTGATTCATATATAAATAGCAGACTAGAGAGGAATCACCAGTTCATGATCAGCATTGGATATGGAGCCCATCAGTCCTCTATCACAACTTTTATTTGACGTGTTACCACGTACCTGTCTTACTAGCATGCTCCCGGTGACCGTGAGATTTCGGTGCTGATGGGAAGGCTTCCTCCAGGCGTTTCTGGATATTGATGGTTGCAGTTTTTACAATATCAGCAGCAGACCCCTGTACAGTTGTATTTACAGCCTGACGTTCTGCCTACAGAGAATACATCGTCACATTACATTCTATTAAACAGATAATGAGATCTAAGGAGGAGCAACAAGTGGGTCAGTCTGTAATGGGAATAATGGAAGGGGATCACAGTCTGTAATGGGAATAATGGAATGGGATCACAGTCTGTAATGGGTATAATGGAATAGGATCACAGTCTGTAATGGGTATAATGGAATAGGATCACAGTCTGTAATGGGTATAATGGAAGGGGATCACAGTCTGTAATGGGTATAATGGAAGGGGATCACAGTCTGTAATGGGTATAATGGAATAGGATCACAGTCTGTAATGGGTATAATGGAAGGGGATCACAGTATGTAATGGGTATAATGGAAGGGGATCAGTGTCTGTAATGTCTGTAATGGGTATAATGGAATAGGATCACAGTATGTAATGGGTATAATGGAAGGGGATCACAGTCTGTAATGGGTATAATGGAATGGGATCACAGTATGTAATGGGTATAATGGAAGGGGATCACAGTCTGTAATGGGCATAATGGAAGGGGATCACAGTCTGTAATGGGCATAATGGGAAGGGGATCACAGTCTGTAATGGGTATAATGGAATATGATCACAGTATGTAATGGGTATAATGGAAGGGGATCACAGTCTGTAATGGGCATAATGGAAGGGGATCACAGTCTGTAATGGGCATAAGGGAAGGGGATCACAGTCTGTAATGGGTATAATGGAATATGATCACAGTATGTAATGGGTATAATGGAAGGGGATCACAGTCTGTAATGGGTATAATGGAAGGGGATCACAGTCTGTAATGGGAATAATGGAAGGGGATCACAGTCTGTAATGGGTATAATGGAAGGGGATCACAGTCTGTAATGGGAATAATGGAATGGGATCACAGTCTATAATGGGTATAATGGAATAGGATCACAGTATGTAATGGGTATAATTACCCATTCATTATAATTCACAAAGTTATTATGGGTATAATGGAAGGGGATCACAGTCTGTAATGGGTATAATGGAAGGGGGTCACATTCTGTAATGGGTATAATGGAAGGGGATCACAGTCTGTAATGGGTATAATGGAAGGGGATCACAGTCTGTAATGGGAATAATGGAAGGGGATCACAGTCTGTAATGGGTATAATGGAAGGGGATCACAGTCTGTAATGGGTATAATGGAAGGGGATCACAGTATGTAATGGGAACAATGGAATAGGATCACAGTATGTAATGGGAATAATGGAAGGGGATCACAGTCTGTAATGGGTATAATGGAAGGGGATCACAGTATGTAATGGGTATAATGGAAGGGGATCACAGTCTGTAAAGGGTATAATGGAAGGGGATCACAGTCTGTAATGGGTATAATGGAATGGGATCACAGTATGTAATGGGTATAATGGAAGGGGATCACAGTCTGCAATGGGAATAATGGAAGGGGATCACAGTCTGTAATGGGCATAATGGAAGGGGATCACAGTCTGTAAAGGGTATAATGGAAGGGGATCACAGTCTGTAATGGGTATAATGGAATGGGATCACAGTCTGTAATGGGTATAATGGAAGGGGATCAGAGTCTGTAATGGGTATAATGGAAGGGGATCACAGTCTGTAATGGGTATAATGGAAGGGGATCACAGTCTGTAATGGGTATAATGGAAGGGGATCACAGTCTGCAATGGGAATAATGGAAGGGGATCAGTGTCTGTAATGGGCATAATGGAATAGGATCACAGTATGTAATGGGTATAATGGAAGGGGATCAGAGTCTGTAATGGGTATAATGGAAGGGGATCAGAGTCTGTAATGGGTATAATGGAATAGGATCACAGTCTGTAATGGGCATAATGGAGGGGATCACAGTCTGTAATGGGTATAATGGAATAGGATCACAGTCTGTAATGGGTATAATGGAAGGGGATCACAGTCTGTAATGGGTATAATGGAAGGGGATCAGTGTCTGTAATGGGCATAATGGAAGGGGATCACAGTCTGTAATGGGTATAATGGAATAGGATCACAGTCTGTAATGGGTATAATGGAAGGGGATCACAGTCTGTAATGGGTATAATGGAAGGGGATCACAGTCTGTAAATATGTACAATTTGCTAAATAGTATAAGAAAAAATATTATAGAAATAAAGACAACAAACCAGGTCTAACAATAAAACACTGACACCAGCTTACTCACATGGGCTCTAGCATGGGGGTTTGAGTCCTTGATGGCAGGAAGGTATCGTCGCCGGCCGAGGATGGTCTGTACGAAGCCATTGTGAGTGCAGTTCTTTACTGTGTCCTTCAGGAATTTCTGGATACCTAGCACACACAGACAATTAATGCAAAGGACATTGCAACAGACATTTCAATGGCTTCAAAGATAAGGAGTCAAGAGAATACTTTGAGTCAAAGTGAAAGGAACAAGGAAACCGATGCAATAAACAGAGATTTTATCATTTGGGAAGATATGCTAAAGGAGTTCATGGATAGAGTGTGGTGACGATACAAAGAAACTGGTGGGCAATCAATGTGACAATAGCCCGGCATGTGCTGACCTCAGACATCGAGAAGTTGGGAACAAACAGTTTAAATCAGCTACTGAATGAGAGAAACAGGTTATCTAAGGTTCTTGCAAAAACGGAGAAGGTTGGTAATTGAAATAATACAGAATACAAATTAAATTACACAAGTCCTATTTGTCTTACAGAATGATAAATAATGTGAATCAAACGGTCATTTACAGAACTTTTTCTTCCGAGCATTATTTAATTGAAATGGATTTCCAATTTATAAAACATTTTACTCCAAACACGAGAATTTCAGCTAATGACAAAGTGCAAGTGGGATTTGTGGAAGTGGGGAAACACCACCTAGCTCGTTAGCATTTTATAAGATTTGTAAATGGTCCTGATGAGGCTGGAACTAGAATAATTTTGTGTTTTATTTCCCAATGTGTGCAGACTGTTTCTCCATTTTTCATATAGGAGCCATGCCTTGTACGCTTTCGATTTTCCGTTAGAATGGACCATGATTAATATACAGCCCTCTGGGCTCTGGCAAATACGGGCAAATCTGGCCAGTACTAACTGCAAGCGGCTGGCATGTGAATTGCACTCACTACATATGGCCAGCAATCCACCATTAATCTGACAAATCTGAAAAAGGCTCAGCATTCGCAGCCAGGACTATCTAGGGTCCACCGTATAGACTCTGTGTCCAATAAGGTTTCTGTATATTTTTATTCTGATTTAGTCTGATTTAATGATCTTGGTCCAATCACCGTGCCCTGCCAATATGATGCTTCTTATACAGAAACAATGAATTCAATGCTTCTGTATGAGAAGCACTGGATGCGTTCTGCATGCCATTCTGGGCGTTAGAATTGACAACATGAAGACTTTCATTTCTGAAAGTCTTAAGGATGAAGTGCCGTCTGTCTATCAGTCACCAGATAAGTGTTCTTAAACAAATATAAACAACTGTAAATTCACAGAAATGCCAACTACATGAAGTGATCACGTTGAGGAAGATTTATCAATTAACAGAAACGTCGGACACTTTTTCACAATTGAAAAATAAAACGTGCTAAATCGCCAAAAACTCTTTTAAAATAGTTACTGTCCCCAAACATTTGTAAGCAGAACAAACTCCTCCTCTTAGCTGGTATTCTATTAAAGTAACATCAAATGTATACTAATTATTCCATGTTAATTAATTAAAGTAATTAAAAAGAACATCAAGGAACAATATGGTATAGTAAAATCAATAACACAACAACAATACAAGAACGGTGCATTATACCTTAAATTGTCCATTTTGAATCATTTTAGAGACCCCCAGGTATCATTGTCTATTTGGAACAGAACGAGTTATTATCACACGTCATCTATTATCACCAGTACTCCGGCTACTAACCTTCCTCCGGTAACTGCAAAGCCAGCGAAACCTACATTGCGTGTGGTGTCACGAGTCACCATGAATTAAGATGTCTTATATATATATCGAGTGTCTGACTGCAGAAAACGCCCAGATTGAGCATCATACGTTCAATATGCTGGGTTACCAGAACTGCTGCTAATTGCAGCGTTACGTGGGATGGTTTGTGTTTTCTACTTGGAACATTTTAAATGCAATTACTAGATAATTACATACTAACACGATGTGTTGAACCCCATTCCGTTACTGTGAAGTGAAAGTGTGAAGAAGCCACAGGTGATGGAGCGCACAATGTCGCACAATGTAGATAAAGTGCAGAGCACGTTACAATTATCTGTCATTTTAACCATCACTACCTTCCTGGATGCACAGTGACACATAAAATCAAGAGCTGAACTATCTATATTATTAATGTTACAGTTGCCCTCTCTATCAAATGGGCATTTGCCTCCATGGTTACTTTTACCCGATCTTCATTTAGGGAACTGTATTTTAAATATGTCCTAGAACCATACATTATATATACAGTATTAAATCACTGAATTATCTCAAGGTGAGTCATTGCTATACTCCAATTATATATCAAATGCTCAAGCCCCAAGAGACATAGAAAACCAGAATGACAATTTAGCACAGTTTTAGCACACATACAATTAATGATTTGCAGAGAGAAAGATTTGACGGCCAGAGTGACAGGTGGTGCTCCTATAACACCTACCTGTGTATCTTGCTTTAAAGGACTCAATATAAGAAGCAGCATCTTCATTCTCGATGCCCATCTGCTCTCCCAGCGATTTCGATCCCATCCCATAGACAATTCCATAGCAGATCTATCAGACAGGGAACAACTTTAGAAAATACAGGCAGTTTGGAGAGAGACAGACAATGGAGAATGCGGAGGTTAAACCTGACAATATAAAGCTCATAGTAACAGAACCCCAGATCCGTTAATATACCCCTTCTCTGCAATTCATCTTTAGCTGCAGGACAACACAGCGGTTCTGGGATAAGGTTCTACAAGCAATGTAAGCACCATGGCAACCAATGGACTGTTCTTACAAAATGCTTCACTGTTTATATTGTTCCCCAGAATTGCCGATTGATTAAAAGGTTTGATGGGTCCCGAGAATCACTGCTTCATGTACTGCCTGGGTAAAGCCTAAAGCGTTGGGAAGGAGGAGAGGCAAATATGTTTTTACTGAATATCTGAAGAAAGAAATAACAACGTTACAAGAATAGTTTAGATTTCACAATGATAAATATCCTGACAAATATAACGAAAGTAAGGGTTTGGAATTGAAAAAGAAGACGATACAGTTGCTGTATAATCGGACATATTATTAAGTATGTTTCCTTGGAAGCCACGGACCCCAGGTGTGCTAACATTCCTCTGGGTCAGCACGTGGAATGGCGCGAAGGAATTCTAGGCTGATCGCGTTTATTCCACCTGAGCAGAATAAATCCCACGTATTCTGCACATTTATACAAATTACTGCTTTGTTTAAATTTTCCACTGAAATGGTTTTCTAATGAGCTTTATATTCCACATTAATATTTCTGAAACGGATTCATTAGTCAGCGAAACATTATAACCGTTATTAAAGTATACAGACAGCCCTAGAATATCCACCCAAAATGCATCATTTATTATTTCATTTCACCCATCTGGAGTCCGATCAGCTGCTCAGATATTCTAGGAAAAAGAAACTGACTGTACTGTTAATACTTCTAAATGATTATTACTGGCCTGGCAGAAATAAATAAAACAAAAAACTGGTATTTAACCAGGATGACTGTCATTTTGCATATCACTATTACTTATATGATAATTATACCAGAAAAAAAAACTACCTCTTGCCAACTCTAGTTCCAAAGCAATGTAAGCTAATCCTCACTTACCATTTCTGATCACAAGAGCTTGCACTTTAAAATGTTTTATAAGCAGAGAATGGGTTAAAAAAAACAGCAGATATAAAAATAAAGCGGGGTATTATTGGAATCCCTTTTATGAAATGAGACACTACAGGCCGGCAGGACTGAGACACTGTGATGGATGCCCCTGGCACTGAAGGAATGAAATGAAATGTGTATTCAAGAAACCAGTGGGCATTTTCACTGTCAGTGTGAATGCATAATTAACCCTTACAGAGTGCACAGTCGCCAACAGGGTGTCATGTGACTGCGCCACACAACACGGACATGTGGACAAGTCATGTTTGCTTACTAGTAAGGATGCCGAGGGCAGCTCCCACAATGGACTGCTCTGTGCCCTCCAGGAAACGTTCTAACGGAGAGTGGTGTCACTAAGCATTACAGTCGCACATGGCTAATCGCTGGGAGCCAGTACAGCAGTCAACGCACATTTTAGTGATTAGCATCAAACAGAAGAAGCATAATGCTCTCTCTTATAAACAAATTGCTTGGCATATAGCATTAAATTGGGCAAACTGCCTATCAGTGCCTCACCACCTGCCTTTAATACCAGGGGCTCCGGCACAGCGGGATGCGCAGTGCTTGCACACATTGGAAACAAGCTGGGCTCTGCAAGGATCCAGAAAAAGTAACATTTACCATCTCTCTGTACAAAATAATACCTGGATTAACACACGCCAATGTCTAGATCTGAGAAATAAAACAAGCTATCTTTACTGGCAGCTGCAGTCATGGAGCGAGGATTAGAACCGGGGTTAGAATTGCTTTCTCTCTCCCCATGCAGAGCTCCAATCAACACATCGCCACTAACGGCATCTATCGTATCGGTGGCAGAAAAACAAAAAAACACAAACAAAAGCAACTACCCACAAGCTGCCCAACGTGCCACCACTGTTTATCTGCCGATAACAGCACGGACGTCCTTATGTCTTTTACCTGATCACACCTGAAAGATTTATGTAGAATGTCTTTCCTAATCACGCCTGAAGGTGCCTTTTACAATGATGCCTTCCTAATCACACCTGAAGATTTTGGGTAGAATGTCTTTCCTTATCACGCCTGAAGGTGCCTTTTACAATGAGGCCTTCCTAATCACACCTGAAGGTGCCTTTTACAATGATGCCTTCCTAATCACACCTGAAGATTTTGGGTAGAATGTCTTTCCTTATCACGCCTGAAGGTGCCTTTTACAATGAGGCCTTCCTAATCACACCTGAAGGTGCCTTTTACAATGATGCCTTCCTAATCACACCTGAAGATTTTGGGTAGAATGTCTTTCCTTATCACGCCTGAAGGTGCCTTTTACAATGAGGCCTTCCTAATCACACCTGAAGGTGCCTTTTACAATGATGCCTTCCTAATCACACCTGAAGATTTTGGGTAGAATGTCTTTCCTAATCACGCCTGAAGGTGCCTTTTACAATGAGGCTTTCCTAATCACGCCTGAAGGTGCCTTTTACAATGAGGCCTTCCTAATTACGCCTGAAGGTGCCTTTTACAATGATTCCTTCCTAATCACTCCTGAAGATTTTGGGTAGAATGTCTTTCTTAATCACGCCTGAAGGTTTTATGTACAATGACCCTTTCCTATGTACAATGACACCTGAAGCTATTGTGTAGAGTGTCTTTCCTAATCATGGCCGGAGGTTCTCTGTACGACGACTCTTCCCTCTTCCATCATTCTTGTAGAATGCATTGCCCAATCATGCATGAAGGCTTTATTGTACTAAGCCCTTTCCTAATCACACCTGAAGGTTTCTTTTAGTAGCTCTGGTTCAGCCTTTTTACTGCAGCAATGAAACAGGGTGTTTGTGTGCGATCGGATCAGGTATCAGCAGGTTACTACAAAGAGTAGGGAAAAGGGACACCAAAAATGTGCAAAAAAGCTCAGATTTATAGTCAGATAGGGAAGAACCCACTAATTTAATATTCCTTCAACAAAGCTCAGATTCTGTATTTTGTAAGTAACTCAGTCATTGGTATGAGGGCTGACCTGCTTCGCTTGCTGACGCACTCTGTCTGTTACGGCTTCAGGATCAATCATTTTCCACTCTGCCGCAATACTCTTAAATACATCTTCTCCGCTGTTCAGGACATGGGTGAGCCGTCTGTCTCTGGATAAATGAGCGAGGATTCGCAGTTCCAGCTGGGAATAATCTGCAGCCAAGATAAGCCCTCCTAAACAAAAACAAAATATAAAACAGAGAGAAAATAAACATTTCTAGGTCAACACGGCTATCATACTGGTCAAACCACCTTAATTTGGCCTCTTTAAATCACTGTTAAGATCACACCTTTAATATGCTGTGCAATTTAGCACCTGTCCTAAAGAATGATATTATGGCACTAGAAAATGTGCAGAGGTGGGCTACAAAATTACAATGGAGAATGGCTTAGAAATTTATATCTGTTTAAACATATTTAACATTATACACATATATTCGGGGCCAAAATAGACCATTGTCTGGAAATCTATTCATAAACAAGACTATAGGTCATGTGTTTAGACTGGAAAAAAGGAGATTTAGTCTAAAGCAAAGGAAATTGATTTTTTACAGTAAGAACAATAAGAAGTTGAATTCTCTGCCTAAAAAGGTGGTTTTACAGATTTTTTTTTGAAACAGCAACTTGAAGAATTCTTTCAAAAACGGTCAAAAAGTTTCTTGAGCTAAAGAGAGATCTGGTTGCTATTCTGGGATTAAGAAGGATTTTTTCCTAGTTTGTAGCAAAATTGGAAATCAGTTCAAACTGTTTTTTTTTTGTTAATCTCTTTTTGTTATTGAGGCATATACATTTCAATACAGTCATACAACACTGTAATAACTAAACAAAAAACGTGCATATCACAAAATGCATACCACCGAGATAGACCTCATTTTATGGTAACTTGTTAAGGTAAAAATCTAAAAGGCTGTGCCTCACTAGATTCTGGAGACTAAGAAGCTTGTCTAGACATGGAGAGTGAGGAAAATAGATTCTATATGGTCAGCTTAACATCCATGCCTGTGTAGTGTGCACAAATTAAGCTTATAGACTAATTATGCCTTCTAGACCGGATAGAGGCTAATTAGATTTAAATTTAATGATCCGTGCCTGACTAACATATGTAACAAAATAGCTTTCATGTCACTCGGTACTGGACGCAATATTATAAGAGGGCAAATACCCCTGCACTCGGAACAGGCTGGTAACCTATAATGGGGTTAATTCTCTGCTATCGAGAAATCAGTGTTTCTTCCGATGCCACAGGCAGGCCGCCTTCAAGTCATCTCACCTCTCTACAACATGTAGTCTTGTAAAGACAGCCAGGCTTTATGTCCACAATGTGTGGCAGGTCTGCTGTACCAGGAATCTTCAACCCCTTGAACTCAGACCTTAGAGGGTGCCGTTACCGCATATCGAAGGACCCCCCTTTCTCCACTTAGTAAGATCGCCTATAGAACTACGTAACTACAGGGAGTGCAGAATTATTAGGCAAGTTGTATTTTTGAGGATTAATTTTATTATTGAACAACAACCATGTTCTCAATGAACCCAAAAAACTCATTAATATCAAAGCTGAATATTTTTGGAAGTAGTTTTTAGTTTGTTTTTAGTTATAGCTATGTTAGGGGGATATCTGTGTGTGCAGGTGACTATTACTGTGCATAATTATTAGGCAACTTAACAAAAAACAAATATATACCCATTTCAATTATTTATTATTACCAGTGAAACCAATATAACATCTCAACATTCACAAATATACATTTCTGACATTCAAAAACAAAACAAAAACAAATCAGTGACCAATATAGCCACCTTTCTTTGCAAGGACACTCAAAAGCCTGCCATCCATGGATTCTGTCAGTGTTTTGATCTGTTCACCATCAACATTGCGTGCAGCAGCAACCACAGCCTCCCAGACACTGTTCAGAGAGGTGTACTGTTTTCCCTCCTTGTAAATCTCACATTTGATGATGGACCACAGGTTCTCAATGGGGTTCAGATCAGGTGAACAAGGAGGCCATGTCATTAGATTTTCTTCTTTTATACCCTTTCTTGCCAGCCACGCTGTGGAGTACTTAGACGCATGTGATGGAGCATTGTCCTGCATGAAAATCATGTTTTTCTTGAAGGATGCAGACTTCTTCCTGTACCACTGCATGAAGAAGGTGTCTTCCAGGAACTGGCAGTAGGACTGGGAGTTGAGCTTGACTCCATCCTCAACCCGAAAAGGCCCCACAAGCTCATCTTTGATGATACCAGCCCAAACCAGTACTCAACCTCCACCTTGCTGGCGTCTGAGTCGGACTGGAGCTCTCTGCCCTTTACCAATCCAGCCACGGGCCCATCCATCTGGCCCATCAAGACTCACTCTCATTTCATCAGTCCATAAAACCTTAGAAAAATCAGTCTTGAGATATTTCTTGGCCCAGTCTTGACGTTTCAGCTTGTGTGTCTTGTTCAGTGGTGGTCGTCTTTCAGCCTTTCTTACCTTGGCCATGTCTCTGAGTATTGCACACCTTGTGCTTTTGGGCACTCCAGTGATGTTGCAGCTCTGAAATATGGCCAAACTGGTGGCAAGTGGCATCGTGGCAGCTGCACGCTTGACTTTTCTCAGTTCATGGGCAGTTATTTTGCGCCTTGGTTTTTCCACACGCTTCTTGCGACCCTGTTGACTATTTTGAATGAAACGCTTGATTGTTCGATGATCACGCTTCAGAAGCTTTGCAATTTTAAGAGTGCTGCATCCCTCTGCAAGATATCTCACTATTTTTGACTTTTCTGAGCCTGTCAAGTCCTTCTTTTGACCCATTTTGCCAAAGGAAAGGAAGTTGCCTAATAATTATGCACACCTGATATAGGGTGTTGATGTCATTAGACCACACCCCTTCTCATTACAGAGATGCACATCACCTAATATGCTTAATTGGTAGTAGGCTTTCGAGCCTATACAGCTTGGAGTAAGACAACATGCATAAAGAGGATGATGTGGTCAAAATACTCATTTGCCTAATAATTCTGCACTCCCTGTATGTATGTAAAGAGCAATATCGGGCTAGATGTTAGGTAGAGTTTTAATGCAATTTTTACACCAGGTTACCTGGGAATGGCACAAAGGCATGACGCATACTGACGAAGAATGGCACTCCCTTCTCAGCAGGTATTTCTTCTACGGGCAACTTCGACCTCAGAGAAATGAAGGTATTCTTCCTACCCCTGTAAACACACAATGCAGAAACACAGAGTAGTGTCATTTAGCATTACTGCAGATAAACATCTTCTTGAAATTTGACTTACAAGCATTAATATATAAAATATTTAGCACCAGGCACTGCATTGATGGCCATTATATTCACCAGGTGTCTAACCCACATAGTGACGGTGGTTATATTCACCTGGTCTCTAACCCTCATAGTGACGGTGGTCATATTCACCTGGTCTCTAACCCACATAGTGATGGTGGTCATATTCACCTGGTCTCTAACCCACATAGTGACGGTGATCAATATTCACCTGGTCTCTAACCCACATAGTGACGGTGATCAATATTCACCTGGTCTCTAACCCACATAGTGACGGTGGTCATATTCACCTGGTCTCTAACCCACATAGTGACGGTGGTCATATTCACCTGGTCTCTAACCCACATAGTGACGGTGATCAATATTCACCTGGTCTCTAACCCACATAGTGACGGTGGTCATATTCACCTGGTCTCTAACCCTCATAGTGATGGTGGTCATATTCACCTAGTCTCTAACCCACACAATGATGGTGGTCATATTCACCTGGTCTCTAACCCACATAGTGACGGTGATTAATATTCACCTGGTCTCTAACCCACATAGTGACGGTGGTCATATTCAGCTGGTCTCTAACCCACATAGTGATGGTGGTCATATTCACCTGGTTTCTAACCCACATAGTGACGGTGATTAATATTCACCTGGTCTCTAACCCACATAGTGACGGTGGTCATATTCACCTGGTCTCTAACCCACATAGTGACGGTGATCAATATTCACCTGGTCTCTAACCCACATAGTGATGGTGATCATATTCACCTGGTCTCTAGCCCACACAATGACGGTGGTCATATTCACCTGGTCTCTAACCCACAGAGTGACGGTGGTCATATTAACCTGGTCTCTAACCCACATAGTGATGGTGGTCATATTCACCTGGTCTCTAGCCCACATAGTGATGGTGGTCATATTCACCAGGTCTCTAACCCACAATTATTCAGCCAGACTTACTACCATAGTTCTGTGCAAAGTAAACTAAACTTAAGGTCAGATGATAGGTGGAGGAGATTTATGAAAGCAGAATAACATTAAAATAAGTGGATCACTATTTAGAAATATTCCACTCGTTTCCAAAATGATTTCTCCACTTTTAGAACTCTGCTCCTAAGAATCTTGAAATCTGTGTAAAAGTAATTACTAGAAGTGTGCACAAATGCATTTCAGATGGTACGAACAAATCAAATTCCTTTTAATCTATGTTTGAACTAATCGATCCATCCAGGTTTAACCCATTTTACCTTATTCAATCAATAAGACTCAGCAGGTAAATCCCAGATTGTGGATTTGTTCGGATGTAGATTAAAAGGCATTTGATTCATTCGTACTAGAGGACACATATTTGTGCACAAGTCCAGGAATTATTTTGTTTGTGTTTGTGTAAAGGATGTTTGTTTTCATTTAACCTGAAGCACAAGTCCCCTTGGCAGTCTAAAACATGAATTTAGAAGTCACAGAAGCAAGGGTGAAGAGTCAGTAGGCAAATGGAGTTCTGATGGGACAGGAGTCTTGCAGCAGATCTGCTTAACACATCACATTAACGAGCATGGACATGCCACACGAGATTGCAAGGACACAGAAAAAGTTGGTTAATTGCTGTTTAACAACAGTAACAAGCTATAGCACTTGTAACAGACAGATCAAAACAATCTGAGACATCTTTGATGTGTCCCAGGACCTTTCTACATGAAATTTAGTTTATGTTTAAAAAAATAAATAAAAAAAAAACAGCCTCGGATATATCCCTTTATCCACAATATTGCACAGTGATATATTTAAGAATTGAGCCACAGATTTCTGGCAACTCGAGTAATTCTAGACCCAGTCTAAGGGCCATAAAATTGGTGTTAAACTAACAGCAAATGAAACAGTATCGGACAGAAAATTAATCCTCCTTCTCTGCTACAAGGGACAGGTCACCAAAGCGATGGAGTACAAGTGGCTTTACTGAAAATTCATGGATAGTGGTGGGAAAGGTCAGCATTTTGGTTAAGGAAAGATTGACAATTTCCTGAAATATTTAGGGTTTACAAGGGCCAAGTGGAGAAGACATTAGCTCTGGCTGGTAGCTAAATTTATATTGTGAATTCATTAGAGGGTAAGAATTTATCAAGAGCCTCTGGCTGTCTGGAGATTTACTGGTAAAGGTCCTGGGTCAGCTGTTTGATCGAGGCAGAGTTTCTGATTCCTGGAGTGTAATAGGAAGAGGAATGCTTCCTTATTAGGAGCAGTTTGTGAAGATTCACGACCAGTGAAGCACATCGAAACAAAAAACGGGGGACAGTGAAGAGATAAAGGATAATAAAGGATTTCCTGCATGTGTCCTATTAATTACAATTAAAGCCCCATTGCCCCTTAGACCTGTTTCGTGAAGGAGCATGCGCTCCCTTGTCCTGAGATGGTGGACTTTCTCCAACAAGACGTGGCATTTCAATTTCAAAGTCTTTGGGCACATTTTGGATATTAGGCTCTGTAAAGCTGACACGACCTAAAAAGGAAATAAAGAGTAGACTGTTATCCCCTGGACGAGCAAATGGCTATCAATGAAAACATTACACTATATTCAGTAGTGTCAACAAGGGTGGCACAAACTGAGGAAGATGGAGAGTAACCTGACTTAGTGAACAATTATACTTTCTAACTGTGTGAACAGGGATACCCAGTCTCCTTCCAACTCAATATTACATAATACATATGTGCTACAAATGGTCAGTGTAACCCAGGTCACAGAAAAACTCTTCATCGCTCACTACACCATAACTACTGCAAACTATATTTATTTTGTATATGTTTCCCATACAGTGGTTTTGTTAGTGGGGTTCTAAAAAAACCCGGGTCTAATTTTGGCTCAATTTCACGGTTATCCCAGAGTCTTCAGAGAAAGAAATGACACCACCAATTATGTAACTGGTGATAGTGACACTTTAATGCACTCTATTTGAAGTTAATATACAGCACAGTTTAGGGGTAATGCTGTGGGTGCAGGGTTTCATACAGTGGGGTGCAGGGTTAGATAACATGTCATGGCTTGGGGTTAATAGAGTAGGTGTGGAGATTATAGGTTTATAGAATACTCTAAATTCATTCAAAACGTGGTGTCACAGTGCAAATTACATTACATGTTCGAGTTTGTGGCTGATCTCAAGGTAAATGGCTAGTTTTGGTGTGAGGGGGGGAGAGCCAGTTAATATACGTGGGAGGGGGGATACAATTTACCCTTGGGCTGAAACCCTTGGCTTTATGCCTCCTCAAGAGCCCTGCTTCTATGTATGAATTATTTATCTCAATTTAGTCCTTACAATGGATTTAAGTGCTATGATTAAAGGGATACTCCACTGCTCAAAAATCAATGAAACAAAAACATTATTTAATTATGCATTTTTTCATTGGGGGTATATATAAAAAATATTGAAAAACACTTGCAAAGCCTGCAGATCTTATGTCTGCAGCCTTTGTGAACCTCACCTTCTAACCCTGGCCAGACTTTCTGTGGCTGTCTAGTCACAGACTTCCCAATGCAGCTCAATGAGAAGCAGAGATGCTCTGTGCAATGGCTGCTTCTTGATTTTATCTCCACTGATCTAACCAAACCAGGAAATAACAGGACCGAGTGTCTGATTGAAAGCCAGGGGAGTATTACAAGCTTCATTTATAAAAGTGCTAATTTCTATTGAAACTTTGTAGTTTTGTGTAAAAAAAAAAAAAAAAAAAAAGATACAAAATATATACAGGCTAACTCTTCACACATAATAATGAGCGTCCCATTAATGTAAAAACAGAGTTTTGTAAAATAATTCAAGACATGCTACAAACATGAGTGTGCATTTCACTCCTTCTAAGGCCTTGTGAGAGTTGGGGCAGGCTTGGTCCGTGCAGTGATTGACAGATTTGGAGTGGATGCAGACAGTTGGGGCAGACTTGGTCCGTGCAGTGATTGACAGATTTGGAGTGGATCCCTTGGTTTGGATACTCTAGGACGGTTTAGGACATTCAGGCTATGAGTTACCTGTGGCTGTGTGTGTCTGAGACACAGGATGGATTCGTTCCATTCCCAGACAGACACTGAAACGCTTCTCTCTCTGTAACGGGAACACCACCTTGGTCAGAGCATTGGTGATTCGCTTCCACTCCAGGATCAGACCAGGAATGGGGTGTAAATCTTTCAATTTCTCCAAAACATCCTGTAGAAAAGAAAAAAGTATTACCAATCCCCATCAGATAATGCTTGGAATTCCATAGATGCAAAGAAACAATTACAGATAGTGAAGGTCATGGGATTTCTACAGTTTAAATAAATATGAAAATACTTATCGTATTAAACCAGAGGACAATCAGTTAAATGCATGTGAAAATAAAAAACTTATCAGGCAGTTATTTGCATGGGACATTGAGCCCCCCAAGGCACAGTTATCTGTTGGTCAGTTTTAGTAATGCTAATGAAGACAAACTTATGCAAACATTTTAAAACGTGTATTGATTTTTTTGTTCAGCATTTTTTCTCTGGGAGATATGAAAAACAGCTTGAAAAAGCTGCAGACCTTTACCAACCAGAAACTGCTGTAGACGTCAGCACGCAAAAGCAACTTCTAATTCATCTAAAAGAGCTGCAGTAAAGTTAGTGTCAGAGTGGCCAGTGTTGGCCGTCCGAGTGACAGCCAGGGAGGTGTTTCTGCCCCCAACTATAAAAATGCTGATTTCTATTAAAATTGTCACTTTTATAAAAAAGTCATGAAAATAACAGACTCCAGACACATAAAACCCTTCAGCAAGCTACAGTGCTCATTTAATAGATTAGGTGTCTAGATAATATCGTGTGTAGGAATACTCAGACTGTAAACTCGAGGATAAACCCACATTATAAAGGGAATTATCACACTGCACATTGTAAACTTACAGAGACAGTATCAGACTAGGTTATCAATTCACAGCAAATAAAGTGGATCAGGTAATAATTTAATTTCCATGTTGGCTTTCTCGATATAGAGATTAAATATGCATGGGGTACGTCGTTCGCACTGATGGTAAATACTGAAATAAAGATGTCTCAAGATATATTAAATCCCTTATATTGAAGCAGAAAATCATTCTGCACGGAGCGGCCATCTGTGTTCATTTATACTCACAGAATTTAGGAAATGTACCCACAGGCTGATGGCCATTTCTCCAGGATTATCAGTTGCACAAAATTCTGTGGATTGTACACAATGGGTGACCGTGTACTGTGAAGATACATATAAACAATGCACACCCCATCTCAAATTAGCTACACTTAGCTCAGCATGTTTTAGGGATCTGCTCAGCAAAGCACAGAAAGGCAAATCCTTTTCATAAGGGCCCCCCCAAACATGCAAAACGGGGGACCCAAGTTGCACATGAAGCTGTGATTTTATACCATGTCTTGTCACAATCAGATTAAGATTATATTCTGGAAACCATTCCAAAGTGTCCTTAAATGCAGCAAGATGGATTTATCAAAGTGTCACAGAATAATCTGCACCATTTTCGAGACGGTTTTCCTGGAGTAAATGATCAATTGATAATCATTAAATGATCAGTCCACCTTTTGTACAACACTGCAGAATATGTTGGCCTTAACAAATAAGGGCAACACCAAAAGTGTCAGGTTACCTTTGTGGTACTGAACTGCTTGCCAAGTCGGACCCGAGATCCACCGACTGCTGTCCTCCTCGTGTATCCCAGAGTCTTCTTATTTGCCTGCCCTTTTAAATCTCCGTTGGGTGGAAGTTTAAGCTCAAAAAACAAGACCTGGAAAATAGAGGGTACATTTTAATTAACGTTTTATTCATTATTACTTATATTAGTTCATATGTGCGGTACAGCTTGATCCAAGGAGAAATCAGATTGCTATAGTGGAGTCAAGACGGAGTTTCATCCCATTCAGCACATTTGGAAATCTCGTCAAATTAGTTTTTTTGATTCTTTTAAATGAACAGAAATAGAGATGTGTAAAGGGCTGAACGTAATACAGTTTATAAATCTACATTACTTCGTAGCTAAACCAGAAATTGTGTGAAATTAACAAGACAAGACAAATGTTATACAAAAATATCTGACCAGCACTTATTCAATAGATTAATTTGTTGAGAATTATAAGTTATTCTGCAATATACTGTACCATATCCATTATCACAGCATCCATTGTGATCTCTTTGTGGGAGTATTTCTGAGGGGATAAGAAACCATTTATAAAAATACCTGAGCAATGTCCTCGTGGCTAGTCAATGAGAAGCTGTGGCCAGCCAGCTGGTAGACTTGGGCTTCGATCTCATTTAGCTTGGCTTGCATTATGTGTTTCTGGGTCTCGCACTCCTCAGTGCTGAACCCAATGCCGTTCAGTTCTAGCAGAGCCAGGCAGTACTGCGTTGGCATCTCAACCCTGTAAAACGCGTCTGCCAGGAAAAGGAAACCAGCTGATTGGCAAGTATCTCAATATAGACATCAGAAGGAAATACAGTTATACAAGTGCTTGAAAAGAGTCTTCGTAAAAAGTTTATACAGGAAAGTTAAACCATATGTAACTCGTAGTTAATGATAGACACAGAGATAAGCGAGTTAGCCAACTACAATGGTATAAAATAACCACCAGGTTTACAGGTCAGACCAGAAATCCGAATTACTATGACAGACTGTGGATAGATCTATGACTGGGTTTATGGGATATTTTCTACACTAGTTCGCATACACTAACTATACAATTCCACCAAATGGAAGAAAATGAGGCAATGTGAAAAATCGCCAACATGTTTATTATTTAAATGAAGCCAATGTAAGTGCTTTAGTTGTGTTGTGGGAAGGAAAAAAAGTGATATCCACAGCAGAGGTAAACAGACAGGATTACTGTACAGCAGCTCGTCCCTCCGTCTCATATCCTCCACCGAGAGATTAAACATCTCACAATCAAACTGCGTCACATACTTATTACCAAGGATCATTAAAATAAATTAGTTTGTTAAATTGATCAATCCCCTGTGGAACACCCAGACATCTCCACATCTTTAAAAAGGGCTGTAAGGGGGGATCGGGGGCAGGGAAAAGATTTTTTAAATTTTTTGGAAAACAAAAATAAATAATAATAGACAGACATACAGAACAGTTAAAAGTTTAGAAATAATTAGCGTGTTTAGGAAACCCCCACTGCAATCTTAATTAGGCATGCTTATAACAAATTCGTCAGGGTTATAACGAGTAGAGACAGATTGATGTAATAAGCCTTTTGCAGATGGTAAAGCACAATCTGGCCACGTGGGGAATGCCACAAATGTTACAGTATGTATGCAGGGAGAGGCCACGAAGTAACAAAATTAATTCTACGGACTCTATCAACTCCTGCTTCTGTTTGCAACAGTAAACCGACATTTGCAAACACTAACATATTTGCACTTGCTGTAATGTTGGTATTTAGTGTGTCAAAGTTGGTGACCAGCATCAAAGGAAAAAAGTCAGCAAAAGAGAAACGGTCAGTATTTTTTTTTTTTAAATACATATTCTTTGCATAATTTGTAATGTGGCATCTACGCAACACATTTTGTAAATGGGAGGAGCTGGGTATCTGGTGTGTAACATATACTAACATATTATATAAGCCTCTGTTATTACAATGTCCTTTGTCAATGTCACCAAGTCTGCATTTGCTGCTGCTTCCATGTGCTCAGCTAAGAGAACACTCAGAGCACGCGTCTTCCTCTGGAATACCTATATGGAGACCTACAGAGATGAATGAGAGCATCACCTTTGAGTTTCTCCTTGTCCAGCAGGTGGCTGAGCTTGTTCATGGTGCTGAGAACAAGGACAGACTCTATGGCTGCACGGAAGCGCCCTGACTGGTCTCCACTGGCACTAAGTCCCAGACTCTGCACTCCTTGCCCAGTGCCCACACCCTCCAACAAGGGCAGTTCATGAGGCAAGAAGTTGGTCACCATGTTGTGAAGGGTCCGTTCCTTTGAGCTAGGGTCCAGCAACCAGCAGGCCACCTGTAAGGAAAGGACAGACTTAACACCTACTAAATGTAGCAGGGTTATAATTATAAAGCTAAACCAACAAGATATCAGATAAAAACTATAAAGAATTTAATATTAGCTTTGCCTTCAATGACTGATTAATGAGATGTAATGTCGCTGGTATACATCTAGGTATACCCACCTTCAAATGAGTAATATAACAATCTCCATACAGTCATACAATGTCCTGCCCCATAATATATCAACGTAATCTCCATACAGTCATATAATCTCCTGCCCCATAATATATCAACATAATCTCCATACAGTCATATAATCTCCTGCCCCATAATATATCAACGTAATCTCCATACAGTCATATAATATCCTGCCCCATAATATATCTACATAATCTCCATACAGTCATACAATCTCCTGTCCCATAATATATCAACGTAATCTCCATACAGTCATACAATGTCCTGCCCCATAATATATCTACATAATCTCCATACAGTCATATAATCTCCTGCCCCATAATATATCAACGTAATCTCCATACAGTAATATAATCTCCTGCCCCATAATATATCTACATAATCTCCATACAGTCATACAATGTCCTGCCCCATAATATATCAACGTAATCTCCATACAGTCATATAATCCCCTGTCCCATAATATATCAAAGTAATCTCGATACAGTCATATAATCTCCTGCCCCATAATATATCAACGTAATCTCCATACAGTCATACAATGTCCTGCCCCATAATATATCTACATAATCTCCATACAGTCATATAATCTCCTGCCCCATAATATATCTACATAATCTCCATACAGTCATATAATATCCTGCCCCATAATATATCTACATAATCTCCATACAGTCATATAATCTCCTGCCCCATAATATATCAACGTAATCTCCATACAGTCATATAATCCCCTGTCCCATAATATATCAAAGTAATCTCGATACAGTCATATAATCTCCTGCCCCATAATATATCAACGTAATCTCCATACAGTCATACAATGTCCTGCCCCATAATATATCTACATAATCTCCATACAGTCATATAATCTCCTGCCCCATAATATATCTACATAATCTCCATACAGTCATATAATCTCCTGCCCCATAATATATCAACGTAATCTCCATACAGTCATATAATCTCCTGCCCCATAATATATCTACATAATCTCCATACAGTCATATAATCTCCTGACCATAATATATCAACGTAATCTCCATACAGTCATATATTCTCCTGCCCCATAATATATCAACGTAATCTCCATACAGTCATATAATCTCCTGACCATAATAAATCAACGTAATCTCCATACAGTATTTTAATCTCCTGCCCCATAATATATCTATGTAATCTCCATACAGTCATATAATCTCCTGTCCCATAATATATCTACATAATCTCCATACAGTCATACAATGTCCTGTCCCATAATATATCTACATAATCTCCATACAGTCATATAATCTCCTGCCCCATAATATATCTACATAATCTCCATACAGTTATATAATCTCCTGCCCCATAATATATCTACATAATCTCCATACAGTCATATAATCTCCTGCCCCACAGTATATCACACGTGTCTGGTTTCGGTTGATGTGTGTAAGTTTTATTCAAGCTTTTTAAATTCCCCCCATGATGAAGACTCTACAAAGTTTGTTTTTGGTACATTATTCTGTCCAATTCCTAAACGACCCAAAGCTCTGTTCATTCTGTGTTTTTCAGAGTTCTCACAGCATAAACCTTTATTAATTCCTATTCCTTGTTAGATACAACAGAAATCCTACAGTCACATAGTAATAAGTAAAACTAAACCCGCTTATAAGAGGTATAAAATACAATACAATGCAAAACAACTCAATAAGTGGAAAACATGGTGGAATGATATGTAGGCGGGGGACACAGAGATGTGGAAAGAATCAGCGAGACATGGGATAAATGGACATAGTAACCCGTGGCTAGATAAATAAGGAGAGACATGAAGAAGATGTGCGAACCAGAAAAGATAGAGAACATAAAATTAGGGAATATATAAACACATTTGAATGCAATTTACCAATAAAATATGACATTATCACCAACACATTTGATCTGAGAACCCATGTATTGGCTGATATAATCAAGGTAAAATTCTATCTAAACAGCCCACACTTCCTGTCGCGCAGAGAGTGGAGAACGTCTCCGTGCCGAATACAGAGAGATAAAACATATCGGAAAGTGCTTCCAGAGACACACTGATCGTTATACGTGCAATGCCTGCTTGTTATCACCCACATTCAGTCCCATCTCTGTCTTTGCTGTTTTAATAGGAAGAAACCTGGAGCATGTTAAAGTGCCTGCAATCAGCCAGCGAGAGGCACTTGGCATTTCACATGGCACTTCTGATGCCGTCATATGTTCGATGTTTCCGTGATTTAAAGATCACAAGGAGCTGGAATGGCGAGGTTATGTTATTTTTAATCAGCCGGGCGCTCTCTCTGGGAATGAGGTGTCACGGTTAATTACATGCAGCTAGATCTTAACAGCCTCCTGCCTTTGATGGGATTAGCCAATAAGTAGCCATTATATCCTTATCACAGATAAGCTGATTGCGGAATAAGCCCAGGCTTTTAACGCTGAAACCAATCCAACACATTTGCTGGCAGATAAGACACTTGTCAGTCGTGGGAATCAGAGCAAGCCCAACCGTGTCATGGACTGTGGGGACTGAACAGAGAGCTTCTCATTAATCAAAATATAGCAAGGATCAGAAACCTAATTACAATCCGAGAGCCATAAGATGTCAAAACTTGTCAGACGCAAAGTACAGATATATCATTAAAAGTGAAACCAGCAGAGAAACTGGTAAAACATTTCAACAGGAATCCACAAGAACCCTGCTGGGATAAACCTGGAACCTGCACGCTGATGGCAACAGACATGCGGTCTACCCATTGATTTTACCAACAGTTGGCGTACTGCCTCTCAACTTCTTCCTTGTTGCTGCAACAAGGAAAAGAGTCAGCAAAATTAAACAATTTTTTTATTCTCTTTGCACAATTTAATAAAGCATCTTTCTGCTGTAAGGGACTTTTTTCCTATATGCTCAGTAGAGTACCTGCTTTTGGGTTATAACTATGTGTTTTTGATAGTACAGTGTGTTAGAACTTAACGTGAGTAAGGTTTAGATAAGGCTTCACTCACATGTTTCTGAGCTTTACATATTGGCTTAGTCTGTACAGCGGTATACAGTAGGCCTGACGGTATTTCTGCTTTGTAAGATAAGCCAATAAATGATAAAGTGGTTACAAAATAACAAGGTACTTTTTACTAAACAAAAATAAAATATCTAACTTTCAATATTAAAAAGTGTTGTTCACCACGAAACACAATGGAAGACATTGTTAGTCTACATAGCAGGCAAATTAGTGTATGAATAACACTTTTCCAGCGTTAGGTCTATCGTCCTTGGGTCTCGCATTACTCAAACTAACCATTTTAGGATGCGACATCTTCATTGAATGGCGGCTGCTTTACCAGCTTTACATGTCGTCTATAATGCTCTGCCTACTGGAGCCCAGAAAGGTCACACTATAAAGAATTTACACACAGGATTATTCACCAACGTGTTATCTGTTGGGAATTCGAGGTTGATGTAAAATTTTAGGTCATAGCCAAGGGGAAAACGTGGCTGATTTGGAGATTATTTGAAAGAATAACCTTGTCAGTAAGTGTGTTTTATGCTAATAAATATTGATTACATTTTATTCTCATTAAATTGACACCTAGTCATGGCGGTCTCTCTTTAAATTAAACCTGCCGTCCACTAATCATGTTGAGTTAATTTCACCTTCAGGTAATTCGAGATTTAATCTATACATAGAGCTGTAATTAATCTACTTCTATGAAAGAGGTACAGATATGTCCCCCCATATTGCATCTGAATTATGATTGCAGGGCTACAGGGACCTGAATATTTATGGCTTGGGACTGAAATCATCCACAGATTGGGACAAGACCATATTTGGGACAAGACCATATTTGGTACAAGCAATCTTGTTTTAGAATTCCGACCTAGAACAAATGTTATCTCTAAAACAGACATTGCCACTAATGGCCTGTAATGTCACTATGACAAATTTTACATCCCCAGCACGGCTGATCATATTTAATTCATTCTGTGTCCCGCAACACGACTCCTTACTTCATAAGGTGCTGAAAGGAGCGATTAGGACACTACGAGAGGAGAGCACTGTGAAAGAGGAACAGTGAAACAATGTCATTGTGTAAGACATGAATTAAGGAACCACCTGGTGTTAAACTGAGATAAGCGTCACTGTAACCGTGTAAGGACTGCGTTATACTTAGATCCACTAATTTTAACGTTTCATTAAAGATCAGCCAAGAACAAGTCAGGCGGCCGTGCAAGGTGGGAGAACTGCCCACCAGTACGGCTAAATTAAGATCAGACGGCGCAAACCACCCAGGTTTATTTCATCCAGAGACAGGGCCGCAAAAATAATAATGGTCACAACTGAATCGCTAACAAAATGTTACAGATTGCTTGAGCTTGCCATTTTTTCTTTTGTTTTTTACGTATTTTTTTGTCCTGTCCCGTGGAGCACCGGACATTCAAAAATATTGTAACCCCTAGAATGCCGTATACACTGTGCACACACGATACTACTGAAGGAATACACTAAGCACAGGCACTCTTAGAATCTTACCTATGTAGGTGTCCGCGTGTGCCTTCCTAGGCATCATGGTAAGGTGACATTATTCACAAAGTGGAATTGCAGGGGAGGTTAGTGTGTGTTTGTTATAATTTACCTGCGTTACCTCCGTTGCTTTGTTCAGCCCAGTAAATACTGCAATAGCACTAATTGGTGTGAGAGAATGAGAGACTCACTTTATAAGACTATCCAAGTACCATAACCACTATAGTGTACCGCTGAGCCAGCTCAGAGCTTCCGGCTGAGAAGAGGTAGGGAGCAGCAAAGTCTGGGTAAGAAGTTAAACTATTAATAAACGGTTTGATTTCAAACATTGAGGTAGCGTCGTAGTATACTGTTGGCTATGGTTGATATTATTGAGGGGGCGCCATTGTAGTATACTGGTGGTTATGGTTTATATTACTGAGGGGGGGTCGTTGTAGTATACTGTTGGCTATGGTTGATATTATTGAGGGGGCGCCATTGTAGTATACTGGTGGTTATGGTTTATATTACTGAGGGGGGATCGTTGTAGTATACTGGTGGTTATGGTTTATATTACTGAGGGGGCGTCGTTGTAGTATACTGGTGGTTATGGTTTATATTACTGAGGGGGGGTCGTAGATGTGCTGCGGTTTATATTACTGAGGGGGTCGCTAAGGTATACTGGTGGTTATGGTTTATATTACTGAGGGGGAAGTAGAAAGTATACCGGTGGTTATGGTTTATATTACTGAGGGGGCTGGCCAGAGTATACTGGTGGTTATGGTTTATATTACTGAGGGGTCGTTGTTACATACTGGTGGTTATGGTTTATATTACTGAGGGGGGGGGGTCATTGCATACTGGTGGTTATAGTTTATATTACTGAGGGGGCGTCGTTGTAGTATACTGGTGGTTACGGTTTATATTACTGGGGGGGTCGTTGTAGTATACTGGTGGTTACGGTTTATATTACTGAGGGGGGGTCATTGTATACTGGTGGTTATAGTTTATATTACTGAGGGGCGTCGTTGTAGTATACTGGTGGTTATGGTTTATATTACGGAGGGGGCGTCGTTGTAGTATACTGGTGGTTATGGTTTATATTACTGAGGGGGGGTCGTTGTAGTATACTGTTGGTTATGGTTTATATTACTGAGGGGGGTCGTTGTAGTATACTGGTGGTTATGGTTTATATTACTGAGGGGGGGTCGTTGTAGTATGCTGGTGGTTATGGTTTATATTACTGAGGGGGGGTCGTTGTAGTATACTGGTGGTTATGGTTTATATTACTGAGGGGGGGTCGTTGTAGTATACTGGTGGTTATGGTTTATATTACTGAGGGGGGGTCGTTGTAGTGTACTGGTGGTTATGGTTTATATTACTGAGGGGGGGTCGTTGTAGTGTACTGGTGGTTACGGTTTATATTACTCGTGGTTCTAGTTTTAGCTGTATATTATATAAAATCTCACATTTATATGGGATGCGTTATCTTAGATCTGACCCTAAAGATTCATTTTTTGTCGTGTCTCTACTTTATACAAGCTCCAATCTTTTTCTTTGTGTGTTAACGATAATAACCACTTCTTAGCGACTGGTTTGACGCCCTGCTGCTACCTTGTAATGGATGCCGCTAACCCTCAGTAAGAACACACTAACGGCAGTAAATTCTGATGCATCCTATGGGAGGGACACATGGTATGTATGGCATTACTTGGGAACTCCAAAACATATATTAAACCATACAGAACAGCAACAACATCACACCTGATATAAACATAACATTACTTTTTCTATACGTAAAGTGTACGTCAGTTAAATCCCCATAGCAGCAATGAACTTCAAAACTTCCATAGAGCTATGTATCGGGCACACAGTAAATACATTGTATACTAAGACCAATCACAGGGGTAAGCACGCATGCACACGGTGTGGTTGCTATGGTTACAATGTGTGTCTCTTTGTTTTGCCAGACATCGGTTAGTATCTTTACAGGTCATTGTAGGCGGTCAGCCGGTATAAATTTTTTTAAAGTCCATGGTTGGTAACCAGTTAGTAATTAGTAACCAGTACCATGCACCGGTTATCTGAACAGTGACAGTTATTTATGGCAAGGAATGTTCCATTCTGTGCCACTTTCTAACAAATACCTTGATAACGTGCACACCCAGCCAACAGCAACGAGTTAAACTACAAAGTGCATTTAAACGAAGAATCAAATCCCCCACGTACAAAACCACTTCATCCTTTGCAATTACTGGTGATTATTCTCCAAACACTCAGCAGCAGATTTCTATAAATTGCAAATAAAATATAAATGGGGCAACAGGCGAGGCAGCCTTCCAAAAGCTATTAGGATTCTACTACATAAATAATGGATCCTGTTTCTTGGAGCCATTTAATTTTTAAACAAGTTACGGAACCTTTGGGTCCTCGAGGTGTCCCATCAGGGAGATACTGCACGCCCGGACTAAGGTTTTGTACTGGTCGATGACATTGTACAGGATGATGGAGCACTGGCTTCTGCGTCCACATATCTGCTGTAACGTGGTCTGAAGGTGCCACAGACGGTCTTTCACAGAGAGGTTCTGGTCCAGAGGGGGAGGAGCCAAGCTAGGGCTGATATCTAGAAATCAAAAATGGGGTGAAAACCCAACAAAAGCAGGCTCTGTCAACAGTTACAACTCTGGGTAATCAAATAATGAAATATACGTTTGTCACATAGCAGAAATATCTTGTTTTCTTTGCGCTCTGTATTATTCTTCTAACTCTCTTTATATGTTTTATGGAATAAAAGGTAAAAGTAGATATGACTGATGGGTTTAAACCCTGGATTTCCCGATGCAAACAGTTAGTTGGAAGGAGATGCTTTTTACCTGTCTGGTTTTGTACTTTCTGCAGAGAGAGGTAATAGGCATCCTTCCCCCCCCAGCACACCGCCAGCCCAACAACCACTAGATCATCCCAGCCCTTGATAGGCAGTCCGTCTTCTTTACTCGGCACTCGAGACGGCGACTTTACTACAGAGAAAGACAAAATTCAACTTCATCTGCACCAGCTAGTGTCATGGCACACAGTGAAAAGGCCAAGTGAGACCTCTAGTGGTCATACTATGAATAACGTTATATTTGCACGAGAAGTTCATTGATTTCTAAACTTGATTTCAGCTAGAGGCACTGAAAGGCCAAATACAGGGGCAGCTAGCCGCTATTAAACAGACCTCTGAAAATGACACACATGACTAATACATTGATAATCATTTAGAAGTTAAGTTAGCCTTTTATTTTTCATGTGAGGCAAAAATTTTTCATTTGTATATTTAGTATATTTGGCAAGTGACATCTCAATCAAGTTCAATCCTGGCACAGCCAAGAGCAGCCACACGTGTAAGAGATCCGAGCCGCTTCAGCCCCATATTGCAAATGCATATATAAAAAGAGTATCGATATAGTTAGACAGACAAACACAGTCACGGGAAAGGGAGATCAAGGATCATTACACACTTGTATGGTGGGTTACATGGCACACACAATGTTATTTGAACTTTAAGCACACACAGGAGACTATTAACCGAGCGGGAGATAAGAAATTCCAAATTAAACACACTGCTAAATAGTACATTAGTGAGGTGCACTTCATATCTGAGAGTCAAATAGAAGCGTCAAATATTGCTGTTACAGCACAGTTGTGCTTCCTTATTACACAGTGTGTTTCGGAGTCGTCCACCTTCGGCACTCCAGATGTTGTGGACTATATTTCCCATAATGTTGGCAAAGCATCAGGGGAGATGTAGTCTACAATTTCTGGAGTGATGAAGGTTGCCTATCCCTAATCTAGGGGAGGATGCGGTGTCTGCAAATAGTACATAAAGACAACATGAAATCCAAATGATTACCTCCTTTATAGCTTCTAAGAAGTAAAGAACAGTACTGACCTTGTTTAAACCTTCCTCCAATAGAGGAATGGGATTGCAATGGCTGCCTACTCTTCTCACAGGCCACAGATAGGGAAAATCTAGACTGGGTTCTCCATTCCTTTAGAAATGTGTGAAACAGTTTCTGGTCACTCGCAACATCAATAATACTGAAAGTATCTGAGCAAGAAGGAACAGAGAAGGGACATGTATCCTGTGATAACTGGAGAGAAAAGCCTTCATCTATAGCAGAGACATCTGGATTGAACTCAGAAATGCGGCCTGCCCTTGGATCAAAGCTTTTGTTTGGCGTCCCAGGAACTTCTTCTTCATTATCCTCAATCGCCAGTTGACTGAACGGAGGACTTGTCGGAGACTCAGTCACTTTAATTTTATTGCTTGATTTAATAGAGGACATGCCAAGCAACTGTCCAGTCACACAATCTGCTGGCGGAGTTGGTGGAACAAGTTCATTCCTACTTCCAGGCCTGGTGTCTGATTTTATTTTATTTTCTTGAAGAGCAATAGGTGTAGAATTCCGGCTCACGAGTTCTAGGAAACAATGGTTGTCATTTACAGGGGGGTTGATAGCATCAGCCTCTATATAAGAAGCACAAATCTGTATTTGCTGACAAATTGTTCTTGAGTAACCTTCTGCCCCTTCTTGGTTGCCTCCAAGTAAAGGTTCTCTTGCATGTGATTCAGAAGGACTGGCAGTGAAATTAAGATTATTTGAAAGACTTGGCCATTGATCTAAGGCATCTTGCATACCTTGACTCAAACTAAATGATGCTTGAGACCACAGTGATTGGCCTTTCATTATCTCTACTACTCCAAGCCTTCTGGGCTGTGCATGAGAATTAGTTCCATCTTCTGCAGCCTTTTTTGGTGGAGTGGGACTTGTGGTTGCAGTTTTGATGTCCAATGGTGGAGCAATATCTACATTTTCTAGAACTTCCATTACCTGGAAGGAATCAAGTTGGGAAAAAGTCATGGATCCATCATTAAAATTAATGAGTTCATTTGGTTGCTCAGTTCTGAGGTCAGAGGAGTTATCTAGATTATAAGTCTGAAGCCTCTCATTGGAGATGGCTGGCTGTAAAGCTGCAAATAAAGGCTGATTGACATCTTGTGGTTTAGGATCGGTAATTATATCCTCGGTAAAGCTATCAAAGAGGAAACTATCACTCATATTCAGGCTTGTCTCCACCATCTGATTGACAACAGTCTCCCCTGTTAACGAGGCAGTTTCAGTCACCTGTGTGCAGTCTGGATCTTTGTGTAGGGCGTCTGGGCTCTCTACACATGGCAGGACAGGACACTTACTTAGAGAGGGAGAATTCTGAAAAAAGCACTGGAGCTGTGTATCGGTGAGAGAAATATCATTACCTTTAAGCCAAGAGCATTTTTCTGCACTTTTTAGCGGATTCTCCGGTTCTGGACATGTTGAGGATACAATCTGTTCACTCGTGAAGCTCGCAGCTCTCTCTATGGCTTTCACGGTCATCTGATTTAATGGGTTCATTTCTGTAACTTCAGTGATAACTTTTGCAACATTTGCAATTTGTAAAACACTTTGTTTTCCTAAAAATTTTAGCTCTGGCACTGCTGGCAAGTCCAGATCTAGTTCATTCTTCTGTATCACAGATTCTGCTGTCATCCGCTGCTGCATGAGTCGCTCAGTCTGGGTATCCAACTGAAAACTGTCTTCAAATACCTTTGATCCAGAATGCAAATCTGGAGATGAATAAAATCCAGAAATACTTGGTATGCAAATCACAGCTTTGGGTGTTACGTTCAGGGTTTCAGATTTGTGGACTGTTGCGTCATTCTCGCTCTGTATAGCAGGCAGATTTCCTAAGATAATGTGGGCCATTGTTGAATCAAGATGAGAGATGATTGGCACTTGTAAAATCGAGGAGACGGCAGGTAGTGCATTGCTTTGCGGTTTGGCCCTATCCTGGACGACCATGGCTTTATGTATAATATTGACCTTTGAGGCACAGTCTCTCTCAGTTGTATAGACCAGTGTTTTGTTCACACTGACATTAACGGTTTCTCTTAATGGTTCATCAATCAAGCAATTACTCAGAGTGTTATCACTTAATAATTCCTCTGAGTTACATTTAAGTGAATTTGTTCTAGGCTCATTCATTAATTGAAGCTCTTTAAAAATGTTCTGAGGCCGTGTGGCTGATGGACTTGAAGGATTGTTTTCATTCTCTGCACAACTTGGTTTAGGTTGTGAAGAGTCTGAATGAACACAATCTTCCTTTCTCTGCACTGACTCTCGTCTAGGATCCTTTAATAACACATTTTCCAGGAAATTATTTTTCCCTGAGTCTTTTCTAGAGAACTTAAATGTCTCCAGTGGATCTCTTTCTGTTCTTGTTATTGAAGACAACCCTTCTGATATCCTTTCTGTTCTAGATGTAGTAGATGCTTTTACTAGCTCCCTATCGATTCTAGATAAAGTTGATGGTTCCGATAATACTGCAGTTCTAGATGAAGCAGATAATTTTACAGATTTCAATTCTGCTTCAGATGGTGAAGATGCCTGCTCTGACGACGCCTCACTTCTATATGAGCCAAATGGCTGCCCTTTCTTGTCCACTTTTCTAGATGATTTAGATGGCTGACCTGATTCCCTCTTGGTTCGAGATGAAGAAGATGGCTTTTCTGAATCATCTAATGTTCTACATGATACAGATACCTGCCCCAACAGCCTCTTTGTAATAGATGGAGTAGATACCTGCACAAACTCGCTTTCTGTTCTAGATGAAGTAGATGTTTGCCCAGACTCCATTTCTGTTCTGGATGAAGTTGTTGCTTGCACAGACTCCATTTCTATTCTAGATGAAGCGGATGTTTGCCCAGACTCCTTTTCTGTTCTACATGAAGTGGATGTTTGCCCAAACTCTCTTTCTCTTCTAGATACAGTGAATGTGTGCCCAGACTCCATTTCTGTTCTACATGAAGTAGATGCTTGCACAGACTCCCTTTCTGTTCTAGATGAAGCGGATGTTTGCCCAGACTCCCTTTCTGTTCTAGATGAAATCGATGATTGCACAGACCTCCTTTCTGGTCGAAATGAAGTTGATGTCTCTCCTGACTCATCGCTTGTGTTGAAAGAGGAATCAGAGTCAGGATCCCAGTTGATTCCCATCATGGCCAAATCTTGTTTTAGTAATCTTCTGGCCTCTTCCACAATCAGTTCAGCGGCTTCTCTCTCAGTGAGGCCTTTCTTCCCTGATATCCAGATGCAACGAGCAGCTCGACGCTCTTGAGCTGCCTCTTCATCTTCATCCACTGCTCTCCGAACACTGAAAGATATAGGCAACACAAAGTGTTAGAGTGAAAAGTTTTTTGACAAGTAACAAGCAACTAAATTAGTGAGGTCTTACAGAATTCAGCAGAAAACATCCCAGATTCTGCACGAGAAAAATTCTGTGGGTTTTGTAAAAGTTGAAGTGAAACTTGATAAGTGTCATTAAAATTTCTATCTCAATGAATAGATATGGAACTGGTGAAGAAAACAAGTGGGATGTCAAAGAGGCAGAGCAGGGACAGAGGACAGAATTCAGCAGAAAACATCCCAGATTCTGCATTAAAAAGATTCTGTGGGTTTTGTAAAAGCTGAAGTGAAACTTGATAAGTGTCATTACAATTTCTATCTCAATGAATAGATATGGAACTGGTGAAGAAAACAAGTGGGATGTCAAAGAGGCAGAGCAGGGACAGAGGACAAAATTTGAAATACTTGCAAGTATTCAGAGAATGCGACCATCTATAGGACATGCTAACCTTTTAAGAAGTGGCTGAGCAGATAAGATATGTCTAATAAAAGATTAGTACTTGCCGTGTTAAGCAGACACTATTTCACAGCCTGTCCCTGAATTCCTTCCCAACTTGTGGCTTAATATATATATATATATATATATATATATATATATATATATATAAAAAAAAATACCGGCACTCTAGGCTTAGTTCATCCGTTTTAATTCTCAGTTGATCCAAAAGATGTCAACGTTTCAGCTCCCGATCGGAGCTTTCATCAGGACACAATGTTTCTTTTTTCAGCATTTGTGATACATATTAGAACTGGCACAGGACAGTCAAAAAAAGGGAGCTAAAATAATTGGACAAGTGTAAATAGCCGATTGGCTATTAACTGCATATTAATTGAAACCAATTAGAGAAATCTAAAGGACTTTACTAACCTGTAATCCAACGATGGTTATATGAGACAGTGTTTTGTTATTTTGTCTTTCAGTAGTAGTAATATCTCTCAGTTTATCAGGATACTATAGAAGTAATACAGATTGCAGGGTAGTAGATTCTATGGCGTTTTTTTTATTAAAGGAAGCCGAACAGAACGGCTGGTTATTAGGGTCAGTAATATTACTAACCAACACTATGGAGCAATAAGCGCTACTCTGCGGTTTATTTGCCCAGTTTTGTATAGCAAAGCTTTAGAAACATAGAATGTGACGGCAGATAAGAACCATTCGGCCCATCTAGTCTGCCCAATTTTCGAAATAAAACGGGGGATATAGAGAAGCAGCGCTAAACAATTAAAATCCTTGTGTGGAGTCCAATGGAGCCAATATAAGGGAGAAAACAAAATAGGACAGGAATACTAATATAGTGTAGTATGTCTATAACAGCAGAGGCAGAATATAAGGAAAAAACATGTTGCACAATCCCCGTCTGTGGATGTTAGGATGGTCCTGATGGTCAGACGGGGATTGTATCGTCCGTACGCTGTAAACTGGAGCGGATCTTAAGCTCCAGAAAAATGTAACATTTCTTTCCTTATATTCTGCCTCTGCTGTTATAGACTACACTATATTAGTATTCCCGTCCCATTTTGTTTTCTCCCTTATATTGGCTCCATTGGACTCCACACAAGGATTTTAATAGTTAGCGCTGCTTCCCTACATCCCCCGTTTTACTTGCATCAACGACCAGAAAGAAGAGACTCTGGTTTGGGAAAGCTTTAGCTGCTGTACACATGAGGAACAAGTGCCAGAAATCTCTGCTGCTATATCTCCAATTTTCTATATACTTTCATTAGTCCCTGGCCTTATCTTATAGTTAGGATAGCCTTATCCCTATCCCACGCATGCTTAAACTCCTTTACTGCTTCAGCTGGAAGGCTATTCAATACTTTATGGGAGTTACATTCAGCTATGAACTGGAAGACCAGTATTTAAATAATTCCGGACACAAAAGGACCTATTAAAATTTGCTTTTGCAATTTCGGCTCAATTTGTTAAAATTTCCCAATAGTTCACTTTTTTCACCAAGAACTGGAAGGTAACCAAATTGAGTCGTACTAGCCATTGATCTTATTGCTGCAGTGAGATTCAATTTAACATAGTACAAAATTTTTTTGCTACATGAAGAAAAAAAAAATGCCATTAATCTAAGGTCAGATTTGGGGTACGATTTAGGGCTGGGGTAACCTTAGATTGCTAAAGGGGCTTGGGGTAAGATTAGAGTGATTTAGGATTAGGGGAATTATCATTTTAGGTGCGAGTTCACTGCTCTGTATTAGGAGAATTGGAGAAACCTAATGAAGCCAATTCAGTAACAATTTGGCTGCAATGTTGCTTTTTACTCATATTATGAAGATTCGGCTGATTTAAAAAAAGAACTTAACTGCAGTCAATTTAGAAGTAGAAATTCAGCTGAAATAACCAATACCCAAATAACCTTTTGTGAATAGTTGAACGGGTTAACATGACTGCCTTATAGCATTTAGTGAATAGAAACCTAGAAAGAGGTTCCTAAGAAGGAGGACAGGAATCTATTATTCACAATTCTTTGAAATTCCTTGAAACTATTGGGGGGAAGGGGATTTATTAAATCAATAAGGTATTAAACAACATCTGTGTGCCGTGTTAATTTGCAGAGAAAGGATGTGAGTCATGAAAATCTCCATCAATACAGGAGTCTTGCAGAATAATCATATGGTAAATCAGAAAATGTAAATTGTATTCATAGCAGAAAGACAATCTGCATCTGAATGAACAGAGTCTGTCACTGTTAATTATCCAGGAAGGGCTCTGCACGCTGTGGATTGTGCCTCTTGTCATCGGAGACATTAAATGGCTAAGAATAAAGATCATCATCTGCATTGCAGTCATTCATTATAACCCAGTCTAAAGCAGTTAACTTTGTTTTAATCATTTATGTGCATGTGACTTAAAATCAATTATGCACCAAATAGAATGACCTCTATCAAAGGTTCTAGTGATCCCCGGCCTTGTCTTGGTAGACCTGCAACTCAATTTAACAGGTGAACCAACCAGGACAAACCTCCCACCTACCACAATCTTCTCAACAGGAGCAAACAAAACCCCATGCCTGTACCATGTTTTTTACTGGGCTGAAATGCCAAGGGAACACACTGATTATTGCAATGTGTGTTTTTATTTAATCTATCAGATACGTCAGGCCGGAGAGAAAGAGTGGTGTTCTTTTAGAATTTGTATCACAAAAATCACATAACGCTGAAGCTGTGATAGTAAACAACGACGTTGCAATACAAATGCATTTAGCATCAGTGGTAGCCAGGAAATGTGACATTTGATCCAGCAGCTAAGGGGCCACGGATTGGACACCTGTGTTTGGCCATAAGCAAGCTTAAAAATATGTTCAGCAGTGCTGAAGAAAACAAAGTGAGCACAGTTACTTCCTAGATTTGCAGAAGCTGCAAGTTATGCAGAAAAATGTACCTTTATATTATTCTATTTTATGCAATTTATATTTTGTTTTAGCTTTATAATAAATGAACCTGTGGGGGTTAGCCCGGTCCACACAGGCTAGTAACTCACACTGGCGTGGTGCTTGCATACTGCACCTGCTCCAGACTGAGAACATGGCTCCCTCTGCTAGGATGGCAGCCATGTCTTTACAGAGCATATGAAGCTCAAAGTGGAAAGCCCTGATAGCATCCAACAATCTTTGAAGCAAGTGAATAACATATTTATCCATTTCTGGGCCACCTTGGAGGCGCAGGAAAACAGAGAAAAGGCTGCGCCAAGATATTTAACAAATAAAACGTAATAAAAAAAGTCCCAGTGTCAAAAAATAAAAAATAATATAAAATAGTTCAATATTATAGGTAGTCCAAACTGGTATGGTGTCTTCTTTGTTAGCAGTCGTCTGTCTCACGATATGAAAGACACAATGGGAAAAGAACCAGTCGTGCAGATTGTATAAATAAATGATAATGAAATTAAAATATAAATTGCGCACTCACATTTCCATGAGCTAGGACTAGCTCTAGTATGATGGGCATACAGCGGATAACCCTCCGCTTATAGGGATGCTTGTCCTCCTGGGGAGTGCTGATGTCCAGTTCTCAAAAGAAGGGAAAAACAGCGAATAGTGCTCTCTGATGAGGTAGTAATACAAGGTTTAAAAATAAATAAAATATACTCACAAGTAGAGTGCAGTCCTTTCTGCACTCTGTATATCGCGTGGGTGGTATAATCCCCACCTTAGGATATGCCAGGAACAGTAAATGAAGATAAGATAATATAGAGGATAAATAATATAAAGAGATTTATTAATATAGAATATTAAAAACCAATAACGCGTTTCGCCTAGGAGGCTTTATCAAATTGGGGTAGTTAACCTCAACCTCTTGAAGGTGAATAGTGAGTGGGTCTACCTTGGGCCTTCCCATTTTAAAAGCGCAAGTTTCCTGTACTACTAGCCCACCTGGCCAAGAATCAATGGAGGTGAGACCGTATGGCATTGTCCACATGGACAGAAGGCAGACTGCAACCAGCGGTGCAGTGACACCGAGGCTTCCTGTTTCTTCCTTACCGAGATGGACTTGGACTCTGTGAGCTACCAAGCAAGTGGCACAGAGATGCTGGCCTGTACTCTGGCTTGGGGCTGGAGGGATGCTCTACACTGCACTCTTATTACCGCTGCATTTCATGAGCTCAGCTGCTATGTCAAGGGTTTCCCAGATTGCAACTCTGGGACTGTCAGGATTACTGTTTGATCCAGCACGTAGAACTGTACAGCACGGATGACAAATAAGTAACGTATTACCGGTCCTTAGAATGGCCGGATTTAACGTACAAAGAATAGTCAAAAATACTAGCCGAGGTCAGGGAACACAGAAAGGGACACAGCGATGAGGAAAGCCAGGAGTCAGGATACCAGAATATAGAGAAGTCAATAAACAAATCCAAAGTAAAAAATCAGGTAGAAAACTATAAACAGGAACGCGCTCTCAGACAACCACAAGGGAAACCACGACAGGGCACTGAGCAGGCTGAGAACTGGGCCTAAATACCCCTCCTTTAGTTCTGATAGGCTGTAACCGGCCTTTGACCCAGGTTTCATTTGCATAATTGTTGATTTGGTTGCTGCTCGGCACAACTTTTCCTGTGTGGACAGTAAATGTCATTAACCACATTTCTATAAGCGGATGAATACGTGACAGGGACTTTCCTGTATCCTGCTGAAGCCACTAAGTTTTTTTTCATTAAACCAGTTATGTTCCTCATTTATGTATTCCTGCTTTTAAATCACATTAGGCTGTATTAGCCACCTGGAAAGTTCTTTCAACATAGTCTGTTATACCTTATTACTTACAAATTAACCATAAGGTCAGTTTGTATAGCCTGTACGTTACTACTAGTGATTCCTAGCCTACGGTCGCATTTTGCCCAGCAGGTTTCTTATACCCCCACCCATTTTTTCATAACCATGATGTTGCTTATTTCAGATTGGATAGGCTTGTACTTGCTGTTGTGGCATTACAAGCATGCCTGTAACCTTAATTACTGAAAATAAAGATTAACAAAAAATAAAGAATGGTAAGAACTTGAAGTTGGTTAATACACTAAAGCCTTAATTTAATAGTTTTGGATGAGTTTTCATATACTCACAATCTGAATGAAAACCTTTCAAATTATTTATCTACATTGGTCATCTGTGAAGGGACACTATAGTCACAACAACAACTACAGCTTAATGCAGTGGTTCTGGTGTGTAAAGCATGTCCTTGCAGCCTTTTCAATGTAATATTCAGAGACAAAGCAGTGTTTCATTTCTGCCTAGTAACACCTCTACTGGCAGTCCCTCCGATGGCCACTAGAGGTGCTTCCTGTGTCAGTGCTGCAGCGTGTAGCACCTACCTTCAGCATCTCCATGGAGGTGCTGAACATTCCCCATAGAAATGCACTGATTCAATGAATCTGCATGAGGACATGACGATTGGCGCAGCGCGGAATTCTGAGTAAAGTCACCATTTCAGAGTGATTTAATAGGGGGGCAGACCTCTAAACAAACAGTCACAGAGAAACCATACATGTTTGTATTCCTGACACTATAGCATTCCTTTAAAGTCTATATTCATTTTCCCGATTGGGTAAATGCAGTCAGTCACTCACCCTCCCTAAGGTAAAAATTATGTTTCATGGAGTTGGGAAAAGTGACATCAAAGAACCAATTACTGATCTGGTTACGTCTCAGAGGATGCACATACGTGTTGGGGAAAATGGATTGAGATATTTTCCAAAATATGAACGGTCAGAAATTCACACAGCAAACTGGAAAAATCCTCAAAGATGTCATTTCTATTATTTTGGCCTAAACTTGGCCTATTGATCCTGAATAATAAAAACCCCTGACCATAAATAAAACCCATGTCTTCTAATCTGACTTACAGCTTCATCTTCCTGGAGCAATGGAGGTTATCATACACAAAGAATTCACACACATAATAAGCAAATTATATAACCTGGAATAGTACAATTATCTTTTAGATAATAGTACGTAACTAGTCAGATCAAATAGAAATGTGACAGACGTTACGCACAATTACAATCACATAATAATAGGCCAAGTGTGTGCAAGTGGCATCGGCCATGTGGCATAGTGCAAGTGGCATCGACCATGCTTGGGTATCCCTTTTGTATTCTAAGAAGTGAGTGGATGGAAGCTTTCATCAGTTTCCATGGATGTCTTGTGGTTTAAATTTTATTATAAAAAAAAGAGCTCTTTAGTAATAGTGTGTTCATGCCAGCTGGGGTTCAGGTGACCAAGGTGAGCAACATGTACAAAAATCTCAGTGAAAATACAAACCAAGTGGGTAGGTTGATCACCCAATCATAACAACCAAATATCATGACATGAAATAATCAGATGACCACAGTGGAATTGTTAACAGAAAACAGAAATGTCAATTATTTGCCTAAAGACTGCTCATAGATGAAAGGGAAGTACAAACATTGTACAATATAAAACCAATCAGATCAGCAAAAACCTCTTTAAAATAGCTCTGACGAACGCTTCGTGATGGACCCAAGCTAATGGATTCCTTTATCTGGCTTCCCACTTGTAACGGACCGTTTTGCACACCGTTTAGGCGATATTCCCCTTTTCAGATGCACAGACAGCTACTGCAATCACCAATCTCCCGAACTGCAAACACATGAATTCACCAATCTCCCTAACTGCAAACACACGAATGCTGTAAACAGCCGAACAGGAAAAACCATATGAACAGCTTCCACTCCTGGCAGTCGCACTGTAACAGCATACAATCCAATTCCCCCCAAGAACGAGACGACACTTCGTTTGAGAGTCAAGCAGAACTGATTTACTGGGGCTACCTGCCCGGCTTTTATGCAGGTCTCCCATCTGGTGGACACTCCCCTAGGGGACCAGATGGAAGACTGGGAAACATATTGGACATTGACCAATCACAAGCTTACAATCCCACAATGCATCACAATCCCTCCTCTCTGTCCTGGAGATAATTGGGAAGTAATCCAATTATCGCCAAGGACAGAGACAAAACGCCATTAACCACATGGCAGACAAAGGACAATGAATTACATAAAAATACATACTGTTACATTTATCACATAGAACATACACATTCTACCTATCCCCAGATAGCTTAGATCTGAGCACCCATTACTGCTGGATGGCGCTCAGATCACATACATACAGTTCAATCGCCATGGAGCCAAAGTCTTTCATACAGTCTTTCAGAATACGGCTGGGCTCCATGGCATAGCTATTTGGGGTAGCATGGCTTTAACAGTCCGCAGAAAGGCACGAACCAACCTTTCTGCAGGGAAAAAGAACAGTGTTAAACATGGGGCCATAGTCTAGTGGCAGGAGGCGGGCGACCAGGCTCCTCCAGTGGCCAGTGGCGAGGTTGATTCCGCCACACCACTGTTAAGAAAATATTGCTGGTTTTATTGTAGTTCATGGCACGTTGGTCTTTACTACACATTGCGCCCCATAATACATTTCATAAGAAGCATTTAATAGCATTGAGCAACCTTGACTTCATTGTTGGTCACTGACAGACCAAAGCCAGTTCAAGATAAAGCACTCACCTTTTAAAGGGCACTGCGTTCTTTAATGCGGTTTCCACATCAATGACATTTCCTCTTGCCAGCTCTGACACTGTGATAAAGCCGGCATTATAGAGAGCCCGGGCCCTCTGAGCGTTGAGTAAGTCCACTCGGACCAGGTCGCACAGCTCCCTCTGAATACCAAAGGTGAGTCGGCTCTGGAACTGGGACAAGAGAAGCTCCATATTGTGCCATCCGAGCCGATTACTGAATATGGTCACCATTCCTGGAACACAAAGCATTAAATCCATATTAATGGCTTGTCTTGGTATAAAGACTACAGGAGACAAGTTATCTTTCCAACGTTAAAGAATGAAAAGTAACATGGATCAAGAAACACATATCCGAGAGTTCAGTCTTTTAGAGTATTTATATAAAGATGGAGGAGGTCTGGTGGGAACCCACAGAAAGTATCCAATTTTGTGGAAAGTGCTGTGAGTTGGAGATTGTCCACATAATGGAGAAACTCATGGTTTATGATTTATGGTTAAAAATCTCTTAATTCAGCTGAGATAAGGTTTGCACACATTTTTGCATGATATAAATTAATAGGTAGAGAGTGAATTTAAAGAGGTTCTGTTGCCAAAAATAATAATCAGGGTTATTTACGAAAGTGAGAATTGTAAGAAATTCAAAGTCCAAAGTAGCTGAAATGGTAACATAGCCGAATTATTCCAGTTGGGCTGTTTTGGATTTAAATTTGAAGTTTACTTTGTATTCTGTCTGAATTCCCAACAATTCTCACTTCAATGAAAAACCCTGAATATTTTATAACTCAAGAAGCCAATTGCAACAAGTGTCAAATACAGTAATCATGCCATAGGGCTGAACATGTGACAAGTGTCTCACCTGCATATGTCGCAGCTGATTGTTGCAGTGACTGAAGCTGGCCGCGGCTGCAGCCATATTTCTTGGTCAGGTCTTTTAGAGGAACCTCACTGATTAAATCAAGGAGCACAAGGCTGGTGAAAAACCTAGAAAAATACATAAATATTAAAAACATAAAGAACCAGTTCTCAACGTCTGCCTTCAGGACCCTTCGAACTTTCTCACGCCATGATTGAGGTGGATCACGGAATGGCCTGGTAAAGCTGCTATCCTGTTAATCAAAGATCCTTCTGTGTTCACATGAAAAGAACCCTAGATCCCTGGGGAGCCCTTATGGCAGACTCAAAAATGGAATAAAAGTGTTACAAGTCTTTATGAATAATTCTCTGTTAAAACAGGAAAGAAAGCGTGACAAGACTATTTGACAAACATATGTAAACTTTAGGGACATACCAACATTTCTAAGATAAAATAAGGCAACAAAATGGGAGTAGCCATAAACATACATATATATTACAAATCCATGTACCATGACTGAATAGACAGCCATATCTGATCATTCAGACCAAGGACCGACCATGTAGACAGTGATGTCCGATCATACGGACCAAGGACACAATGTGTACGCAGCCATGTTTGATCATACGGACCAAGGACACACTGTGTACACAGCCATGTCTGATGATACAGACCAAGGATAGACCGTGTAGACAGCCATGTTTGATCATACAGACCAAGGACCGACCATGTAGACAGCTATATCTGATGATACAGACCAAGACACATGCAAAATACACATTAAGTCTGGAATTGTGGAGAACTGACAAAGGAATTGCAAATTACAGGCAAAAAAAAAAAGAGTTCAACTAGAAATATTTGCCAGCTCAGCTGCTTGCCCCATTTAGCAATGTTGGCCTCAAAAGTGGAATTCCCTCGTAAGTCCTCCACAGTCCCAGTTTAATTTATAAAGGATCCTGGCTTACCTTTTGTGGATTGCCATCTGCCGGTGCTGCCGATCATTTTTAGCTGATATTTTGCCCTTTACAGAACGTGCAAGGAACCCCTCCTCAATACCAACAAGTTCTGCAACACGTTTCATGGAGACTGGAAGCTTCTCCCATAGGCAAAAAAACTGGTACCAGTCAATTGTCGTCCATTCCTCATACACCGGTGTGACCTGACAATGGAACATAGGAACAGTTTGCACAACCCTCCGGCACACTGCCACATAAAGATGGGCTGCGCAGACTGCTATCTGTTCTAGCAAACGTGGTATAATGTAATGGCATTCAATAAATCTTATTTTTTTATATATATATATATATATATATATACAGTAACTAATCAGCTACAAATCAATCTGCCACTCAGTAAAGGAATAAACTGGAATTTATAGCTTCAATACAAAATGTTATTTTTACAGATTATGAGTTTTGTAATAAAGCAACGTAGTACCAAGCTGGTTCCCAATATGTTTACTATTAGTACAGATTAGAATAAAGCCCATGTGTGCGAATCAGTAAACGTGGCAGACGAGCCATGATCGGGCCATTCACTGCTGAGGATTATAGTTTTACCAGATACAGAATGTGCAAATCATTTTCCAGGACAAAGCCCTTCATTGCCCTCTGCAGATCAGCAAAGATCCCCAAAGCTTCGTAGGGAGAAAGGGATGAGGACAGAGTCGCAGATCCCAGCTTTGTTGGACGATAGACTTCGACTAAAAATGGAAACAAAAGTTACAATAGAATCCCAATATAGCAGGGATTACAGGCCATGTTAATCAGAATATGGTAATTTCTGTAATAAAATACAACCCATTGGCTAGTACGCCTAAAGAACATATCATAGCATGCTTTACTAATTCCCATAATATGGTAGAAATGTCCCGGTACATTAATAAATGGTGCTAAAGTGGCATTCTAGCGACAAAACTCCTTTTAAAGTTCCTGCAGTCTTGGGTTTAAATTTTGTCTTTTTCATAAAACAGGGTTTTAAAGAAGAGCAGGTAGAGCCCTGTCAGTCAATCAGAGAGCAGGAACGACACATCCCAACTCACATACAAAGTTATGCCAATGAGTCTGTATGCCACTGCTGTCCCATGAGTGAGTGCATGCAAGTTCTAAGACTGTCCCTGTCTCTGTAATGATCGGTGCAGTGTTTGTACAACAGCCATCACAGAGGAAAGTCCATCCACATCGGCATGTGATTATTGCAGAGAGATGTGACGTGCAGGGCCGCCACCAGAAATTTTGGGGCCCCTAACTCAGCTCAGGGTCTGGGCCCCCTGGGGCCCGCCTCCAATTAATCGCCCACAGGAATACACACACTGATACAAAAGGACACAGATACATACTAACAGACACACAGGCATACATAGTTACAGACAGACACATACTAACATACATACAGACACACATACATACAGACATACTGACAGACATACAGACACTGACATTCATACTGTCATACAGACAGACATACATACACACACACACACACAGCGCTCATTTTCCAGCCACCCTCCTGTCTCTTACCTTGTCTTTGCAGGATGGTGGATGGGGCTGATGGGACTGGGAGTTGGCTGGCTCTCCCTCACTGCCGCGCGTGCACGCTCCTCCCGCGCGGAGTGAGCTGGGAGGAAGTGACCACTTGCTGCGGCTGCTTTTTTTTTTTTTAAAGGGGCCCGGTCGCGATATACCACGGCCACAGCACTGACCGGGCCCCTGAAGATACAGGGCTCATCGGGTGGCCCTAAGTGCATGGGCCACCCGCCGGGCCCCATCAGCGTGCGGGCCCCGGTGCAAGTGCACCGACGGCAGTTCCGCCGCTACAAATCCGGGCTCCCCCTGGGCCGCCGGGCCCGTGACAACCGTTATGTTGGTTGTTACCCCCTGATGGCGGCCCTGCCCCAGTCTGTACTTACCCAATGTACTGAGGACTAGAATCATAGAGATGTGGAGGTATGAAAGAGACATTTATGGCCCTTAGTATTAAAGACTGATAATTGCAGGGATTGTCAATTGTGAGCAATGATGTGAGTTACCTTTACGGCCCTCTCTGTCTTCCTCCAGAGTTTGTATGAACTCGTTCTTCAGTAGCCAATCCACACAGGATTCGATTGCTCCCTCTTCCTGCCTGCCCCTGAGGTTTGCCTCACTCTCTGTTATGCTGGCAGCCAGGAGAGTGCAAGAGGCATAAACTCGAACATCATCTGGGGTGTCTGCCACTCCGCCAACTACAATCTAGGATATAGGATGCTCTGATTACACTATCAGCAATAATGACTCCCAATACTTACAATAAAGACATAGACAGAGAGTTGCAGACTGTATACATGACCATGAACCCCACATCCAGTACAGCCCAGAAATCATGCCCCTGCCCTCACCTCCAGTACAGCCCAGAGATCATGCCCCCGACCTCCAGTAAAGCCTAGAAAACCATGCCCCTCATCTCCAGCATAGCCCAGAGACCCCACCCTCCAGTATAGCCCAGAGATCACATGCCCCCCGACCTCCAGTATAGCCTCCAAAGACCATCCCCCACCTTCAGTACAGCCCAGAGACCATGTCCCCCCTCACCTCCAGTATAGCCCATAGACCCCCACCTCCAGTATAGCCCAGAGATCATGCCCCCACCTCCAGTATAGCCCAAAGACCATCCCCCACCTTCAGCACAGCCCAGAAATCATGCCCCTGACCTCCAGTAAAGCCCAAAGACCACCCCCACCTTCAGTATAGCCCAGAGACCACCCCCCCCTCCCCCCAGTATAGCCCAAAGGCCACCCCCCCACCTCACCTCAGTATAGCCCAGGGACCATACCCCCTCACCTCGAGTATTACCCAGAGACCATCCCCCAACACACCTAGTATAGCCCAGAAACCATGCCTTCCCACCTCCTGTACAGCCCAGAAACCATGCCTTCCCACCTCCAGTATAGCTCAGAGACCAGGCACCCCCTCACCTCTAGTATAGCCCAGAGACCATGTCCCCCCTCACCTCCAGTATAGCCCAGAGACCATGTCCCCCCTCACCTCCAGTATAGCCCAGAGACCATGTCCCCCCTCACCTCCAGTATAGCCCAGAGACCATGTCCCCCCTCACCTCCAGTATAGCCCAGAAACCATGCCCCCTTATCTCCAGCATAGCCCAGAGACCCCCACCTCCAGTATAGCCCAGAGATCATGCTTCCCTTACCTCCAGCATAGCCCAGAGACCCCCACCTCCAGTATAGCCCAGAGATCATGCTTCCCTTACCTCCAGCATAGCCCAGAGACCCCCACCTCCAGTATAGCCTAGAGACCCCCACCTCCAGTATAGCCCAGAAATCAAGCTCCGCCTCACCTCCAATATAGCCCAGATAATGCTGCCCCCTTACCTCCAGTATAGCCCAGATAATGCTTCCCCCTTACCTCCAGTATAGCCCAGATAATGCTGCCCCCTTACCTCCAGTATAGTCCAGATAATGCTGCCCCCTTACCTCCAGTATAGCCCAGATAATGCTGCCCCCTTACCTCCAGTATAGTCCAGATAATGCTGCCCACTTACCTCCAGTATAGCCCGGATCATGCTTCCTGTGATGCCAACCCCTTCATTTCTCATCAGACAGCTCTGTATGGGTTTAAGGGTGCCCTGCAGCAAGTTAATGCCCTTGGAGCGCTCAGAATTCTTACAAACAAGAATACTTTCACCTGTAAATGGAAACAATGATCAGGCGAGGAGACATTTATTTGTTAAAGAACAAACACTGTTACAGAGCACAGATCAATTACAATCCGTGCCAGTCTGAACGTCTAAACTGGTTTTAGAAAGGATTTGTACAGCCAGGCGTAGAGTTCAATGCACAGAAATAAAACTTCCTGAAAGTTCTTATCTCCTTCTATGTAGATTGTAAAACCACCTTCTGTTTAGATAAATGTCAATAAAGAAAGAATATAAAGACAAGAAGATCACAATTTCCCAAGCCTGCAGACTTAACCAAAGTAAGCCCATCTGAAAGTATTTTATTTTATTTATCTGTAAAATAACAATACTTTATTCATTAACATTAGCGGTTGGATTTTAGACAGACATAGGTAACAAATATTAAACCCCTGATATAAGCATTTTTTGCATTGCATGTTGCACAGGTGCATTAAACAATATGCATTTTTTTTTTTAACCAGTCCTATCCCTTTAATCCTCTGTATTTAATTGCTCCTTCTCCCCTGACCAATGGGAGGCGTTCTGACCTTCCAAACTTACCAACACAGGTCCATAACAGCACTAAGGGATCTTACTACCTTTCCTACGTCACTGAAAGTATCAACATCGCAGTCAGGACATGTTTAAATTACATTTCCAGCAACTGAAGCTACTTTAGATTCTTCAATAGTTCCATGGCTAAACAAAAAATTAACTGTTTTCACTTCCAACCACAATGACTGATAAAACAAAAAGTAGCGGTGTCGTCTTACATCTGACTGTGCTTTTAGCGCTCACATGAGATGGTCGGACCACACGTTGTCTAGAAAAAAACTTTAAAGAACTGGACTTTAAAAAAAAGCTGGATCAAAGTCAGGAATTGTCAATACAAATAATAGATTTATAAAATTAAATTATGATAAATGGAAGCCATCTAGCAAATTAAAGAGCTGGAACAGGGTACTACAAGGTTCTAATTTCTGTGCAGGCTCTGTGTATTTGGCAACAGAATAAATGTGTCATTTGTAACATATAATGTTTTATTAAATTCAGTGATAAAGCCGTGTATATATTATAATGACCGACTGTCCACCATTTGATGATAAGATAATGTGATTATTTTATGGACTTGCCCACAGTATCCACTCCTTTTCGCCCTGCTCTTCCTGCCATCTGCTTGTAGGTGAGAATGTCGAGTAGGCGGCCATTGAAAAGCGGAGATCGGATGATGACACGGCGAGCTGGCAGGTTTACCCCAGACGACAGAGTTGAAGTGGCAGCCAAGACGCGGACATATCCCTGGCGGAAAGCTCCTTCAATAATGTCCCTCTCATCGAATGTCAGACCTGAATAGATAGAAAAAGTGAATTTCACATTTTAGGTGAAATATAAACAAAAATTAAATTATGTTCTGAGATTTTGGTCTAAATCGTAAAATTCTCTTTAAATTCTGCCTTAGTGAATTACTTTGTTGGTGATGTAGAACTTTAATATAGAGATATCTCGCACACCATAATGTGTGTACGGTGTAACTAAGGCTTCACATAGGATATTGATGAGAAATCCCTGTTTCTATGTGAACATAATGTTCTCAGTTAACAGGATTTGGTTTTAATCACAGTTAATTTATTCCCTCCATCTCTCTAATCATCTTTGATCCAATCATTTCTAACTTGCTCAGCTGCCCGGTTACATAGCAGGAAAGCTAATGGCTTAAAGGATTATCTGTTTATCGGGGTCAGTCCTTTCTGTGTCTGTTAAGGTTGGTTCTGTCTGTAAATTAAACCCACAATATGGTGACAAACGCCAATATAATGGAGGTGTCCCGGCAGTTCAATGCACCACACATTCAGAAATGTCACACTATGCAAATACTCCAGCTCTCTACACATTACTGATGTGAGATTAACAATTTAGATCATTGATCTTCTCTTGGAAGGAAATATTTTCTAATTCATAAAGGTTTTGAGGCCGTCTCATCAAGAATAGAAACTGAGATGAAATGAAAACAACATGTTGCTTTACCAGCATGGTGGAACGCCACACCCCAGGGAACCGTACGAGCCAATACAGCGTCCAGAGCTGCCGGTGAGCGCTTTAACTGATCCACCACATCCTGAACACCATCTTTATCCAGTGTCACAGGGGCGATTATACCTGTCCCTGCATGAATAAGTGAGAGAACACAATCTTCAAAATCAAAACCAGACAAATAATGAATGAATGAAGAATGTGGTTCAAACTGAGAATGGCAAACTCTGTCCATCCAATGAAAGATGGTTTATTTGCTTCCCTTACCTCCAGCATAGCCCAGAGACCCCCACCTCCAGTATAGCCCAGAGATCATGCTCCCCCTCACCTCCAGTACTGGCTGTTCTAATATGGAATACTAATCATAAAATAATAGAATAGAATATAGCAGAAACCCGTCACACCCAGTTTAGTTATTTCCATCTCTTTGCTGGAACTCCCAGAATGGAACTCAACTTTTATTATTTAAAGTAAGTGTGAGGACCAATCATTGTCCTGTAAATTGTTACCATGAGCTGGGTTCATTTAAACAGAAATATTTGCAAGAACTGAAGGTACCAATGGATTTCATATAGAGAAGGGAAATCGATTGCAGTGAATGCACAAGCAATGAATAATGCAAATTAAGGTTACAATATAAAGGGTGTACATGAAGAGATTGTTCCAACCACATCATCAGAACGTCTGCAAGTAGCAATGATACTTCTCATCCAAATCACAATATCCTTACTGCTAGTTAATGATGTCTTATCTGCATCAAGAAGCACCTCCTCAGAAGAAAGGTCTGTTTAATATTATACTACTTGTATATTATTATTAAGACCACCCAGTACACACACATACATACAGAACACACAATATATATATATATATACATATATATATATATATATACACACACATACATATACACATACACACACATACATATATACACACACACACATATATACACACACACACATATATACATACAAACACACACACTTTCCCCTTGTATTCGCCTGTTTCATCCGTTTTCCGTATGGGAGACATAATACGAACATAATTTTTTCATCTCCCGAACGAAGACCAGCCCTATACCCCATTAGAACGCTGACACCGACCACTTAAGTGCGAAACCGCAAGGGAAGTAATTAATGAATGCTTCCCTGGGTGGCCGCCATTTTGTATAACCGAACACGTGGCAGACAAAATAGTGGCAGCCATCTTTTCTCCCGAACGTGGGCAGCGGTACTTGGTCGTCGAGTGCCTGGAACTCTTTTCGGCTAGGCACTCACGCGAATGCCAGTAAAACTCACACCTCTGCCCATTCTAGACGAACAACATTCGGGAGATATGAACCACCGAACAGGGGGAGCATTCGAGTCCTGAAATGAAGAACTTCCCTTGCCTGGTGTTTGCACGAGAACCTGACGAACGGAGACCGGCCAGGCACCTATTTCCCTGGAACTGTTTTGGGCTAGTGCCTCATGACTGGCCAGTCAAAACTTTACCTCAATGGCATTTCCGTTTCACCGGACCGATTCTTAGAAATGTTATACACTCAGATCGGGGCTATCGAGGAATGTACTTTTTATGGGGTTCCTATGTATGGTGGGGGTACTTTTGGGGTACAGTATATTTTGTTGGATTTTCTGTACCGGAGAGATAATTAAATTAAAGGGTTTTTCTCATGCAATTATCTCTCAGACACAGAGAATGCTATTGAAACCCCTGTATTGTTGTGTTGAAACCCCCTTGCATGGGACTGGGAATAAAAGCTGTGTGTGTGACAGTAAACTTCAGTTGTACCCCCAGAACTGTGTGTCGTCCAGTTGCTGGAGAGGAGGTGGAATATTTATTTGGTGTTTTACTTGTTCATCATTTTAATTTTGTGGATCCAGCGGAGAAGAGTCTCTGCTACGACTAGGGCTCCGCTACATAAAGCGCCAACACATTTTGCAGTGCTGTACAATAGGTGGACTAACAGATAGGTATTATGTTTTTTTTATCTGTCTTCAAGCAACATATTTGTAGATATTTGTTTATTGCCATTTCCTGTGCAGCTATTTACTTTGATAATTTTTATTGTAAATTAAGAACAGCAGGCTGTCATAAGTGGAGCCCAGCAATATCCAACAGTATGCAGAGAGTTAACATGTAAACAGGCCAGATACAATAAAGGCCAATAGAACTATCCCACTACATTCCAACCTTACGGAGAAGATTTGAAGATTACTGCAGGAATTCTAAATAACCTGGATTCTAGCAGTTTATAAAATTATCATATTTGGGTGCCATACTGGGTTTAGATTCCTAGAAGATATATGGTGTGGGGCTCATGGAATAATCAGTTATCAAAGCTTACTGCTGTTTCTTTAAAAAAAGAGAAATACATTTGGAGGAAGAACACTAAAAAGGAGCGGGCAATAGATTGTCGAGAGATCAGTAATACTTTGATTAAAGATTAAACAGTGCACCTCTAATGGAAATCGACATTCCCCTGTCTATACATATATCCATTACTTATCTTTAGTGGTTACAGTTCACTGTATGAGGTCTTGTCTCCTTAGGTAGCACAGACCCAAAACAGCAGAATATTTGCCACTATGACAGATGAAGAGAGATCTCTGTATCATGATGCCTCGGTGTAGACAAGCAATTTGAATGGGCATGTGCAGAAAAAGTCTTAGGAAGAATGAGGAACATAGATACTACTGGTAGCGAGACACTGGTGAGACTACACAGAGAAGACATGCTACTGCTAATTGGGCAGACTAGATGGGCCGAATGGTTCTTATCTGCAGTCACATTCTATGTTTCTATGTTACTCTAGACTGAGCTTCAACAGTGCCATTCCAGACTAATTTCACCCTTAATTCTGCTCACCTTCTGGTTGCTGAACGGCTGACTGATACAGGTTGTAGAACTCACGGGCAATGGTGTCGGCCAGTTTCTCACACCAGTTCTTTGAAGGACAGAAGATTAAGACAGAATGTCCACCTTGTATAGTTTCATAGCATAGACTGACAATGTGATCTTCATCTCCCTGCAAGGAAAACATGAAAAATATGTAAACTTTAACACATATCCTGGAGCAAACTATTAAAACATGCATTATCTGGGAATGGTCTTTAGGTAGATACATTTTGTATCATGTCAAATTTGAGCAGTAGAAGCAAAACCAAAGAAAATATAATTTCAGAATTTCTGGGGAAGCTGAGAGTGTTTTCATTTGAGATTGAGATTGAGATAGATATAGATATAGATTTCAAAATCCAAATAGGTTATGGTGGGGAAAAATTGTGATTGAAAACCCCTTCCACATGAAGTCTGTGGATAGTTAATACAATGTTAAACAAAAATCTGCACACCAGTCAAGCCATAAGACTTGCTTTTCCCACAGAAATCCCAAATCGGCAGTGATGTTACAACCGCAAAGGATTCTGGGTGGGCACAGGGGCGTACCTAGAGCCTTTGGCACCCGGGGCGGATCCTGTGCTTGGCACCCCCCCCCAAAAAACAAACAAACAAAAAAAACCTGTAAAAAATGTTAAAGGTTTTATTTCTTTTATTTTTACAATTTGTAAACTTTGCAAAACCGCTGTCAGCCCCTCCTACAAAACCCTTGTCCTGCCCTGCCCCTCCTACAAAACCTCTGTCCTGCCCCTTCTACAAATCCTGTACTGCCCCATCTACAAAACCCCCGCCACCCCCTTCCACAAATCCCCCGCTTATCCCCCTTATAAAGACTCCTGTCCCAATACAAAACCCCCGCCTTCTGCCACAAAAATCCCTGCAGCCCCACACACACACATTTACAGGCAGACAGTCACACACTCAGTTACAGGTAGACAGTCACACATGTGTCACAGGCAGACAGTCACACATTATCTCATAAGGCCAGTTTATCAGCTGTTTGCTTGTGTGAGCTGTACTGGCCGCACGGCACCCTAGCTACCATGGGACACTATGCGGCCACAGCTCACACAGCCCCCTCCAGCCAGGGCCGGTGCAAGGATTTTTGCCACCCTAGGCAAAAGTAAAGTTTGCCGCCCCCCCCATGTGACATCACAATACCCCACCCATATGATATGCCATGTTAACTAACACCAGTGCTGCAGTGCCGCCATGTTTACATTAAAAGGCCTGCAGGGACAGGCTATAGACACCAGAACCACTACATTAAGCTGAAATGGTTCTGGGGAGTATAGTGTTTCTTTAATGTGAGGTAAATTAGAGCTTAGTGCCACGAATAATATACTAGATTGCCTACTTACAACCAGATGAGGATGATGATGGGCTCTAGCTGCAGTCTGGTTCCACTAGTCTGGTGCAGAACAGACTCTCTGGAGGCGGTTTGTAACTGTGGTCACAAAAATCAATGTTCTGGGAGAACGGGAAGCAGCTCCATTTTTTGGGGGTCCTTTACACAGCTCAAGGTCTGGGTCCCAGGGTCCACCTTCATGTTCCACCAATGAGTTTGTTCACAGGGGGTGGAGTGTGTAAGGGATGTCCTGATATGTGTGTAAGGAATGCATTATGTGAAATTGTGTTTGTATGTGTAAGGGCTGCAAGGTG